GTGCATTTAAGCCTGCGTACAAGATGACTGAATTTTCTTTTTTTAGTTTTTAATCTAGCTCCCAGGAAAACTTGTGATTGTCTTGGTCAGTATAGCTAAGGAAATTGAACAGATTTGGCTTGCCAGTTCTAACAGTTCAAAAGCTTTCACCATCTCATGATACAGGCCCTTACTACTGCTACATGCTACTGACTGTCCTTATACACATACACATTGTCCTATACTTTATCCCATGTTGTTTTACATTGCCCCACATTACACCCCACAATATCCCACATTGTCCCACACTATCCCACTCTGACCCATACTACATTCCACATTAATCCAAAATTTATCCCATATTGTTCCACACTTTATCCCATAACATCCTGGACAATATCCCGCATTGTCCCACACTATATCCCACATCTTTCTGCACTTCATCCCACATCCTCCCTGTCATATCTATAGATCCTCTGGTGGCAGGACCATGTATATATAACAGGATGTCGGGTATGCATTTCATGCCTTTGCTTCCCAGTGTACATCACTCTACATGATGTATTGATCCTTTTTTTTTCTTTAGGAAATCAATTTCTGGTTTTATTTTTAGATTCTGGTGAGAGAGCAGTTGTGCCCTAAGTGACACCAAGACCTTTCCTGAGAACACCTTCCCCATTATGTAGATCACAAAGATACCCGAATTGATTATTTTTATGAAACCTTTTGTTGTGATTTTAACGTGTTTTTATTAAACAGATTAGTGCCATATTAGCAACCTGTGGTTTGTTTGGGCAGGCAACATCCCTCCTATATGTAGACGTGACAGAGATGGCAGTTGATTTAACTGATATGGCTGGAGAAATAAACTATAGACACAACACTAGTGCGGGGGTTGAAGATGCATGTGTATACATAACAGTTTAACGTGGGACTTGCCAATCATATCAGGAATTTTGAAGCTTGATACTCATACACAGAGCAATTTTGTAAGACTGCTTAATTTAAGGTTTATGTACATAATCATATTATTTTAAACTGGTCTTTATTGGTACTAGTTCAATGTTTATGGAGGCTGTGACCTGTGATTGTCCATAGAAATCTGTCTGCTAGAAGTATTGTGATGGTATTTAACAGTAAATGACCAATTACTAGAGTAAACACCACAATAACAGCACCTCTATCACATTAAGCTGACCCCATAATCATGGTATCAGGATTGAACTCAGAAAATAAATACTTGTATTATGCAATGTTATATGGCTTTATAACCTGTGGTGTGATAAGTTAATTCTGTGGGAAATTAGCACATTTTGTGGCCTAGCATAATCCTTTAACTTTTGATGATATTAATATTCAGCCTGTTCTGGCGGGTATGTGTAAGTACATGTAATGGGACAGAAAGATTGGTTGTTTTGTAGAAGGAAAAAAATAATAATAAAACTTGTCATACATTTGTGTACAGTGTTATTAGCTGTCTATGTCCATGTTTGTTAGTTGTACCTATTTTGTGAAGGTGTACATACATCAATAAAAAAAAAATTCCAAATTTTGTTATTTAACCACCAGTGTGCGATGGTGTCCAGATAACTCTCTTCAGTGAAGAAATTCCTTCATTCCTGTGCCAGAATATTGAGCACAAGTTAATTTGACACACTTTCATGTCAATGCCCTGATCTCCACCCTCTCTCCTTTTCTCCTTCCTGCCTCTTACCACTAACTGGTTTGGTATCTAGTGACAATATCTGACGCTTGTTATAATAAGAAAAAGGTACATAAGATTCATACTCGTAGAGAATCAGGATGTTTTATTTGAATTGAAAGAGCTAGCTAGAGTACATAGAAGAAAGCACCAGTGATTCTGTGTGGAGCCCCTTGGTTTCATCAGTGTTACATTATTTATTCCTAACTTAGTGTATTAAACTAGATTTTTTTTTAAAAACTTTTGAGAGCAGTGTGCATACATCTTATTTAGCAGGAGTTTAAGCAGAGCAGAAACACATATAAGTTTTCATTTTATGATAAAATGTAAAAATGTTTCATACCCCAGTTAATTTTTGTGCCTTAAGACGTGGATGTGCTGTCAATTGTCATAGCTGAGGTAGATGTGGCTGAAATAAGTTGAAGACTTCATTTCTGGATAACTGTTCTTGCATTCTTGCTGACATTTACATATAATGTTTTCTATTATCTTGGTGACATTTAAGAGCTCTATTAATCTAAGGTACGTCACCACTTCCTTTACCAGGGTTTTAGTTTCTCAGGCATTGTGTATTGCATCTCCCACACCTTGGACTTAATAAAGACTTGTGGTTAGAAAAGAATGTGCTTCTTGTAACTTTGTACAACAGGTCACAGGAGACAAAGAAACAGGAAAATGCTGACAAATATCAATCTCTCTAATATGTTTCTTAGGCTGTGAAATGAGGGAAGGCGGCCGGGGGGGGGGGTAATTGAGGGACAGAAGGGAGTGAGGTTGACCTGGTATGAGGTTGAAGATAGAAACTGTCCCCAGCAACTTCACTGCGGAGGCAGGCATAAAAGCAGGAAAACATTATTACAGTTAAATGCTTCCAACTTATCAACGGCCATTCCCATTGTTTATTTAGGATTTATAAAATAAATAGTCAATATTCAATAAGGCCTTGAGCCCACCCGCTCTGTGCATGAGGCAATAGAGGGCAATTACGCTAGTTAATGGAGTAGGGGACTTTATTGTGCTCCCCTGCCGTTACTGGAATAATGGATTCACACGTCAAAAGTTGTTGCTGCTTTTTGATTCCTTGAGCTGTTTGTTGTACAGTAAATTGTAACTTTACATGAAGGCTGGGATGAAAGCCTGAGCTTATTAACCACACAGTTACTTATTACACCTTGTTGAACAAGTTTGCGTTAAACAGGTTTACGTCATGGCGTCTGATTGCCTGACTGGCTGCTTGGTGCAGTTACAGATGGGAAACAATGCTCAGTAATCTCAGCACACACCTAAGATCTGCCAGTGCAGTTTATTTGATAAATACTGGGATATTGACAGTAGAAATGAGAGACAGATTTTCAATGAGGGGAAATATGTGTAGGTTTGTTACATGTGGCCTGAATTGGCTGCCCGTGATAGGCTAGACGGCTTCACCCTATAAAAATATTCTTTCCCGGGGATGGTTTAACCTGTTGACATCCCAAATGTTGTCCTAGGTCAGCCTAAAGAATGTGCCCACTTATTCCCCATGGTGCATTAATTCATATGTACTAACTTTCTGAATATTAAAATTAGCTTCATTCACTGGCCTTCAATAGCCAGTGCACTTTACATGTAATCTGTTACTGCACTGAAATTTTATCAAACTAATATTTTCTTACGGGTATCATTTCATTTATCTGTTTATCCTGTGGCTGTTGAAGTGTCTTTCAGTGCTAGTAAATATATTGCCGCCATTTGAAACAAGCAGAGAAAAGAATACATCATTGTATGGGCGTGTTGTCCATACATTACCGCTTGATTTTCTTGCACAATGCCTGCAGCGAAAGGGTGACATTAGGGCACATGTATTATCGTTGGCTTATACTATGTTAGGTCATATTCATTCACTACGCTGCACCTTTTAATGAAAGGAAATTCATTCACCAACTGACTTCAGTGACATGGTAGTAGGAAAAGGGCTGCTAACATGGGAGGGGAAGACAAAGTGATAACTGTATCCTCCGAGAGGAAATTGTCAAATCTCTGATAAAACTTGATAGGTTACAGCGGTATGCTGTTGATAAAGATTACACACAACAAAGCTAGGGCTTGTGAGCCAACCTAGGTTTAGGAAAATAAAGTCTCAATTTGCTCTCCGTGAGTCCCTTTGAGTATGACTGGAACCCTTCCCCAGTTCATGTCCTGATAAAATTTGACAGGTCCATTTCATTGGATTTCCTGTAAACTTCAAATAATCAGCCGCTACTGGCTTTCAAACTACAGATTAGGTGCAGTTTGATTGCGGAACTTGCAGTCATGATTGATAGTGGTGTTAACAAAGATTAATGTAGACTGGCTGAATGCCCCTCACCCCCCCCCCACCCCCACCCCCACCCCCACTCTTTTATTAACCCTGGGAAGTGAAATTTTACCTTGTGTTAAATATTAATTGAGGTAAAAATTGAAAACAATTGGTTAAGTTGAAATGTGCTCAGCAAGTGTGGAAAAAGTTTTCTTGGGGCTCTATGTGTTTAGAAATCTGGTTTATATGTGGAATCATGTAGGTCCAGTCATCCTGGTTGACTGGATTATAGAAATATAGAATTTAAAAATCACATGGTGTTCAACATGGTGTAGCGGTCATTAACCTTTCTCTTCATTTATTCAATTATGTAACCATAGTATGTATGAGATTATGATAGAGATATTGGCTCCTGAACACAAAGTGATGTGGACACGCAGCAGGTCGTAAAATAGTTCAGCTTGACTGCTTTTCTAGTATTTAAAAGAAAAAGAGAGAAAAAGAAGGCATGAAGCTTATGTATAATCTTGCAACCCCCTTTTTTTATAAATTATTGTAACCTGTTTTTTATAGTTTGTGTTTGCATGCCTGTTCAAACTTTGCTTGTGACCCTGTGTTTCACCTTACTTCTCAGCATCTTCATTTTGGACTTGTATCTATCTGTGATATCAGACATGGGTGGTCAGAACTTGAAGATTCTTATTATTGCTTTTATATCAAAATTATGGTTCTAAAGACACATTAGGCTCAGGTGAAAGGGAGAGCCTTCATGTACATTGCCTGGAAGCAACATGTTTATAATCAGCAGTTTTCAGTTTAAGTTTAAAGATAAAACATATTGTGGGTTGACACAAAAAAAATTACAGCCATCCTGCCAGTGTGTGAAGCTTGTATGACAAATTTATGAGTTGTTAAAATGTGAAGATTGCATGTTGTGAAAGTATAACATGAGGCTTGTATAAGTTTAATAATCCTGCTCTCTTTTTTTTTTTTTTTTTTTTTTTTGAAAAAAATGTGTACATGCATGGTCACTGGTAGATGACACAAATTGGTTAATATCAAAGAGCATGTCAAAGTACCAGCTTTAACTTTTGACAACACGCCAAGTACTTTTTGGATGGAGAGTTTGATGACTCTGCAGTTATTTATTATCACAGTGCACCTGGTTTAAAAGATCTTTGTCTGCTCACACTAAGGCAGTTTTAGTACACAGAATGTTGATTGGTTTCATGATTAAATAATTTTAATAGTTGCAAGCGTCTGGTAACGAGTTGCTGTCATGTTCATGTGCAATTGGGAGAAAGCAATCGGGGGTTTATTTGGATTTTTTGGGGTGTGATCAATTGAAGTATTGATTAAGATCTGTGTATCAGGCACGGCGGTACTGTGGAAATATGACCTGAGGAGGTGGGGTTGTTGTCCTTATGTTACCTGAGATTATTTAGAGTTACGGAGGGCACTAGGTACGGAGGATAAACCTACCTGGATGAGGTCTGCAGGAGAGAGGGATGATGTTAGCTTAAAACTTGTTTGCTTTTATAGATTGGGGTACTATGTCAGGCAAGTGATTGTTGATTTAAGAGTTAAGGTAGAACATGATTATTTATTTTAAATTAATGTTTTAAATGTTACTGTTTTCATTGAGAAACACTAAAGTTAAGTTAATATCTACAAAAAGGACTTATGTAATCATGAATGTCTTTTTTTTTTTTTTTTTTTTTGATACACAAAAAAGCCTTAAGTACAGGAAGTGAAAGCAATAAAAACATATTCCTTTGTTATGTATGATTTGTAAATTGTAAGTTTTATGGTGCTTTTTTTTTTGTCTCCTTGAAGAACACAGTATTGAGACCAATGTGTCCAGAAGTCGGAAGATAATTTGAAGGGCAACGATTATTTATGCCCTTCCCTTTCACCAAGAAAGAAAAAAAATGAAAGGGTGTTTTAATACTTGAGTGATCCTTTTATCTCCTGAGAAGACCTTCAGTGGAGAAATGCCCGTGTATTGCCTGCAGGGTTCCAGTATGAAGTCTCTCTCCCTGGGGTCCTGGCTTCATTGCACTAAAGTTTATAGGAGATCTTTAACTTAAGTGACTGGGCCAGTTAAATTATCTTGTCAGGAGGACAATGATGTGACCGGGTCTTTCTGTGTACCTGGTTTTCACCTGGCCATCAGCAGGCAATTTGAGATGGTTCTGGTCTGGGCAGGGTTTTTTTTCCTTTCGGCCTTTGTCCAAGATGACCACCAAGCAAAGACAGAAAATGGAGTACTTATAGCAAAGTACAATTAGCAGTTCAATAATGTGGAGATTTAATGAGGGGTGAAGGGGGTAATGGTTCATAGAATGCTTTTCTTAACTAAGTGTTTTATCTGTTGATTTGGTAACGCTTTGGGATCACTGATCGGGTATATTGACAGGCCTACAATGAAGCAGTGCCCCCCCCCCCCCCAAAGCCAGCACAAAGATAACAGAGGTGGAAATACCCATTAGTTGGAGTTGACATTGGTACATGAGTACCAGCAAAAAGACATTTGCATCTACTTTTTTCAGACAGCAACATATGGCAATGTATGTTGCTGCATAATTAAGTGACTGAAACCTTGTTTGAATTATTAAATCATCAGCAAGTCATTAAATTCCTCCATTATGAGCTGTGACAGAGAAAGTGATCATGAAGAAATGTCTGGCTGTGAGCACAGGTTACCACCTCTGAACTGACACCTTCTGTCTCCTTGTCACTCCAGACATTGTTCAGTCCTTGCTCTGTCATTTAAAGTGTCAGAGAGAGTATGTGATAACTTAGGGAGTGGATGTTAGGCCACGGTGTGATGAATAAACATGGTTTTCTGAGGGTGCATTAAAGCACAAGTGTCAACACAGGCAAACTGCCTCAAGGAAGAGACCACATTTTTATCAAGTACACTGGCTCATAAAATTATTGCAGAGTTGTATAAATAAATATGCTGTCGTGGGAAAGGTGACGCCTGGTTAACTTTATGAGTGTTTTGGCATTCTTTTAAATGGTGCTCTTTATGCTAGCATTGAGTTATGAAGAAGAATCTTGTATTATTCTCATTTAAGATGCATATCTGCGAGTGTCTTGTTCTAAAATAAACCTGTTGATCAACCTCTTGAATTCTGTAACTGTGTAAAATGCATGGATTTTGATATAAATGCAGAATAATTAATTTTGAAATGGTAACAGATGTCGTTTTGATTGTGAAGTATTCCTAAGTAGTATTTGGTGTCTTTTCTTTCCTTTACTTAATATAAAATTGTTTACTTATTATTAAATTATCTACTTTATTATCCTGTTGCTCTTTGCTGAAATGATCTGTTTTGACCCTTCTATCATTTTGTATGTTGCAGAAATGTGTTTCATCAGATGAAGAAGGGGAAGAAGCTGCAGTGGTGACACCAAGTGATGAGTTGCTGGAACTAAGAGAGAATTTTGATGATTTAGACAGTAGAGAGCTATATGCCAAACTTATGTCGGTGGATCCCAGCTATGCCAAGACCTTACACCCCAACAACAAAAGGAAGATTATAAGGTAGGTGATTATATGTAACACTTTGTATTTTAAAAAGAAACACAAAATCAAAGTGTTAAGTGTCTGAAAAGTTAAAGGTAAAATTCTGCTCACGCAGATAGAATCCCATATTTTGTAGTTGTAAGGTAAGAGGAAGGTGCCAATGCTTGCCCACCTACATTGTGTAAAAGACTCAGGGCCGTAGCCAAGGGGGGTTCAGGGGGTTCGAAAGAACTGCCCCTTTTGCTGGGAAAAGGTCCACTCTGGGTAAAATTTGATCTAGGTACATGAAGTTTGTATGAGAAAAAGTTCCACTTTTTCAGAAGAAGAACCCCCCTTCTGAAATTGCTGGCTACGGGCCTGAGACTACTGTTTGCAAAAGAAATATCATAAAATATCATAAAAAATGATCACCTTTTGGGCCCAATTCCCATAAACAAAATGGGTCTTTTTAGATCGATCCTACTCTGTGAGGACTCTAGCTGAGTGCAATCAACTTAACCAAAGGACACACCACTTCATTTCCAACATACTCATAACCACCAACTTTTCTGTATTCTGATGGCATTCAGCAAGAGTCCCTGCAGAATTGGATCTATCCAAATAGTCAGATGGTGTCCAATAGAATGGCATCTAAGATAGTAAAAATGGAGCAGTGAGCTTGATATCTCTTTTACTTCCAAGAATGAATATTTTGGCTGAAGATCTAGGACACCTTGATACTGGGTTGTTAACACAGTGGTGATATGTGGGGTTTACATATAGTTATCAATGGGCCACAGGTCATGTCAGCTTACACAGACTGATGTGTGAGGTTATGAATGGAATTGTTATAGTACAGTTAGTGATAAAGAGGGAAAGTTCAAGTGTGAGACATTAAAATACGATACCGTTGAAATTTAATTTGAACTTTTCTTTGATGGGTTTTATTGAAATAGTCACCTTGTCAACATTAAATTATCAAAAGATATCCTTGTCTTCCTGAAAGCAGACTTTGTGTTGCCAAACATTATCTCTTTGGACAAGTTGATCAACATTGTAAACTTTGTTTTGTTGATGTTATTGGAGATGGCCCAGTAACTGATAATCAGGCTCAGTTTCAATTGTTTTAAAGTGATGATTAATGGATGGTGTCTGTTGAGTTGATGATAGTGTAATCAGGGTTATTATAATAAGAATGCCCTATTTGTGCTGCCACCTGTTGAATAATCTCATAACTAAAACTGGATTTAGGAGGCAAATTGTAACTACACTTAGCAAAGAAGAAGTCAAAATATCAAGAAATACATAGCCTCCTACCCACTGAAGGGTTGTCCTATTTAAGATATGAAAATATACTAAGTAATGTAACATAAAACAAAAATAGAATGAGAACATTTATGGCAGGAATGTAGTTTCTGATATAAAGCATAGATAAGTTAAATTTATTTTCAGGAAGGGCGTACTGTTGACTAGTTAGAACAATCAAAGTAAATAAGCCCAATGTCACCACATTTTAGTTTAGATATATCCCCTTATTCTGTAGAGGTCTGGAGGTGCATTCCCAGCATGGTGTGACCATGAGTGAGATCTTGGCAGAACAGCATCAAGAAGACCAGGATGTTAGTGGCCCTTTGAGATATCAGCACAACTGCATCTTCTGGGTTCAATGTCAGCAGACAGGTGGGTTATATTCTAGGTGCAGTGTCAGCAGACAAGTGGGTTATATTCTAGGTGCAGTGTCAGCAGACAGGTGGGTTATATTCTGGGTGCAGTGTCAGCAGACAGGTGGGTTATATTCTGGGTACAGTGTCAGAAGACAGGTGGGTTATATTCTGGGTACAGTGTCAGAAGACGGACCATATGTACTCTGTGTGGTTAAAACAACATCAGATATGACTCTATGGCAGAATAATAATAATAATAATAATGATAAGGTTCTCCTCGGTAAGAGTTCTGCAGTATTAGATAAAGTGTAATATTATGTCTTTACAGTGCTTGATGAGCGTCTTGACAAGCGTGTGGACTCCATGTTAGAGAGGGGGTTGGTGGCGGAACTGTTGGACTTTCACAGCCGCTACAACCAGCAGAGATTGGAGGAACACAAGTACGATCACACATAGACTGATATTCTGAGACTTCTGCTTAATTCTTAATTTTTGCAACTTGAATACTTTAGGTTACAGTATTGATTTTCTAGACATATTATAAGAAGTCAACACAATATGATTTTTCTGATTCAAAAGTTATGAATATTTGGAGCACTGAGTGAAAATAAACTTTAAGTAGAAACATATTTATGCAATTCTGGTAGTGAAAGGGAAACTTGTCTGGATTTTGGACACAGAAGTAAATATGAAGGAAGCAACAAGAAGGATTATACTATAGGATAAATTGAAAGTTGCAATAAGGAAGTGGGGCAATTTTTTATTATTTTTTTGTGATATTATGGGGGTGTATTGTGTGTATGTTAAAGTAGTGAAAGTAAAAATGCGATCATGTTGAAACACAAATTAAAAAAAAAAAAGGAAAAGGAAAGAAAGTGAAAATTAAATTGGGAGGTTTTCCCTGAGGAGTTTTGAATGCTTCAAATATTTCAAATATGTTTTTTAAACCTTCCCAGCAGGTGCTGTAATTTGACAGTTAGCACAAGTTGCAACGCTGCCTCCTTGCTGAGCGTTTGCATCATACAGTGTATATGATGTCCAGTCATTGATATTTTGATTAACATCTCGTAGTCCGTCTGGCTCTCTATCCTTGCTCATGTTCTGAAATTCCACCAAGTGCAACTTCATTTTCCAATATTTGTACAAACTGAGTTGTTGAGCCTGTGGCAACCCTACATTACCTTGTGATTGTAAGTCAATATTATTATTAGCCACAAGTGAGAATATTGGGCTTTATTTTGGTTAGGGTGAAGTATTCTCTTTTGATCTCTCTGGGTACTGTATAGGGTCTCTGATAAGAATTTTAGCAATCACCCGGGTCAGGCAGGGATTAGTCTGCTTTAGCATACATCATGCTTGTTTTCTTTGTAGACAATTTGAAGGTGGCTATAGTCTGTGTACCTAGTTTGTTCACTCCCAAGTTCAGTTCCTTAAGCCCACAGGTTCTAACATCTAAAGTTGTTATGCAAGTAATCCATTGCTATAAGCTCCTAATTACATGTTGTATAACTTGCCTACCCACAGGCCAGGTTGGGTGCAATTTTTTTATGTTAGAGAACTGCAAAGAATTCTTTTTTATTGAAAGAAATAAACCATGAAAAAATAAACTATAAACATAAAAGAGTGGTTTGTTTGCTAGTTTACTTTTTGTTTTTCAGGGAAGCAGACTACACACATGGCATCTTTCAAAGTATTGGATTCAAAGAATTTCATAACTATTTGATCCTGCCTGAACAAGAACGACAAAGTCAAATGGGAGAAACACTTTTGAAAGAAGGTATACTTCCTGGGTCAAGAAAATGAAACTATTTATTGCTGCAATATTTAAATTGCTGTGATTCAAAGCAAACTTTAAAAGTTTATTGATATTTTAATTATTTTAATTATTATTTAATCCCACCCCAATCACCCACACATATTATCCTCTATCACTAAACCGCTGCACCCCCTTCTCTGTGCTTGCTGTGTTGAATAATCACCTATTGAAAAGTCGTTGACCCTCCTGGCTGGCAGCCTCACTGGGAAGTGATCTAAGCTTTAGATTCTTGTCCTTGGAGATAAGTATGTGGGTTGAATAACTTATATTGTTACTTAGTGTTTGAATGACCAACACAGTCCCATGGGAACTGGCCCACAGTGACTGGGAGTGAGGTGGACACAGTGACGCAACCCAGGTAAACTTTGACCAATATCAACAAAAGCTCAACTTAAACACACATAACGTGTTTAATCTGGGATGGCAAGAGAGTAATCTTTTAACTACTAAATCTTGATTGAAACTACCACAGAAGTGCCATTGTATCCATCTCTCCCATACACTCAAAAGCCTAGGTGCAAGAGTTAAGTTCCGGCTGTTGCTACAACATAAATATTCTGCAATAGTTCTAGTTCTGCCAGTTTAAACCCAAGCCAGGAATTCTACCAGCCTCTGACTTCTGTTCTTAAAGGGATAATAACTCTTTGTATGAAATCTGTATTTCACAATAAAAACATTTTGAGTGACTCATAAAAATATAATATATTCTGTTTTCCCACAAAAACGGCTGTTATAGCTATTATTCTGATATCTGAGCTTGTCTTTAGACCACGTGACCTCCATTGATGGCTATACTCTGTTAAAATCTCTTAAGAGATTTTAACAAAAAACCAAACTTTTTAGAAAAAAACCAGGGACTAACTTTGAATGTAAAAATGGATTAATTAACCATTGGTAAATATGGGAAAATTGTTGTTTACTCCAGGAAAATTCATTTTTTGGCCGAAACAAAGAGTTATTATCACTTTAAATACTGAAAAAATGAAACTCTTCTCTGAGCCAAACCCCTCATTTTTCCAAGAAAACCTACAAACACCAATACTTGTGACTAACTTGTGACTAACTTGTGACTAACTTGTGACTAACTTGTGACTAACTTGTGACTAAGCTCATGTCTTTGTTGCTGAAAATGCACTGCTACATTTTACAAAGTGTTACAAAATCTCTAGAAAGGTTATTGTCTTAGTTTAATTTCAAAGCAAAAATGCTGAGGCACATTTAAGGAAGTATATTTTAACCTCTATTCTGAAGAGTCCATGCTCTAGCATGTAAGGAGGCCCAATCACAAGGGGGCAATGACACAAGTAACCCAAATTCTTTCAATTCTTGAAGGTCATTACTCACTGCAGCCAGTGGTCATTACGCTGGTCAGTGGCAGTAATTTGACCCGTTTTACAGTTTCTTCTTTTCAAATTGGACAGGAAATGAAAAGGGTAAATCCTTCAGTAAAATGGCTGGGTATCAGGTATTGAATTCCTTCAAAAGCTCTAATAGATAAGCTGAAGTAGTTGATGCAGTGTGAGGCACTGATACTGTCAATGACTTGGTCACTTTTTTTGACCTTTTAACCCTTTGAGGTGGACATCATCTGGGACTGTAGAGTACTGTAGAGCCAGGCATAGAGCCGTACTGAGGTTGTTGAGAAATGGCAGTGTCTAGAGGGTTAAAAAAGTAGGCATTAATAACCCCCCCTCCCCCGGCCCCCTCCCTTCTCACTCCAAGATTATTGTCACCCCCTGTTCTAAGAATATTGCTGAATAAAAGTTAGTAATTGGAAGCACTTTTTGGGGGAAATCATCAATGTCAAGATATGTCAGATTTGCAGGAAGTGGCTGGTTTGTTTTTATATCAACATGAACAAAGTTCTTTAAATATTTTAGGTCAGGGGTCCATGTAAAAAAAAAAGTGTCAGATTTTCGCTGCATACTCAGACAAAGCATTTTGTGAAATTATATGTATATTAGCTGATATGGATGTTTTCTTCTGTAGCTTATGAAGCAGCTGGTGATAGAATGAGGTACATATAAATATAATATTTAGGAATACATCAAGTTCTATCAATAAATAATAAATTTGATCCTTGAAATTTAATCACGAGAAAGCAACAGACTTTATATGACCTTTTATGGAATAGCTCAAAAAGCCATTACCATTTCATATCTATCCAGAAAGATTTGTCGTGTTTAATCTTGGATTTATTGGTAGGACGCGGTGCTGAGTTAGAAGTGTGTATGTTTTTGTGTGGTTTTGTGATGGCGGTGTGTTTTGTAACCTCCCCCGACTTGCTCGCTCATGACATATGGTTGGACTCCAGCTGGTCCCCTCATCACAAGACATATTACAACAAATTCTCTTTGTTTTCCACTGGAGACCATAGCCAGAATTGTGCTCACCAAGTCCTTATTAGGGATTATGTCTTTTGTAATGAAAAAAAAAATGGCTGTGCAGTGTTACTTGAGTAAGAAGCTGAGCATTTGTTTTCCAGCGTAGAGGAGACGACTACATGAAGTATAAGGTCACGTAGTCATCTGGTGAAGAACAGTGTATGGGGAACGGGTGGCAGATAGACATAAATATTTGTTGTCATCAGGAATATGAGTAATTGCATCATGCCTCCTAAGATGTCCAAATATGTGAGGTTTACCTATAAAAACATATTGCCTGTAGAATGCATGAAATTGAGAGCACTGCTAGTAATTTTAGGTATTGAATATAGCATGTTACGATTGTGTTATTATGAAAAAGTGTCATGTTCCAAGGTTATGCTGATATCTTTTTTTTTTATTCTTGTGCATTATAGGTCACTTTCCATTAGTTTTTCCTATATGTTAATTATATTATGTATTGCAGTAAAATAAAATTATCTTCAGTATTCTGGATGTCTGTCAACATCATCTTCCTTAGTGTGTACAACATTTTTAATATTAATATAACCTGATGATTGAAGAAAAATTATTGCTTTTTTTTCTTACATCATAGCACAGCTGATGGAAATCTTCTATGAAAAAAAATAAAATATTCAAAACAAGATAATAATTTTATTAAATGTTATTCACAGGGATGAGATTTTTTCGATAATTGGCGGATTTCCGACTTTTGGGAGCCAAAAATACCAATGGCCTAGGTGAACCCCTGGACCCCAGGCCATATTTTCCAATTTTTTCACTAAAGGGTAGTCTCATCCTGTACTCAGTTAGGACACATGCACTAAGGCAACCATAGTCATGTTACTTCTCCCCGGGAGATCATAATGAACAGTTGACACCCTGATATGACAGGTTTAACACAGGGTGCAGATCTGGCTTTATAACCATCATCATAACTACATTACTAACATAACCAGCACAGCAAGGACTAACAGAACAAATGTCAGGCATTCTTTTTAAGTCTGTGAATACATACCTGATGACTTGAATGCTACTCTCTGGGAGGTGGAATCCATGGACACTGTAGAAATGATGGAGAATAAGTAGCATTGGAATTGGGGGGGGAGGGGGGGGGGATTGGGGAAAATTAGCTGTTTTTTGAACAGGAAAACTGTCTGAAAGAGGGTAGGAGTTCAGTGGAAGTGACAACTATAGGGTAATGAAGATGCACTCCCACCGAACTATGTAGGAAAAATTGTAGAGAATAGAATGGGATGTGACAACTTGTAGGAAAAATAATCCAAATAGGACATGAATGTTAACAACTATAGAGAAGGGATCTGTTCTTTGAAAAAATCTTGACTGTTGATTGAATTATTGTCACATTAAACTTATAAATTCAGTTTTTCTGTGCATATATTGTGGTAAATAAATCATCTAAGTCATGTATTTATGTATGAAGATAATTTTAATACAATTTCAGGTATTGATGCGCTGAAGCTCGTGACAAGAAGGTATGCCAGGAGACAGATTACTTGGATCAAAAACCGGCTTTTAAGAAGTAAGTCTTCCCATTTCCCTTACCAGCGTTGAGAGCAGTTATTACGGCTCTGGTTACCAGTACTGAATGTAACAACTGGTTTGTTGGGCTCTTTGTTCTCGGTAAGATTCAAATTTCATGGCCTGAAAAAGAGAGCTTATCTATTTATAGGGACATTGGGGTCCCTCTTTATTGCAACTATGTGTGTTGTAACACTTCTGTGTACACTGATAGCTGAGAAATACAAGCATAAGCAAGAAAACAATGTCATCTTATTTTTTCTCCAAGGGCATGAAGTCATGCTGTTTGTTCATCAGCTGATGTTTGTTTAGAATTTTGCTTTTCATGATTCCTCCACATCCTATTGTATTGTCACGTTTAATCCGCGGAACAGATGACATGGAGGGAAAAGTTGGCAGCAAAACTGAAATGGTGCAGAGATAAGCCAAACACGAAAAATAAATGGTCTAAGTTATTTGTTGGTTTAAACAGAGAGTATGGACACAAAGGGGGATTCTTTCTATTTCCATCTGGAAGTTGGTACAGATGACAATATGCTGGAACTGCCAGATACTCAGATCATAGCAGAAAAAAAAGAAGAGTTTCTTTTTTTTATCCTGCTCCTCCAGGGATCCTAGTTGTATTAGATCTATATTTCTATATTTCAAATTTTGATACAAAGGAAAATATGGAGGAAAAGACTTTTTTAGTAGGAGAAGGTTAGGTTATAGCTTGATGTAATTTTTTATTCTAAAAATTCCTTACATGTCCATAAAATGACAACAAATGAATCACTGAAAGTAAAACTTTAAGATTTGAACAGCTGTGAATAGCAGTTTAATGATTCATACAGAGAGCATAAAAAATGCACCTAATTCCATATTCTGAAGAGATAAGTAGTGTTTAAATAGTGTTTTTGAAAAATAACAAAAATATAATTTTTGGAAAATTTGATATAGATCATACTTGGGTTGTAATTTTTCACAGGAGTATTTCACGATATTTTGATGGCGTAATATAAAAATTAACATTCAATTTACCACAGTTACAGTAATTTACATGTTATTGAAGTACAGGAGTCAATGCCCATGTGAACTGTCTCTATGAGCCCATTCAGAAGAGAAGATCCTAGGATCTAATATGGCGGACCCTACATGAAAGAAGAGCGACTTATCTGCTGATGGTTGCCCCACCTCCACAGGCGCCATTAAGCGGATTAAATTACGGCTCCAAAGTTTAACTCTTAGATGCCTGCAAGGACGGCGTGTGTGGAGGCGGGGAGATCATCAGCGGATTAGTCGGCTCTTCTTTCATGTAGGGTCCACCATATTTGATCCATGGATCAGAAGGTCCTGGGATCTTCTTATTCTGAATGGCCTGTCTAAGTGAAGCTGGTGTTTTCAGGGCCAGGTCAGGATGTTCCAGCAGTGTATACAGTGGATGCCACTAAGCCAGAAGAGTGGGACTATGCTGTACTGGAACCTGCCTGCCATATACTGGAGACTATCATGAAAGTATGGAGTTACATAGAAAATTTTATATTTATATTTTGAATTAAAAATATTTTAAGATAATCTGTCTTATTCACAAGCTTGAATTGCATTAGTCACAGGTATTAGTTTGTCTTAAGCATAATTAGTTTCAGTGTTGGTATAATGGTTAGAGTTAAAAATGGCCTGGTAATAAAAAAATTTTTAAGGATATTTTAGTACCAATGTTCTCACAATGAAAATTTTTCATAAATATTACCCAACACTGAGCTTACTAGCTTTGCTGTACAAACATCCATTAGATAGTAGCATTGTTTACTGTTGCATGTATATGATTATTTATTATTTTTATAATTTTTTTTTTTCCAGGGTGATGTGCCGCTCATTTCTCCAGCCCAGAAGGAGGTGAAGCAGTCAGATCCCGTCGTCCACAAGATCTGTGACATTTGTGACGGACAGATTCTACTAACACAGAGCAATTGGGAAGGTATAATCAGACATGAGCTTTTTCTGCAGAAAAGTGGAATTTCGCATTTTTCAATTCAATTTGGATGGTTTCTGAGATTAGTCAAGGTTAGGTGCTGGGTCCCATGATAAATGTTTAGAGCGTTTTTTGGAAACTAGTCTCATGTCTGTATAATGACATTGTGTAAATTGCTGCAGGTAGCTTGTTCAGTTTTTATGCTGTGGTTAGTTATGTCACCATCTTGGTCTGTATGCCCCGTCTGCGACCCTGGCTGGTAACAAAGTGGTGTTTATTCTGGTGCACATTTAGCATTTCTGATGAGGGAGGATGAGCCATTGATGTGTTGGGACAAGATAGTTAACTCCAGACATGTGTTTGTCTGCCCCAGGTTGCCGTGGATTACCTTGTTAGTGGCGAGAATTTAATTAGGTCCACTTGCTAGTACAGACAGATTAACATGAGGCGTCTGCCAGAGTGAAAACATTGAATTAGATACAAAATGAGGACGGAGGCCCTCTGTACGCCATTACTTCCCATGTTACTCATTACAGTACCATAGATTGCTGTTCATCAGCTTGTTGAGTAAAAACAAGATTAGCAGAATAAGTTCTATTTGTAGTTGTAAATTGCCTGATTGATAAATTTGAATGATTGATTTATATCTGTGGCTGATAAATTGATTGACCAAGAACATGATTGATGGGATTGGATGTAAGTTGATAGAGCAAGCCTTTAAAGCTTGTTCAAACACAGTTTATGTTTGTTTAAATTACATTTGAGTAATTTAGATTGTTCAGTCCCAAATGCCTTTTTTTTTTTTTTTTTTTTTTTTTTTTTTTTTTTTTTTTTTGTGTGTGTGTGAAATTTTGACTTTGAAATGAATAAAATGATTACTTTGTCATGAATAGGAAAAAAAACTATATATATATACAAAAAAATTATTATAATCAAGTTTAAAATTATTTACTTCAGGTCACCTTAAAAGCAGAAAGCACCTAAAAAGAGTATACAAAAAGAGGAAACGACAAAGGGAACTCCTTCAGCTAATGCAGTCCTATGAGAAGAAAAAGCACACAGAAGCAGCAGGTGGTCCAATTGGGGCAGTGGCAGACGACAGTGCTAGGTGGGTTAATAAAATGAATGTAAACAATGAGTACATTTAAAATTTGTAAGAACTTTCATATTTATGATCATAATCAGTTTAACTTTGGGTTGGTAGCCGATTAGTTGTCATGATTGGTGTACTCTGGATAATTTCAGTACCTGAAATAGAGGCAGTTTGGAGGAAGGAGATATTGATGACGATTTGGAATGCGTCATGTCAGAGAGACCAACTGGAGCAGAACATCTTTGTTAGGTATGATTTTATTGTGTAACATAAACTATGATTATGTTTAGTATAAGTTGACTGAGGCATGACCAGCCCTGCATGTTTTAGTACATTTGAATATTAGAGCACATTTATCAGGCAGAAGTTGACTGAAAATGTGATATGATATTGAAAGATGTTAACAGTTTTCTAAAACTGGATATGGGTTTTATGATTCACATCAAAGTACATGCTTGTCTCCAGAAATCTACTTTAAGAATCTTGATTGCCATAAATAGCTTATATGTTTATGAACATTGCAGCTGCTCATCTCAAATATTTATGAATGCTGAGGGACGGTAATTTGAGGACAGAATTCAAAATTAATCGTAATTATTTTCTATAGCTGAAATTGGATTTTGTGTCTCTTTATTATGTTGATAAAATTTTTTAAAAAGTTTTGCTTTATATAACATCATTTCATATGTGTTGCAAAATGCTATTATTGCTACATGCAGGTGACAAATTTGTTTATAACATTTTAGATCTGACACTAGACCCAGGAGAAAGGAGCTTTCAGCCACATGGCAGTCTCTGGAGCCTTATCTCAGCGCTGGTGACCTCCGCTGACAGGGAAAAGTTTCCATGGCAACACTGAGGGCAGACGACAGCTTGTAACCATCCTGATAACAGGAGACCCCAGAGAGTGGGGTTAGAAACTGGGGTCAGGAAAAGTGGTGACAGAATGGTCCACAGCTGTTCTGGTGACACTTTGGTCAAAGGGATAACCCCACTTTAAAGAGAAGATCATTAATTAATAAAATATGACTGTGTAAGATTTATAAAATATGGCATGAGCACCTCTTTTCAGTGCTTTACAGGAAAAATGTCTAAGAAAAGAACTGGTGTGGTTGCAAACCCTGTGTGGCACAGGGGTAAGATTTTTTACCAGGTTGTGGTAGGTTACTCAGGATACCTCGGGGGGTGGTTGTTAGCCCATTGTGGCACAGAGGTAAGGTTTGGATACCCAGGGTGTGGTAGGTTACTCGGGATACCTCAGGGGGTGGTTGTAAGCTCAGTGTGGCACAGGGTTGATAGGGACATGTGGGTGGAATGAATGTAGGCTAGAGGCAACTTATTTATAAGGGAAGACCTGCAGCAGGAGGGGGTAGAAATTATCTCAGTCACCACTGGAAGTATTAAAGTAGTATTCATTGTGCCAGTTGAGACAGCCTGGCTTGTGATTGTATTGAAAACCAGGAATTCTACCACAGCATGTTTGTGCATTACTGGGATGTTTTGTCTAAAATTATTAAGGAGACGCTAATTGATTTTATGAGAGTTTAGTTTTGTGCAACTGGTAATACAATGATACAAGTGCCAATATTGATGTCTCAGTGATGTTTCAATAGTTCAGTTGTAAGAAAATAGATGTTTCACTAGTTCATTAGTTTAGTTCGAAGAAAAAATCGGATCATTTTGATCACTTACAATTTCAATTGATTGGGTTGTGCTCATTTTTGTGGGTAAAAAAATGACATGACACTGAATGCGTTTAGAACATCTTTATTATTTATTGAACCTTATTATATATTTATATATTTATATGTGAATGGAATAAACCTAAGTAATATACTCAATTCTTTGCATCTGTCTGGAATTTTATCATTAACAATTTTGCCCACCTAATCTTAGACCTTTTAAAACTGATGTAAACCTATGAAGCAATGATTGATGTTGCCTTGACACATTTGAATATGGAAGAAAAAAACTTCGCTTTGAGCTGTGACACACTTTGTGTTAATAAAGAAACTATATATTCTGCTTCATATTATGGGCTTCATTTTTCTGAACTGGAATTATAACAGCATATATAAATATTGTCCATGGTTTTCACCATCCCGTATCAAATTGTCAACTGGACATCACAAAATCGATCTTAAACCATGGACCCATTTTATATGTAAATATACATATTGTGTATACAATTTATTTTAAACATGTATACAAGAATATAGAATATACTGAGAAATATTTTGGGAAGATTTCCGATGCTCTTTATCTTTTGCATAAGTAGTATATATTTTTTATTATAATTAACTGCATAAAAGTCAAATAATGGGACCATTCAGACTAGATAATCCCAGTACTAACTGATACACTGACAGAATATGGCCGACCCCACTTCAAAAGCAATGCTGGTAATTCCATGATGGTCTCCCCGGGGGTCAGTTAGTACTCAGATCATCTATTCTGAATGGCCATGATGTTGACCAATGTAGGGTTGCATTTCAGCATGCATTTTTGATGGCTATACATATTTTTTACATGTGACATAATAAAGATATGATATAATTTATAGAAAAAATAATAAAACAATTTACTGTATCATTTTTCACAACACCAATCTCAAACTTAACCTCCACACAGCACCACAGCAATATAATTGTTTGTAAAATAAATATAAAACTTGAAGTAAAAGAAATTGTGCAACAAGATGGTGTATAATACTGATACATCCAACAAATAAATATCCAGTGATCTGCTTGAAAGAAAGCGAAGTTTGTATTCAATATTATATACAGAAACTGAAACGACTCCATTATCCACCATAACACCAAATTACATCCTTGACATACAGATTTTTTGAAACGGATTGAAACAGTACTGTCACTGGGGACCACTAGAAAAAACTAGAAAACTTTGGGAGAAACCCATAAACTAAGGTGAGAGATGGTTTTAAACAATGAAGCAAAGACTACAATTGGACACAGTGATTAATAAATATGGTTAAGTCCAGGCAGCAATCAAAACCAATCTATTGGAGAACCCTGGCCTCAGAATATAAACTAGTGAATATAAAAGTTGTTAGTCTTCAATTGTCAATCTGTTCTTATTAGACTAACGTGAAAACTAATTCACATTAACTTTCAAGATTTCCAACACATCACAAAAAAAAAAAAAAAAAAAAAAAAAAAAAAAAAAAAAAAAAAAAACCCAACTTTGGCACAACTCTTTCTGGTGGGTTGGTTTATACAGCACTTCATTCAAAATCTTAATAAGTTGAGAGAGATATAACTAAATATGTAGTACATTCAAGAAAGTAGTTTTTACATAATGTTTTAGCACCACAAAAGCTTTTTCCAAGTATTGAATGAGATTTACATCCTTTGATATAACTACACTGTACAAACAAATAGCACAACACCCTTTGCCAAACAGCTTTATCACAACACACATTTACCTTTTAAATACAAAATGGCATCTATCAATAAGATTTCAGTCAAAATATACATTGTCAATTGCAAGGTGACAAACTTGCTGAACTGAATATTTTGCTATGAGTGATTTGAGTATCCAATGGAATGCAGCTAGTGCACTACAGAAAGAAATAAGTATTCTTTTAAATGACAATATGTGCATTTCAAAAGTGGTTTGCAAGGTTCAAATGTCTTCAAAACTGTGTACACAACATCCACTGTACATTCCTTGCATCTTGACACCAGACAACATCCCAACATCTGTGGTCATGTAACCATCAATCTGGGCCCCCTGCAGAGCTGCGTTTAAAGCATTGACAACTTCAGGGTTTATCTGGCAATATAACGAGATTTTTCATCCTTGAGAATTTATAACAAGTTATAAATAAACCACAGACAGGTTGAGGAAGCCAGTCATCTTGTGGTTCTAATCTTTCAATTTTTGAACAAAGAATCTGGAAGCTAGAATAGGTTGTTTTCTCTTGTCACACGGCAGTTTCTTTTCTCTTTTCTGAGAAAATTTGTACATCCTTCATAAAACTGCAAAGATTATTTTTTACCCATCTGGTTTGCTTACACTGCATGTGAACTTATAAAACTTCACATATAACAAGTTTCTAAGGGTTAAAAATCTGCAGGAATTTATGTGGCGAGACTTCAGTAGACGAGTGGCAGCCATCTTTTGATAAACATGGATGGCCAAGACCCTGAAAGCAGACGACAGTATTTTGTCAAAAATTGATTGGGTAAAATCAGGGGCAATGTGTCAACTACATACTAGTGAAACATTTTGAAGGAAAATATGCGAAGAGAGTGAATCCTTGAGATTATCTTAATAAATAACAAACCTGAGTTGTCATATCATAAAAGGTACATATCAAGGTATATTGGAAGATTTTAAAAGTTTTTTCCAAAGGTCAAAACAAATACATTTCCTTGAATTTTTTTAACTGCTTACCTTCCAGAAAACGCAGTTGCAGTTGTCGCACAGGTGTAACATGTCTGCATAAACTTCCTTTTTGCCGTGCCGTCTGAAATGATAAATACATGCGTGAACCTGTTGCCTGTGGTCCATTCAACAGCTGTGACTTGAGTGCTGAGAGCCATAACAGCAGCTTTACAGATGATAAATTATTGTGAAGATGAAAAATTGGACAGGAACTTCATTTCTAAGTGTTTGTAACCTGCTGTGCTGTCAGAATATACTGTAGAAAAGGTGGTAAAAAAGCTGTTTGGTTCTCATCAATAACACCTCATATTTCAAGTTCAAACACACACAGGTGAAAGTGAAGAGCCTATATTTGATAAAAGGTCATAAGTCAATTATCCTGTACTGCCTTTGGGCAATGGCCAAAACATTTAAAATCCTTTTGTTGGTGCATCCTTCAACTTGAACACAAAAATGTTCAAAACCATAAAATAAATTATCATGGCCATAAAATGCTGTGCTCAATGTGTAAAATACACAGCAGTCTATGATAACACTTAATAATGGAATAATGTAATTATAATATAATAATAATAATAATATATCTATGTAGGTATCAATCTCACTTGACCAGCCTGAGGTACAGTTTCTTCCAGTTCCAGTCCAGGTTGTTCCTCCTCTGGCCACTGACCAGCAGGTTGTTGACCTGGTCATAAGTGAAGTGGTACAGACACAGCTCTCTCCACAACAGCTCCTCGGCAGATATCTCGTACAATCTCTTCTTGGTCAGTCCTGTGCTAACAATGTCTAGGTGATCTGACAACATGCCCAGGATCTTCCACAGACACTCATTGGGAAGATCTGCCAGGGTTCTGCTGCCTTCTTCTGCCTCCTGAAACAAAATATCCGCTGTCTGTTCTCAAGTGAATAGGAAACAATATTGTCATTTTTTAAACAAAATATTTCAATAACTTAAAGACAACATATACTGTTATACCCCTCTGCCCCCCCCCCTCAAAAAAAAAAAAAAAAACTTGTACTAAATGTCTGCTGCCTTTTCTCAGTAGAATAAGAATTCATTTCTAAAGACAAAATTCTCTTTTTTTAAAAAAATATTCAATGAGTTGAAGAGTTGAAGCAAACATACTCTCATATTTATTTCCAAGAAAAAAAAAGCTTTACATTTGGTCTCGTAAAATTTCAGCATTAATATTATAACAATAAAAACTGTACAACTGCCTTACATGTACAGGTTCTAACACAGTTGCCAGTTGACTCTCCGCCCTGTTAACTGTCTCCATGTGATTCTGCCACAGAGTTGGACTTCCCAAGTGGTATCTTTCCTCGGCAATGAGAACCTGGCGGGCGCTCACCAGGAGTTGTTTAAGCAGCTGAGTATTAGTCTTTGCTGTCACCACTACAACAAAAATGGGGCAATAATGTTTTTCTTTAGGTCATCTATATGCACTCTTTAAATATATTTTAAACTTATGATCTGCTAAAGTCAAAAATTTAAACTCCCACATGGAATATGTTGAGAAAATATCTGCCTTTTGGCCAGGAAAGCTCTGTTCTGAAGCAAGTAGGGCCAACTAAGAGGGTACAAAAGGTCCGTTCTTTCAGAAAAAGTACCCCCCATTAAAATTTCTGGCTGTTAGTAGAAATCAAAGAAGCACATGTAACTGACCGTAGTTTGTTGCTGCTTCCAGAATGCTGAAGACCTGTTTCTGGGCTTGTCCTCCAAGATATTGCAACTTTTCATTGATCAACACATCCAAGAGCTGTGAAGAAATAGTTGACATCTTGTGTGAGTAAATTGTTACAACATTCAAATATTTCAACTTTTGGAAGTATGTTACATTCTAATTTATTTGAAATATTTATAAGCTTCATGTAAAGTTACAACCCACACTGCTTTGCATTTTTGAAAGTATTTTAAAGTTACTGTAACAATTAAGATATCGTTTTTTTTTATTCTGTTTCCACGAATTCCAATTATTGAGTTTATGTATAATAAAATTATATACATTGTATATATAACAGACAGGTAGCATTCTTTTTACCTTGCAAACATAATTAAATCTACGGATATTTTTGGCTGCACCAGCAAAGTCAAGTTTGGTCAGGACATCACCTAATGAAATCTGCATCTGATGCTAAAAAGGAATAAAAAATAATTATTAAAAAAATAATAATAATTTAGACAGCAATTGGTGTTGGTTCCTTATTTCAAGTCATCTATAGTGATATATGTAAGTCAGCTAAGTTAGTCAGTAAGCAAAGGGTAATCCAGACTACCTCCACCTGTAGGCTACTGTAGAGATCTAGAGGGATACCTGTTCACCAGGAATGAGTCAGCTAAAACCTGTACATAACTGACCTACTTCTCCTTCTCATAATAAACATTTAGGCCAATACACAGTGTTATTTCAGCCAATTAAGACCATTACTGGACAAGTAGCATTTCCAAGATTCTGAGGGATGTTTACCCTTTTTTTATTGCCTTACTAAATCCTAAATCCAAATTGTATGAACACTAAGAAATATATTTGTAGTGATGACTGCAGAATCTTCTCAGGTGGCTATCAACTTAAAGGTACATGTATACTTAACCAATGCATCATTTGCTATTAAGTCTGATCCTTCAGCAGCCTGAAGGATCTCTCTAGATCTACCTCAATAAATTACATCGAAAAAATCAAGTGTCAAAAAACTAAATAAAATAAAGTGAAAAGAAGATATAAGAAACAGCTGGTTTTTAAGGATACTGCTGCTCATTTAGATACATCACAACTGTATACCTGGGAATGTGGCAACACGCCAAGACATAAGACAAAGACATTCTTGTCCTGCCAAATCATCTACGCAGTTTGGAAGTACTGAACTAGTTTATTCTCTAAGAATGCCATCCAGGAAGGTAGCAGGTTGGTTATTCAATATGTTATCTATATACCCTGGCTACAGGTGCCGCAGTCAGGGACATATTATGTCATTTAAGATGTGGACACAACACTGAAAACTAAATTAATGAGGACTTGACTAAAATAAAAAAAAACTGTGTATTTTCTAACTAATATTATGTTTTTCTTGTTTGTAACATTAGTAGTAACCACCACAATCCCTGATTCCTGTGTCTAAATTATCCTGGAAACTGGCCCATACACTGAGTACAGCCAGGTAGAGAGGCATGTTTATAATATAACTTAGTTGACTTAACTCCTGATACTTGAGTTCCTTTGTACCAGGTAATGAATTGCTAAGGTTTATATTCCCTAACTTATTGGCACTGTGCCTTTGTGTTACTGCAGTGCAGCAAACCCTAGTGAGACTGGTTTTAAACAAACAGGGATTTAGTCTTTTAAAATTTCTACAGGGAGATCCTAACCTCCCCCCCCCCCCCCACCCCCAATCCCTGAGTTCATTGATCGGCACACTAAGGTGTTAGCAAGGTCACAGAGCAGGGTGGGGTGGGGATCTGATACTTGAATGTAAGTCAATTTTTTTTAAATTAAAACTGGTGTGAATGCATCTTAAGATGAGTAAAATAAAAGATTCCTAGCTTCTGCACCTGGCACTGACAAAGTGAAAACTAGACAAAACTGACATGAACTGTCTTTAAATGTGATGATTCAATAGAGTAAAGCCGTTTTCTGCAAACAAAGACAAAGTTTTTGCTTACTTTGGAAATCATATTTTCTTCTCACTATAAGCTTAATTTTGAACAATAAAATAAATAAATTAAATTAAATTTCATTATAAACACATTGGGGATCTAGTCAATCTCTTGAATTTATTAGTAGAAAGCTTCATCCAGACAACTAGTCATATTTTATGAGCAAATAAACCATAATTTCTTCTAAAAATAACAATGGATGTACCAACTGTCAGATACACGACTCTCGGCAAAAGGTGTCACATAATTTTGTTACATTTCTAGCTACATCAAGTCTAAGACTCACCTCTCTGAACACAGTTTTAGTCAAATCAAGTCTAAGACTCACCTCTCTGGACACAGTTTTAGCCACATCAAGCCTAAGACTCACCTCTCTGGACACAGTTTTAGCCACATCAAGCCTAAGACTCACCTCTCTGGACACAGTTTTAGCCACATCAAGCCTAAGACTCACCTCTCTGGACACAGTTTTAGCCACACCAAGCATAAGACTCACCTCTCTGGACACAGTTTTAGCCACATCAAGCCTAAGACTCACCTCTCTGGACATAGTTTTAGCCACATAAATGTGGGGCTGACTGTGTGTCACCAATGCACTGTGCCTGGATTCCATGTCTTCCAATGCAAGCTTGATGATTCTGAAAACAGAATTCAGGGACTTGAAAACAGAAGTTGCAATTCCATGTGTTACTGTTTCACTCAAGTGCATTTGAGTCATTAATAGAAATAAGACACATGGAGTTATTTTTATGTGATTTACATGTTAATGTTACTTCACTTTTTTGTGGACTGACCCAGTTTGGAACCTTCTAGTGTGGAGATCTATCTGATAACTCAGTACATGAAAAACATATATCATATACCATTCATCCACTTTTCTACAAATAATGTAAGAATCAGCAAAAATATAAGTAAGATTTTAGCTGCAGATGTCCTGACATTTTGACTGTTATCCACAACATTTGACATATTTAGATAATACAATATTTTTTTTATCTTCCTGTGGTTTCCCCTTTTGCAACAATGCTGACATTGCAAGACAGCAAGCCTGCAAGAGCAAAACTTGGCCTTTACCATGTTTGTACAATGCAGACTTGTGAAATGTCACTTTTCTAAATCTAGACCACATGAGACATTATTGATCTCACGTTACAAAACCGTATCCACACATTCACTGAAAAACTTGTGTTTCTGATATCAGTTTAAATACAAGTTGCATATATCAACACTTTTACACTTAACATGTGCACAGAAAATAAGTCATGTGAGATGCTAGATGTTGCTGAATTTAGTGTCATGTCTAAATGCACAGAGATACAAAATATCATGTTATATTGAAACCTTTTTGGGGAAAACACCAGTAACTCGACCGGGTTTGTACCTGAGCACTGGCTTACTTACCATGTGAGTGCTCTGTCACTAAGCTATCGCACCTAGGTCTACCCCAACCAATCAATACAATATGTTTAATTTATTTATTTATCTATCTAAATGGCAACATTCCATTTTCTCTGTACCAAAATACACTGAGATACCAACAGTAAAAGTAATCCCATAGTTTTTAGATCCTTCTTCAAATAACGTAAAAACACGTTGGCAGGAGTGCCCGGTGCAATACTGGTGAATTAGCTTCAACACTGTCACAGTCACAGAGATACAAGAAATAAACCTACCACAGGTTCACAATCAGAGATTTACCTTGTGAAAAAATCGACTTTCAGTTCCCGTTTCCAGGCTCTCCCTCCACTTAAAAGTTAGGCGCCACTGCTCCTGCCATATGTTACAGGATATTAAGAAAAATACGAAGCAGCAAATCATATGACCAAACTCTGTTACAAGAGAAAAAGATGTGTGTACTGAAAAACAAAGGAGAGTGGCCCCTACCTCGCAACGACATTTTCGTTTAGATTTTCAAGCAATTTCAGCCTCCACATTCTCATTCTTTCCCATCCTTTGTCTGTTCGTACCCACTGTTCTCCTGGAGATCTCCAGTCTTTTCCTAAAAACGGCATTTTAACTCTTTCAGTGGATAAAATTGTGGTCTCAATTCGTCCTGACAGAAAAATTGCGTATGTGCGTGGCTATGCGTGTTTTTATTTACAACGGAAGCAGTCACGGACTATACTAAGATGCTATAATCTGATTGGTCAAATTTCTAAGCAGCTTTCTTCTGATTGGACGAGCTATAATACACGCACAGAGTGTCACGTGCATTTGTTGTTACCTGTCAGCTGTGAGCAATGTGGTTTCTTGCCAAGCTTAAAGCACCTGACGATCTTACATATTGCGTGTTGGAAAAATAACAGGTTTTTAGAATATAAAGAGACGCCTGTGCAGTATGTGTGTAATGGTTGAAAGAAGTTGTGGCCCTGAAAATCTAAATTTGCAAAATGTTGATCACGTATTTTTTAAGGTAGACTAAAGGTAAATTAATTTCAATTAATTTGTTTTTCTTTTTAAATAGGTAAATATAAAAAATACCAAGTGGAATAAATAGAACGTGTAATGTATATGAAGTTGGTCAATAACAATACGTTATACATAGCATCTTCAAGGCGACCCAAGCTTGTGGTAAAAGTTACCTTTTGTCATCGTCTGCTCGCTCGTTCACTGGGATTTTCTCAGCTAATGCATTCGTCACTACAGCAATATGTTACTCTCGCCGTAGAAATGAAGAGAGCGTATCAAAGATAGTATAAGAAGTCCATTCCTTCTTAAGACTTAATAACAATACTTTTTTGAGATCCCGGCCAAAAAATATGAATCTTGAATAGGTTCAAACAGAGTGTAATTGTAGGCCTAGGTTTGCCATTGCCAGAGTTTCAGATCAAAATATTATGAATACAATAAATGGAGATAGCCATAATGTTTATAATTTGTTTGTTGATTAGTGCGACAATGACTTGTGATGGAGCAGGGCAGAGTGACGATCACTTCCCCGGCTTTAGACACTGAGCACACACAGGTTTTCTTGAAAAAAAATTACAAGTATTTTTGTCAATATTCGCGGCGCGTATGAGAACATTATCATTAAATCTATTTGCGAAATTCTATTTCAGAGTTGCGATGAGTATGTTGTATTTCCCTATTCAGAGAAACCATTAGGGGCCCTCTAACATCAATAGTACCCCACGTCCTATAAACAAGAGCGAGGATGAGGTCAAGAAATGAAAATACAAGGAAACTTCCCCACCTGCATTTATGCGTGCCCTTTAACTTAAAAATCATTTGGGGTTATTCAGCTGAATAAAGTTATTTGTTTGCACAGAAAGCACCTCTAATATGCCACTCATATTGATTTATGTTTGAGTGTTCTTGTCATGAAATCGGTAAAATAGATCTTGTCATTTGGAAAAATACAAAATAATAACACATCAGGTCACTTTAAGGGAAGACAGAAAGTCAGATTATTTTAAATAATGAACAACTTTTACTGCCATTGATGAAAGAAAGTTAATAAAAAAGGTAGTTGATGAATAACACACCCCCGGGTAATACAACTGAAGAGAAATAATTGTATTTATATTGCAATCCATTAACACATGTTTTCTTTAAAATAATATGCTTTCAGCTTGTAAGTTTCACGACTCACTGATGTTCAGTATAAGCAGTCATCAGCACCCTCTAGTGCCGTCTCATAATACTAAGCCAATGAATGAACTGCGCCCACAGCTACAAGTTTCCGAGGTTTCAACAGAAAATGATAGAAAAGGTAGGCCAGACCCACTGAAAGATTGAATATTAATTTTATTCAACTTTCGTATATTTCAATTATAGGTATCATTTAAAAATGTAATGAAAGATTACGTTTTAACACCAGGTGTAGTTCAACCAATAAGGTCTTCTCTTATTTACCTGTACTTCGGACGACCAGTGTACCTGTGGGTCAATATACATGAATATTTGTCTGACAGGAATGGTCGTCTTAGGAATAAAAGTACGGGTTTCCATATGATTAGTAAAGGTTATGGTTAGCTGGGGGATTTGGGGTTTGAACATGGGACAATAATCACCTGTACAAAGTATTGGAAAACGGACTAGAGTTTTCAGCGGATTATCATTCATGTCACCGCGGCACGTGGCGCGTATGCCTTTTAAGTATTTCGCTATCTAATCCAGTTTTTGACCAAATAATGCTTATTTAAGTTACTGATAAGAATGCCTAAATAGTCAATGGATCCATAGTCAAATAAGTAAGTTTGAGTTTCCCCCCTTAAAAAAATAATACGCTTTATTGAGTAACAATTACATCCGATAACCCTATATTTAATTTCATTGTTATTTTTATTGCTGGCTCACAGTCAAATAATGTTTCACGCGGATTTCCCCATTTTCCTGCTCTGGCTTTTTACGCCTTCCCGTTATTGTGCGACACCAGACTTTTATTATGTCATTGAGAAAGTGACACGTCGTCCTCCTTGGTGTGATTTCAATGTTTGTTAATTGAATGTTGACGTTTTTACACCCGATCCTCTGCCCTTTCTGCGATTAAACCATGACGTAATGAACGGCTCACTGTATTTTATACAGAGTCCAACAGGTACCTTATAGAACGGGTTTGTGAACCATTGTGACTGCTTGACGGCTGTGTCAATAAAACAGAATGTTGGCATTTATGTTTTCTGAAGCCAAACCCGCGTTGGCGAATACACAATACAACACCAGCTCTATTTCGGACCTCCTTGAATAAATTCAACATACCGTAATTTTGACAACAAAGCTCACCTATTGCTGGCGATGTTTAACAGCAAATGTTGACACGATTGGCTTTTCTTTTATGGAAGGTTGACTGAAGGGCACATTAGCTGCCATTTTAGTGGATGGATGAAAGTAACACCCATCGGTTGCTAAGTTGACGGAAGCAAATAGTAGTAATTCTACCCCAGGGCTTTAACCTAGCTGATTCCGCAAAGCTCTTTTGAGAAAGCCACTATTCATTACGTGGTATGCTTGATATTCGGATTAATCTGTTGGTACATTGGTGGCCGCCTAGTCAACGAAGGATGACTATGTTTTCGAGCGTGACATGTGCATCATATTATTACTAAAACTAATTTACATGGGGAGAGAAAAATAATTAGAATAGCCGTTTCCAGCGCAACAACTTATTGATTAATTCAGTTTTCTCTGCGCGACATCCTAGTGAACAATACTGGTAGTAGTTCTATGGTACACGGTGGAGTGCGATCTTCTTACACAAGAACAGGTATGTATAGCTATTACAACTTGAAAGATATGGCGTTCATATTTCAGATACCGTAATGGATTTTTTTCCTTTTCTTCGAAAAAAAAAGGGGTGACGAAAGGCTTACCGATGTATGGTACTAGGGGCGCTTTTAATTGAAAATAAAATGAAATTGAATTAAACATAGAATGGGGGTAATTAAATCTAACATCCGTAGATCAATGAAAAACTAAGGTATTTCCTGACGACAACTCAACAAATTTGAAACCGAATGAGGGAGCAACGATTTTTGAAGTTAGTTTATTTATATACCTGTGCTCTCTCCTTTTTTAATGTGTTATCTGTTTATTTAGGTATTCAAAATATCACGCCGATGGTAAAGTTAATATTGTATATAACGTTGCGGAAACAAGCATTAATATAGGGATTCAAGAGAGGAGAAAAAGAGACTAAGAAAACAAAATTAAACCTGTGTCTGGGAATGGAATCGATATTTAGTGAATTGAATCAAAGTAGGCATAGTTAGTGTAACGCTGATCGGTTTTATATAGTTCAGTTGCTATATACCTTACCCGGAAATTAGCCTGCTGTGGTGAAATTGGTCTCTCTGAGGACGCGCATTCTTCATGTCGTCGTGTCACAGTGTAATCATTAGGCACTCAGAGATGGCTTCTTATCAGTGAAGTGACCGGGTAAGTTTATATTTGTGTAATTCATATAAAAAACGTATCATTACCAGAGAGCATTTGCTGGAATATTTATATTGCTTTTGGACTGTTCAGAACTATGTGATTGTTACTAAAGCTTGTAAAGACTGAGAGAATCGGGGGATGGGTCTAGCCGTGTGTGTGTGTGTGTGTGTGTGCGTGTGTGTGTGTGTGTGTGACAAATATTTATAAATATATTTATATATGTTTCTTGTATTAATTCCGTGCCACTGTAATCCTTTTTTATATATATTCAGCAAGGAACACGTTGGCAGGAAATAATCTTTGAATACGGATTTTTGAACGCGTTTTGATATTAACCTCTTAAAGGCCCCATTTTCTGTACACTTAAAGTATCGTATACAATGTTTTAATCTCATCATTGGCCATAAAGAGCTGCGCACATGTTAAATCTAGCATGTCATGGTTTTTACTCAAATTGCAAATCTATAGAAAATGTTTCCAACATGGCACGTTTAAAAGCTCCATTGACAATTATTTGTCATTTTATTTTGATTGTAGTTGCAAATATCTCGAGTCTAAACACACGAAAAATAAAAAGAAATCAAGATGAAAACTGACTGGCACACAGCTGCTTATTTATGCCTTTCTTTCGGCAGTCAGATCTTTTTTTATATAAAACTCGATCGTTTCGGATTTGTTTGTCGTAGACATGACTCCGCCGCTCAAGTATGGTTGTTGACTGCACCTGACACTGTTTGCAAGCATTGATCGTTTTTCTCCATACACGCTAGGCTAACAGAGACCCAAAGCTCTGCACAACATTCTAATGAAGGTTTACACCAACATGGTTGCAAACCATTTACGAATTTTCCACGCTTGTTCAACTATCGATTCCCTGTTTTCAGCTCTTTTTCTATTATAAATTACATTATAAAAAGTCAAAGCATTATGAGGACTTTGTACTAGGTACGGGTATCCTTTGATTGACAACAAGAAAATCATGCATCAAATAACGTTTGAAATAGGACCTTTAATACACAAGCTGATGGTTTCTGATTCCACCCGAGTTATAATCCGAATTATGTCAGATCAAACGATACACTTCGTGCCATGGTAATAAGACCATATCTACAAGGTTTTATCAAGGGATTAAAGTTTTTTTACAAAAATTTGCGATGTTCAATGGATAGTTATGTCTAATTCATGACAGGTGAAAATAAAATGGAGATATTAGCGCTACCATGTAAATGGATACTAAGGTTTTAAACAATATTTTCTGATGCCTTCACGCAACAATGAGCTAACTTTGAAATGCTTTGTTTTAGCAAAGAGTCAAATATATAGAATTTAATAAAATCTTGGGAGCTAAACTTATGAATGTGCTTAAAAGAATTTTGATAGTGCTATCAACCCCAAAAAGTCAACAACCATTTACATCTTTTTTTAATGCAGCAACTGCGTTAAAGATATGCTCAGCTTTTTCTATTAAAGGGATACCATCCGTGTTCAAAAATGTCCCAAAGTTATATTTACTATGTCTACATATTCTGCAAAGCTACATATCTTTAGAAAAAGATTTTTTTTAAAGTGGTCTTGGTGACTGGTCTTTAATTCTAAACTAAATTTTAGCTAGAATAGAGAAGAGTAATTTTGCTAGAAATGATGTAAAACATCGAATCTAAACGCAGGGTAGGACAAAATTGTTTTTCTTTATTTAATTTTAAGGAAAATTCAATTTGGCTGGAAAATCCAGGAAAGGTTACATATTAGAAAAGATTGTGTAGACAGGGGTACTTGCGCCTGGTAATGCACTGGGAAGCCCTGCCTCTTAACAAATCAACTGATACCTGTTTAGGAAAATTACAGGTTTTCATGAACTGAAATTCTATGTAAGCCCGATAGCAGTTTTCTGCTTCATTCCGCCGTCTCTAACGTAATTTGTGATTGAAAGAGATCTGTTCAGCCGGCCTTGTATTTGCTTGTTAAAGCAGTTCGATAAAATTTGCTGGCGAGATCGTGAACTGTATTAATTAGCACCGACCACGCCCTTCCTCACAATACGTCAAATCGATTTACACTTTTCTTAATTCTCTTATCAACTTCCAATTGTCAGTGGGACGCTAAATGGCTAGGTACGTAGGGTAGTGCGTTCCTTGCTTTCTCCGTGTTAGCTAATCGAATATCATTAAAGTACGTTTGTAAATGACCACTGGTTGAGAATGTCACGTCTGCAGCGCCCCAGGTTGTTTTGTTTTTGCCTAACTATGAAAACAAAGATGTCACTTCTTCTATGTTTCTGCATGTTTGGAGTCGACATATTTATTCTGAAAGCAAAGTTACCCAAGCCATAAGACAATCAGATAGGTCAAAGCGTGTGGTCATATTGACGCTAGACCCCGAACACGGACAAACACGGTACAGACAGAGAGAAACAGTTTTAAGGGTAAGAAAACTCCAGTAAAAATAAACCGCATTCTTAAGCGTGGGGGAGTCATGAACGTGGTAAGGAAATTCGATTGTGTAATTTCTGACGGAACTGGGGATTGATCCAAGTTTTGTAAATGGTATTATGGTGTGTTGTGTTGTTCGGGTGTTTTGGTCAGTTGTGTTGGGTGTTTTGGTCAGTCTCGGCCGTACAATAATACGTTCTAGGTGTGCTAACAGTGGCACGTATAGTGTTGCATCACAAGTATATCAAAGAAAGCAACAAAGGGGCATCGAAATTTATTTCAAAAAGAAATGACCAAGTTTGCTTTGATTTCACGCCGGAGGAAACAGCAAACACGGTCCATTATTTTAATAATTCTGGTCATCTTTATTAGTACGCTCACTGTAACTATGGGGTGTTGAAATTAACAATAAAAATTGTTTAGGATTTGTTTTCTTCAAATTCTTGCGGCGGTAATTGTTCAACTGGCCGCTACTAGGACATATCATACATGTAAACACGTAACATGGAAGTAAGACAGCGGGCAAGCGCAGGACAGACATGTCAGTGAATTCTGAGACAAGCCTTATTGTATTTACGTTTTAAAAACTTTCTATGTTATATTTCAGTTAGTCATTATTTTCCGGAAAAGTGTGTTTTCTAAGAAATCGATTTCTCTTTTACCACCGACGGGCCGTCGTGTTGAACATCAGCCCAAGTGACTTGGCGAGAAAAAATATGATCTAACGAGCATTTCATTGTTTTCTCTGCTCAGTATGCTCATTTTTCATAATCTCAAGTCATTAAAGCGGCTGCAGTATGAACAAAGTAAGTGGATGGCGTTCTTTATTCATGTGACAGCAATGTGTCGTTTTTAATATAAAACCTTATCGTTTCTTTTTCAATTTCAGTTGATAATGTGACAGAGGACGATTAAAATCTGAGGGGAAAGGTGAAATTTACAGAAATACACACCCAACCGTATGTGGATTGTATCACGTTCCCTGTACAGACGCAAGCAATTTCATAAATAGCGTTGTGGAAACGGCGTGAAGGTGAACCAGCATCTGTTATTAGCCATTCCATATCAATAGAACTGGTATCACACCTGCATAACGCAGCTACAGGTGAGCGAATTGCCAGTCATACTGAGCACAGAGAGTGGGGAGGATTTCAGCCTACTGTATGAACTCGACAGGAGGTCGGTACTAAGAAGTTTATATCAACAGCATGCACAACGACAACGTTGACAGCAACACGCATAGAGAATCTTACGGGAATACCTAGAAACTCATTCGGGCATGTGAAATAAAAACGAGATATTATCATTCTCTACGGAATTAGACTCAGAGCACCAGAACGGAGGAACTTATGTTCGAATATAGAAAACACAATGGCAAGAATGTAGAGGAAATCACTTTCTTTCTGATTTTTTGAACATGTACTTGAACATCCTCCTAACGTCAGGACAACACAATGGCGACCAAAAAACCTAACAATACTCATCCGAGGATTCGGTGTAAAGACATCCCTTTTATATCTCCGTCCATCTTGACTGTGTTCGTTGGATTACTAGTTACAGCCGGCGGGGGAGGCTTGTGTGTTGTTGGATATTACGCAGACTATTTTTCCACAGAAACTGTCAACGCGGCTAACGGCACGGTGACGTACAGGACGAACGACGTGTCACGTAGCTGGCTGGTGGCTATGCCCTACGTCGGCTCCGTCATAATGGGGATAGGCTCGTTTTTAATCATCGTCGCCTGTGTGGTAGTGTGTGAGGCATGGGACAGAGTTAAAAACAGTAAAATAGAATCAAGTACATCGGCAAAGAAAAGCCCCAAAGACATATTTTACTCCACCGTGGTCGAGGAGGTGGCGCGTGATACCAAAACCAGGCAAGACCGTCTCTCGGCTACACTGCGAGGGGAAAACGACCTGCAAAACAGACCACTTACAGCGATAAAGGAAGCAGCACTAGAGACTTCGCAGGAAGAAAAACCAAGCTTTTTAGAGAGAATAGGTCTGAGGCGTAAAGAGAAAAATGCTGAAAAACCTATAGAAAATAGCGAGACTATCTCTAAAGCACTCAAGCAAATTCCAATGGAATTATTTACTCTGACGCCATTTGAACATCGGTGTAAATCTAATAGTGGCTTATCTGAAGAAGGGAGGTCCATGTCGAGTTGGAGTTTACCAGATGACATAAATAAAAACAAAAAAGCGGGTAGTGCAAATTCCCAAGCGGATTTGTTCGAATACTGTAAAGAGTGTTCCTCAAATTCTAGCGAAACGACATCTCCCAATTTGTCGAAAAGACCCCCAGGGTTTAACACGCGGCTCATCCCACCACAAGGTGTGGGGAGCCTTTACTGTGATACCGCCTCCAAACCCACGACTCCTGATTTATCCCACAATGTCCACAGACCGGGCGGGGTCATTAAAGTCAAAGAAAAATGTGTCGACCCTCTGGAGGACGACTCTCAGCATTACCCTAAAAGTGACGTCTGTGTGATAGTCCACGAGGTATCGGTGCACAATGAGGATGATACCCAAGTAGAGAACTTTTTTTCTTTAACGGCCAGCAATACTCCTGATGAAGCGAATACTTCTCCAGGCGATCACTTAGCTAGTAGTGTATAATAACGGCTAATGTGGCCTTGGACTAGATTGATATTGATATGTGATTGTTGTTGAAAGCCTTGAAAAACTCACTATTCTGATTACCAACAAGTGTTTCATTGCAATGCATTTTAATTGACTGTTCTGTATAAAGAAAGTATTCATCATTTCCATCAATCCATCATTTTTCTCATTTAACTTTGATTTTATTGTAATTTGATAACCCAAAGAGTGAGATCGTCATTAAATATTGATAATATATGCAGCTCCTGTTGAAAGGTAAATGTGATGATGTACTTTGTAAGCGATGCAAAACAAACTACGATGTATGTCGTTTGTTGATATTTTCGCAAGGATTTTAAGCCATCAGAAGCCCCCGAAAGGTAATTTAATATGATTTAAGGGGCTGCTTCAGCACTAATGTTTCGTTAGTAGGTAATCACTATATCAATAGATGTGCTGATACGAAGCTCAACTCCTGTGTATGTATGTTTTACTTGCTGTGTACGGAAAGTCGTACATATCTAATTCTAAATGGGCTGTATCCACGCAATACCGCCTTAAATGATGCATTACAATATGTTAAGGTTAGATACTGCTTCAATACTGCGGGCTATCAATGTAAGAATAGAATCCACGAACACCAGCCTTAAATACAATTATACCATATTTAACGTTCCTGTCTACTCTATCCATCGATTCATTTTTACAAGAAATGTGAACATGCTTGGTAAATACGGCAACCTGGACTGGCGCTGCGCGCCGTATTGTGTCCGTTGCCTGAGCTCACGTTGTCATTCAGAGATCGATGGCGACCGTTTTAAACCAACTGATGGTAATTAGCTTGAGTGGATTTTGATACCGCGAAGACTGCTTTTATTGACGTATTACTGAACATTCAAGAGAAAACATTTAGAAGTTTCTTAGCGATATCAACGATCTCTTTGATTCGGGATGTAGTTTTCATTATGACTGTAGTTTTTTTTATTACGAATGGGAACGAAAACACGCAATCTGATTTGATATTAAAAACTGAGATAACTTTTAAGTCCCAAATCACCCTAGGTTTCTCAGAGCCAATTAGTGCTTTCCAAACACTGTAATTCTTAGAATTGCAACCTTTGTGATCGGACTTGAAAGCAGTGGAATTAATATAAGAGTAGAACTACTCAGACTGCCATCTTTGTTCAAGTGGAGAATGTTTTGATAAAAAGTGAGAAACGCCATAAAAGAGGAATATGTCTTCAAAGGGTCATACCCATATTCGAATTCCCTCCCCCCAATTGATAGTTATTTGTGAATATAATAACAATATTTTTATTCTTGCAGCGGTCGGTACAAATCAAAATAGTCACTTGTGTCTCAAAGGAAGTAATTAGCTAAGCCTTCGATCAACTGCTTGACAAGCATAGAAAATGAAGCATATTGAGAGCAAAGCACTCGCTGGCAGGAGGAAATCTTAATAATGCGGGCTATTATTGGTTTTAAAAAGCATGTTGCCACCTGCTGGTGAACTGGTGTTTCGGATATTTAGCAAAGGCGGATTTTATAGAGGACTCTTTTAGCCAATGTCATTGCATTAAGTCCCCTCCCTTGACATTCTAGCATTACGTGGCTTAAATTCTTTAATCAATCGACCACGAGGAACATTCTTTGTCCAGATCCCAGAATCCGGAGTGATTAATGTACTTATGTAGCTTAAGTTTGAGACGAGTATGATAGCCAGATTTGGACAGATGTTAAGAGGCTTGCTTATGCCACCAAGTTGTGAGTAAACCCCGCGTGAACAGAGTAGCCTCAATGAACGCGCTTAAAGCACAACTTATGTAATCTTCCAGCTTCTGCTATTACAACGAAACCGCAATGCATCTATAAATTTACAATTAGAGGGATGGTTTTATATCTGTTATATATGCTATATTGCAAGTGAAAATAATTAATATTTAAACACACAACCAAATATACAAATAGAAAAAACGTAAAAACGTCATATGTTCAGCCGACAAAAATATATATTCACGTCGGCTGAATTATTAAAGTATCCCAAAGACAGTAAAAAACAAATAAAGATTTGTTTATTAGTTCAAACTTTGTAGGTTCCCAATCTTTGTTGAATATATTTCCTCTTTGCTATGAGCACTTTATTTCTCGAAAATCGGTGCATTTGTCGGAGTGCTTTATTTTGTCTGTCTAGTCGTTGTATCCAAACCTACAAACTACTGCAATTTCCGTGGTTCTAGGACCTCGCCTGTGTACAACCACAATTCAGCAGTTCAACATTTGATAATTAACGTCATTTTGAAACCTTTGGGAAACGTTTTCGTCAAGATTACAAGAAGACTTAAAGGTGTTGTTTTTACCACTTCAGAAATGGTCTGTTCATTTCGGTGAACGCTGTCTGAGAATCCATAATTGCTTGGATGGCATTTAGTGAGTTTCTGTTTAAATGGTTGAAATGAGAAAACATTCCGAAAAATATTCACCTTTTATTAGAAGTTTTTGACTTTCTTTTCGCAATTTTACATTTGTAACCCTATCTAAATTTCTCTTAAAATTGGGATCCTGAAAAAGTACCGGTATTGTAAATGTAAAAATATAGACCCACTAGAGTAGTTTGAAAATATGTAATGATTTTAGTAGTTATCTGTTCATTTTGAATGACTTAGTATGAGAATCTATAATTACTGGATGAAATGAGAAAACATTCCTAAATATTTTCACATTTTATTAAAACTTTGACATTCTTTCGGCAAATTAGGATTGTTAGCCCAATCTAAATTTCTCTTACAAATTGGGATTTTGGAAAATAAATACACATGTAAGAATATAAACACACTGTAGACAAGGGTTCGAAAATATCTGATGATCCGTACTTGGACGAAATACAACGTTTTATTCGTCCTAGATATCAGCATGAGCATATTGCCATCCAGAATTTTGAAATTTCGACCAGCACTCTTGTGCTCCACGTTAGGTTTGAACTCTGTGGTCAAATCATTATTTGTTGATCAGCACCATCACCTCGTTAAGCTTGTTAAGGCAAAATTTGCAAACATTCATTTTCCGCCCCCTGGGTCCCATTGTTCACCCCCCGTTCCTGGCTTTGTGTATGGTTTGCTAATTTTGTTACTTTACGTCCCAACTCCGATGTTGCTATACATTGTCACTATACCAATTCAACACATTCTGTTTACACAGTCACTTCTAATATTTGCGCATCGTTTCTTCTATGTTACTATTCACATTTTCGTGCTTGTGAAAGTCAAGTCAATATGACCCGACACGTATGAATGTTAAATCGCACAGAAAACAGTTGTATTAATTCTAACATGGAAAAGTTTTACTTCAAGCACCTGGCTGGCAAAAGCTTAAACGCACTTTATTATAAGTGATTTTTAACCCACCAAGTAGCCCGCAGCAGACTTAGCCAACTCTGTCCCAGATATTAGACATATATTGTGCATTGTATAAGTAATTGCAGTATAGAAGCTTTTATGTTGATACAAATAGTAAAGATTTATTCATAGCGGCTGAATGTTCTTGCTAAATCTGGCCTACATTAATTGTCCTCACTATTGACTGTACACCCGACACTTGTTACAGAATTCTTTGAGAAATACAATTTAAGCATGAATTGTAAATCGGCTATTTTGAGTGACATTTTACTTGAGCGTTCACTGTGTTATAAAGACTAGGAGCACGTCGTTGGCATAGCAAACGTGACGTCACGCTTTATGTAAGCAAGTTAAGGAGAGGCGCGGAGAAATCGATTCGTCATCATCAGACGTGTTTTTTTTTCTCTGTCTCAATGTTGCATATTAATGTAAGATACACCGTAACTAAAATACAACACACGGGGGTTTTGATAAACAAAGTTAAATTGAATTTATTTTATGAAAATAACACCCAAAGGGTAAGACAAACCATGTTTTCTTTTGCCCGAGGGTCTAAATATAGAACTTTTCATTGTGTCCTTGAGTCTATTTAAATAAAATAAAACAACTTGTGGGCAAGTGACAAGGTCACAAAAGTCAGACAAAGTAACACTTCGCAACATCAAAAATCACAAGTTTCTATTCAAATACAGCATAAAAGAAGCACTGGTCAAGCCTTGGCGCGTTGGACTGTAGTTTTGTTAGGCTTTCTTTGCTCGAAATCAAAAGTTTAAGAAATAGATTTTCAATAAATGCATGCACCTACAATAATTTGCAGTCCAATATCAAATATCCCTTTTTGTAGAGATTATTAAAAGTATACTGTGTGGGTGTTTGACAACGTCCCAAGTCGTACTTTCATGTTTAAATATCCTGCAAAAGGACTAATCTTTCTCGATTCAGACCTCTAAAATGATAAATACCTTTTAAAAAAAAACCACTTATGTCGATATTTCTTTCCGAGGTTAAAAACATGGCGGTCTCAGAGACTTGGGAATCATTTAGCACTAAATCAGGGAATTGAAAATGTTAAAAAACAAAACATTCATGCGTGAGTTGGAGAATTATTATAATTATTAATGTTACTTTTATTATTATTATTATTATTATTATTATTATTATTATTATTATTATTATTCATTTCATTATTATTATTATTATTATTATTATTTTTATTTTTTTTATTTTTTTATTTTTTTGGTAAAAGAAAATCCAATTGGTGCAAAAGTCCGAGAAAAGATACTGTAAACTTGTACCACTGAAAATATTTCGGACTGATATATTCTTAAAGAAATGCCAATGTCGAATTTAACTGCAGGGCTATTTTTAGCATCCTTTTGAAAAATCCCTAAAGCTTCTCTGTGCCTTAAACTACGAATTTCGCAAGAACTACGAATTTCATACTTTACGTACAAAAAGCATCAGTTGCATGCATTTGCAAAATAACTTAAACAACGACATTAATAATATACGCAATTAAATAAATAAATAGAACGGATGAAATAAAATAATTCAAGTCAAAGAAATAAGAAATACAGATCCCGGCATTTTGTGTCAAAGATTGACGATTGAAGTAAAGAACTGATAGGGTTCTATTTCCAGTGCCAAGTAAAATAATCGCTGCAATAGGTTGGTTAACAAGTGCTTCTTTTGCACCAAATTTGTTTAATGGGGGAGCATTTCAAAGTGTCTAATAGCTTCCCGAATGGCGTTTTGGCTGCAGACAGACAGATTGGGAAACCAGACCTCCACACTACTCGAACCCCCCACCCCCCTCACTAGGTCCTTCCTGCCTTCACTTATCCCGACTACTCAGGTAGATCTCAACACACAGCCATGGTACACCACACAGACACGGTACGAGTACTTGCATTATATGGATTACATCTCTTCCGATAACACATTAAACGTTACATAAGCTTTTTAATTAACAAATATCTACAACAGATAATGCATATTTTTTTATTTCTAAACGATCTTAGTATAATATATAATTCAGAATTTCATGTTATCTAGGTTGCAACGATGACTAAATAATTAAGAGTCAGCAATATGATTGCAGAATTGCGTTACTTCCAGTGATGTACCTTTGCAATGGTAAAAGCACGCTTCAGTAAGCACTACACTACTGTTATGGACTGATTTCGTCTCTGAGGTAAATGTTAAGTTTGAAGTCTACAACACAGCCCAGGTTTGACATCACGACTAGGGAATAAGCTGCCAGTCATAGCCGTCTATGTCGGCAATGGATTATTGCAGTCGCTCGTTTTTTGAAGATGTTGAACTTTCAAATAAAACGTACAATCAAAAATGCGATAAAAACTAGGGTTTGTGCCAACATTAAAACTGGCACGTACCCGAAAATATATTTACTTCCAGAATTAGGAGCTGGGTTTGGACGAAATAAAGAGTTTAATTTAACACCAATTAAGGTCTTGTTACTTTTCCTTATCTTTGTAGTAAATGTGCTCTTTTCAACTGTATTACCTTGTCGAAGGATAACTCACAAGTGAATTAAGTGCTTTCTGCCAAGCAGTGCAATTTAATGACCATTTGCTTTCTAATCTGTATCTTTGCACGTTCCATTTTTATAAAAACCACATACAAACATACCCATACCAACTGTTATGCACTGTTATTCTACTCAACCTGTAACTTTATTCCAATCTATTCTCTGTGTGCACCAGGAACAAATTTCCTCTTCCAAAGCAATATACTATGGAGTGAACCAAGTGCATGTTTTTTCATTCAATAACTCTGCTGACACAAGCTCTACATTGGCACCCCAAGTGACCCTCTGGTCACCATGTTACTGGCTATGATGTGCTCCTTACAATATCCTGCACCATACACTGGTGATGGGCAAAATGTACTGAAATTACCATAGTATATGGCACATGTGGTGAAATCTTCCATGATCATAACCTTATGCTACATATATATATATATATATATATATATATATATATATATATATATATATATATATATATATATATACAAATGATCATTTGCATTTCATGAATACATCAAAGTTCAGGCAAACAAACAGATTCCCACATCATAAAGAGCACAAGTCTTCCGTTCCTGAAATTCCCCTTGTGAAATGCACGGCCCTGGCTGGCTTCTGAGTTCAGTAAAAAGTTTTCTTGCTCACCTGACATCACTTCTCTCACCTGACTAGTACAGGTGGGCAACCCCATACTACCTGACATATACTAGGCCTTTACCCAAGTCCATCTATTTTCCACACTACCAGATGTATGCAGTGTACCTGGACCATTATAAAAGGTCAAAAACCATCAAGTAACAATGAAATGCACACAGAAATGATGTACTTCCTAATTTTCTTATAGATCACCACTGTGAAAGTCATAGTTGAACACAAAATGGTATTCAACCTTGATATTCTACCCTTAACCTATCCTTGTGTAGATGAACACGCATGTCTTGCCCCCAGTGTCTCTTTCAAAGGGCCCTTGGGCTGGATTTCTAATGCAGAAACCACAAGCAGCCCACTTTTCTGGCAAACTAACATTAATCAAGTTCAATTGCTTGATATTGTTCAGAGTCTCTATATTATTAACTTGACAATGGAATGATGAAATGATCTAATTTTTTTGACAAAGACAAATGACATTAAACCTCATGCACAACTGCATTAATGAATGCTTCTAAAAACACAGGAAAATATGACATAGGCTTGTTGACATAAATCCACATGTAATACCAAGATGATATTACACCAGTAAGGCAGGAGTAGGTCTCTTCCCAGGCCAAGCTTCCTTGGCATATTTTTTCTTCTTGGGTTCTTTCTGTTCAATGTCCATACTGACCACAGCCGGAGCAGGTGCTATCTGCAGCATGGAGCTGGACACTTCCTCTAAGTCAGGTGCCAGGTTTGGCACAGGAAGACCCAGCTTGGTGGCAATGCTATATGTACTGCTCACCAGTCCAGTCTCGTCTGTGGCTGACGGAAGATCTGAGTATAAATGTGATCCAAAATGACCTTGACCTTGGCGAACTTGAGGAAACATGGAACTCCCACTGCCTGCTGCATCTAGCTTTGGTTTCTGGAATGAAATATATATATGCACCAATGTAAAAGTTATATCTCAGCTAAAAACCAGGCAACCTGTACGCAGTAAAACACCTGACTTGATGTGCTGTTCAACTTCATGATGTAAACTAATGACAGTGCAGTGATGCACATATACATTATAACAGGTGCTTGGCAGGATGAAAATGTTATCAAGTTTCTCTTGATTCAAGATATACAAAAATCTCAAAGGGCACATTCATAAATGTTCATATATAAATAAATAATAAATGTTCATAAATAAGTAAATTAATAAAATGGAAAAAGCAGAATGTGACATTTCTTATTGACTTTACATTAAGAGTTATAATCACAATACCTTAAAATATAACACAGTGTTAAAACTATACTGATAATGCAGTTGTTAAGATGACAAATTCTCAATTAAAAACAATTTTGCCTAACCACTGATAAGCTTGACTACTGCTCAGTCACATTTCTCTTTAACTGTTCATAATGTTCTTGTTTAATTGTGGTTGAGGTATATACTGAGATATATATTATTGCAACAGTTCCTAACAACTGCATATCCAGCAAAATAACCAAGTTCTGATGCAACTCTCCCATCAACATCAATTATGGCAGTGCTGCATCAGTGCTGATGTGAATCAAGACAGCCTTCTGTTCTCACCTTTGATGGGATTACCATAGTGCTGATCATGTTCCTAAATCTACCCACTGTGGGATCAATGTCCTCTGAAACAGAACATCCCATTTTTGTTAAAATAATTTGAAAAATATTGTATGGCTACCATAGGTCTATCTTAAATGAACAAAGCCATTAAAGCAATAATAACTCTTCCTTTGAGATTCAAAAATCCGCATGAAATACATTGTAAACAACGCATGGAAATATATTCTATTGTATTTTACCACTAAAACGGCCGTTATTGTAGGAAAACTAAAATCTGTGCTTGTCAATAGGGCTTACGATGCCTTTTTTCCGGTCGACAAGTGCATTCGTTGCTAATGACGTAATGGTGTCACGCGGATTCTCGCGTTCATTCGAGACCAAAATAACATGGCGCCAAACGCATTAGTGCAGACGCAGACATAAGTTGCGAGTTTTTGTACAGTGCGTCGGATAACGAAAAGCCCAGAATGGCACACATTGTGGATATAAATGCATTTTTAACAAAAAGACGAATATATCTCATGAATCTTATATAGTGTTGGTTGTTGGTTTTAAGTAGGTCACCAGTGACTTTGCAATGTCACAGAGAGCTCCGTCAGTTAAAATCTCTTAAGAGATTTTAACAAAAAACCGTACCTTTAGGAAAAAAACCCTGGATTAACTTTGAATGCAGGAATGGGGTCGTTGGCCATTGGTAAGTACGGGAAAATTGCCCTTTTTTCCAGGAAAATCCAATTTTTGGCCAAAACGAAGAGTTATTATGACTTTAAACATTTAAAGAATTGTAAGGATACCATTTTCATAGGTCTCTCATAAATGCATAAAACCATTATACATTTACAAGAATTCTATAAGTTAATGTCAAATTGTGATGAACAGAGCTAATAGTGGTACCACATGAACATAAATAGAAAGATTTTAATGAAAAATATTTTGACGTTTTCCCACAATGAGCTCACTCTAAAATATTTTAGCCCCAGAGTAAAAAAAAAACTTAAATAAAATAAAATCTCAAAGGTTCAACCACTTACAAACTGAACCAAAAATTTTTCATTTGAACCATTTTGATAGGGAAATAAATGCCAAGAAGTTAATCACCTCAACTTNCATGCTGATTTTCGAACTTGACCTGCGTTTTATGAATATTAGTCAGCTCTGTAAATATAAAGCCAAAAAGTAAAACTGTCTTTCACTTATGGTGTTAACGCTGAAAGTGCACGGCGACGGCGACGGCGACATGATCGGCGACGGCGACGACGACGACAGACGCAGGTGATGGCAATATGTACAGACACATCTGTGTCTGTACATAAAAATGCAGCAACTGAGGATATTCTCAGCTTTTTCTATAAAAGGATACTATCTGTGTATGATTATGTCTCAGTATTTTCGATGTCTAAATTTTCAGCAAAGCTACAATCTGTCCCAATTCGAACCTCAAAAGTAACAAAACCCTTAAAAGTAGCTGATTTAGTCATTTACAATGAAATAATTAGAAATGGTATAAAACATCAAATCCAAGTACAGTGAAGGGTAGAAATATGATTTATGTGCAGAAAAAAGTTTCTTCTCTGAGAGGAAGATGTATTTGGTGGGAAAATACCAGATATGATACCTTTAAATAAAATAAATCAGGTTTCTGTCCCTGTATGTAACTGACAAGCCTAGCTAGCAGGAAACATTTAATTTATCATTATTTAGTTTAGCCTTTATTTAAACATTTTAAGATCTGTTTAACTCACCTGGATTAATGACTTCGTCCTCTTCTCTAAACCCCACAGATTTCCGCCGCCTCTTCCTGTTCACCATCGGGACATCCGCTATATCTCCTATGGCAGCTATCCTTCTATTATGTGCTGTGTTGAATTCTGTTAGATTCTGTTTACAAAATAAAAGAATAAACAGTAAGGGTACTTTTTCAATCATGTTACTCAGTATATCAGATATGATACCATATAACTGAGAGATTATTAAATTTTGTAAGTGTACCATTTTAAAGTTGCTTTGACTAAAAATGCTGAAATCCCATGCAAAAATATGACTCACTAAACACTCACTTACGCTTCTCAATCTGTCCTAGAACATAATATTTTTCTCTTTTAATGAAAAATGTTCTTAATCTGTTCTAGGACATTCTGAATGACTTCCCAAAAACAGTTCATGAACTGTTACATTCATTACAAAACAACATTAGAACTGTAAAAAACATACACCAAATGTTCTAGAAAAGTGAACGTTAGATGAGACTATTTTTCCCAGGGGATGTCCTTCTTCTTAAAATGTTAACATTATTCTTCATACTAAATGTTTGCCTCATCACCTCTAGCTCAGTCTCAGACTCTGGCAACCCCAGCAGTCCTCCTTCACCAATCTCTTCTCCTGTTTTGTCTTTATCATCTGAGTAAGTAGACGGCATCTGAGGACGCTCTCTGATAATATAGACCCGCGAGGAGGCACCAAAGTGGAGTTCACTGTCTATTGGGACTTGCTGAGGTTTCTTCAGGTCAAGCCTAATGTGACCTATGAAAGTACCATGTGCTGGAAAACAAACACCAATCAATCCTGATGGAAGTTGATCTGTGGAATACTGTTATTCATATTGAGGATAATATAAACTGTTCAATTTTTACAGGTAAAAGCACACCTGTAAAAGCATTCATCCAAACACTTGGGACTTCGTCCTACTGGATCCAGAGACCATTTCAGTTAGTGCAGAAACTGAACAGTTTAAATTTTCTTCAATATAATTAACAATCAAAATAATCTTTGACAATACATAAATTTTCTTTCTCAGACAAAAAACAGTAATGCAAAAAAGAATCATAGTCGTTGATATTCACTTGTTTCAGTATGACTTACATGCTACATCAGGTGTAGTGGTGTAATAATGTACATTATGTACATGGTGATAAAGGATGCTAAACTCACAACAACAATTTTAATAATAATATAACTACAAATGACGTTCACCATGATATTAAGATATACTTACTGCTCCCCAGGTCTATGATAAAGGGTCGTCCTAAGTGTTTGTGCCACACTAAAGCTGCATGAACACGAGAGCAGGAGGCATGGTCGATGCAGAAATCACACAGCTGTTTATTGCGGCCAAAGAAATAACACTTTTTCTCGTCAATCATTAATTTCTGAAATGGAATAGCCATAAATTAGTACAATTAACTTTTGACAGTTTAATTGCATTCTTTGATAAAATAAGTTGCAATTGCTTTTAACAATACACCAACTGTTCACAAATATGTAAAATGAGCATGGTGTGTTTGAGCAACCTATAAATGGTAAATCAGTTCTCATGATAAACTAGTAAAAGCTGGATACTACTTGTTACCCTGTGTATCAGTGAAGTTAGGTAGATCACAATCCGCTAGGGGCGCTACAGTCGTAACTATCCATGGGCAGTGAAGTGTAAAACTGAAGTCGGCCTGCTGACAGTTCGCCATGGAACCCCTTTTTTAAATCTCTCTTTTAGCGCCGCGTAAAAAAACTAATACAAGCCATTAACTAAATAAGTTGTAATTCAAAGAGTAAAATCCGGTCATGTGATTTTCCCATGTTTTCTGTCTTTGACAAGTTTCGGTTCTGCTTGTTTTAAGTTTTGCCTCTACAAAATGCTAAAAAATTTCAGGCAAGTGCTGGTATCATCTTTTTGAAATTTATATCCAGCAAAGTTTATGAAATTTGCTATATTATGTAGAAAAATCATGAAATTTGAAGGTTGCGAAGTATAGTTAATTTAATCCACAATATTACATGATGTGAAAATTATCACAGGGAAATAGCTTTGCCCTGATTAGTCACAGGCTACGTGAGCCAGACAATAGGCTGAGTACACAAAGACACACAGGGTGCTCTGCTGCGCCTGAGTGATCACTGCTGGTCAGTGGGCACAGGTTTTGAGCTGAGAAGTGTGGACACTTTTGGTGGATTTTTGCAGTTAAAAAACTTCAATATCTTTGTTGCTTGTAGGAATATTTAAAAAATTCCAAATGATTTCATCCGGTTTTTGCATTACCTTTCAGATGATATAAGTATTTTAATTTTCTGATCAGTTTAAAATTTTTTCTGATATACCTAGTGAAGTATGTTTGCAGGGGTATATGTCTTAAGATAAATAGACAGTCATTTTCATATCTCTGGCTTTTGGTCATTTTCCCTATAATATCTGCCACCCTGGTAGAGGGTAGACATACCTTACCAACCACATCCACTGAATGCAAACTTAGACATGGCTGACCACACTTACCTGAATCATTTTGCCCTCTTTGAGGACATCTAAATGAAGTCCAGGAGGGGGTTTCCCAGCCCTGTAAAACATTAAACATTTTTTCATATTTAATAACATTTGCTCTGATCGGAGAAAGAAAGAATGTACAGTTTCACTGCTTGTGGCATTGTGCTGTTGATTTTTTGGTCATTTTAAAGTAAATATATTATAATAAGATTGAAAATTAGGAGTTGTATTAGAAAAAAACGCATATAATTCCAATCCGGAATGGGAATGACTGAGTGTAACATAGTGCACTATTAAATCAATTGCTCTATTCCTCTCGGTTGAAAACATTTGCTTACCAAGTGGGCACCTCAAAATTATTAGCATTTACAGTCGCCATTTATCAGTGATGAGCATGTCTATAAAATTAGGTCAGGATCCATATTTTGCAAAGGTGGTGAGTTTAGATAATATATCGCATAAATGACCATTTGATAATACAGAATTATAAAAATTCTATATATGTGAGGAAAAAATATTTGTATAATTGAATAAAATAACTTATTTTTCTCACCAATTTACTTTTTGTTCCAGCCTTTGGTACAAGTTTTCGTTGAAGCCAAGACGAACTTTACAGGAAGCCAACAACACGATGGCTGACTTGGTGGGATACGGTTATGCTGCCTTCGTGACGATCGGTGGAATTATAGGCTACATTAAAGCTGGTAATAGCGTTGTGCATTTTCAAAGCTTCAGTGTGTGTGTAGTTTGTAGTGCGTACGTAACCATTGCCACAGAGTTTTAAGGGTATAATGTAGCGCCAGTAAATGTGTCCAATGACATCCACTTTGTCACTCATAATATTGTTACCACCGTTCTTCGTGCCATGAACATGGATTGAGGACAAATATATGGATTGAATTAAACCAATGAGACAAATAACAATAACGTTAATCGACATCATTAATAATTTTAATTATAAATGTATGAAAATGTTGAATAGCCCAAAAATGCTAAGCCTGTACGATTTTGAGATTTTGACACTGTACTTGTCTCAAATGTAATAATTTTCTTATAGGTAGCACAGTGTCCTTAGGCATGGGGCTGCTTATGGGTGGTTTGTCAGGTGTCGGCGCTTACATGAATTCTCAGTCTCCCAGGAGCTGTGTGGTTCTTCTTTGTAAGGACATTCTGTTTCTTCGATGTAGTTTGTTATGAAGTGTCAGTGAACTGTGTGGAATTAAATTTATAGTTTACTTTTATTTCTATGCTGTATTGTTCTCAATACCAGATGTAAATTTTAAAACATTTGGGACAAGTAAATGACGACTTATTTTTCAGTTACTTTAACTGTACATAAAATGGCATATTATATAATAATGTCGCAAGATGGACGTCATTAAAAAACTCACTGCTGTTGGAAAAATGTGACCTCTTTGCCCTATGTTTTGAAAACCAGCATATATACATTTTCAGTATCAAGTGGTGCATTGGCTGCAGCCATGGGTGTGAGATTCTACAACTCTGGCAAGATCTGGCCACCAGGGGTCATGGCAATACTGAGGTACGTACAGGAATGAAAATTATGTTTGATTGATTCGAGGCAAATTAAGGTGGAAGGTGCAGTTTTCTCAGTCTTCACAGCCTTTGAACATAAACTGAAAGTGTGTGTTATGTGTGAAGATACGTGATGAAAAAGGCAGGTGTTTAAACTGTAGATTTATGAGGTCCTTCCTAATTTGGAACACAGTTACAAATGTCAATATGAGAGTCACAGTTCATTGTGAGAGTCACTAAATGCCACCCTAATGTTATTTTTAACATCAAAATAATTTTTTAAGTTTAATTCTGCACCCCAAATTACATTTGTCCTGAACTCAACACAGTGCTTCTCTGCTGTTTAGAGATCTGTAGAAATAAAATTGCAGCCGTGATGCAAGTGGGCAGCCCATTCAGAATAGAGCTGCAAAAATATTTTTTAACATTTATTGAGTTCAAGATTAATGAAATTTGGGGTGCAGAATCCTAATAGCAAGTTATTTTGATGTTTAAAGCAGCACTGAGGTGGCATTTTGTTATTTAGTTACAAGTGATAGTCAACAAGTTACTAGAGATTGTTGAGGATGCAAAAGAATATTTTGTAAATTGTAAGCCTTCTCACAAAACTATATTGTGCACATGGATAGAAGTTGATTCCCTCTCTACCTTGCAAATATCAAATACAAACTTTCCTTTAAATACTTGCTAGCCTTATTCAATTAATTGATGTTTTTTTTTTTTTGTTTTTGATATTTCAGTTTGGGCATGGTTGCCAAGTGCGGTGTCCAGATGATGCAGTAGCATACATTCCACCATTGGAGAAAAAACTCCAGCTTCCATAGTATGCATTTTTAACTAAAGCAAGAACTTTGTAAAATTTAGTTTTAGAATAAACAGTTAGTAGTTCACATAGAGATATCTACAAGGCAGTTTAGATCAGATGTTCCTTCAGTTTATGTACCAAGTACATATTCAAGAAGTATGCTTTGTTTGTTTTTGACAAGTTACAGTTTGTTGTCTTAGTTTTGCTTTAAAGTATAGTTCTAGAATTAATTTATAGGTATTGATGGTTTTAAAATAAAAAGGAAAACTATGTAAGGGAACCAATGAATGACAAATAAATATATTCTTATACATTTTATTTTATTTTATTGTCTTTTATTTAGTCAGAGCCTTTCGTAGCTTGTTTCCTTTTCTTCTTTTTCTTTGGTGCTTTTTCCTCTGAAAAACAAAAAATCAAACCTTAGCAACTTCCCTGGTAAGAGTACATAAGTATTTACAGCATTATTTGCTAAAAATGTGGTTAAATTGCAACATGTACCTTCAATACTTGTTTTCTGAATATTTTGATCTCTTCTTTTCTCTGGCTCCTGCGATGATCCAAACTTTCCTCTCTTCCTTTTTCTCTTTTTACCTGAAGTGTGCATCAAGATATAATAAACCACAATTGAAAATATATAACACTATTTTCTGGACAGACCCAACTTGAAGAAGTTCTTTGACTTATTAAATCAAAATTTCTCTAAAAAGTTCATATGTATTGTTAAATTGACAAAAATGACAGCTGCTCCTCTCAGGTAACTTTCATTTTTTTTACAATATCATTAACATTTAAACATATATGCTGTTTATTTACCTGTAGCCCCATTACTAATGACATTTTCTAGTTCCTTTTTCTGTGTGTTACTGACACTTTCCTGTTCTTTTGTGGCCACAGTCAGACATGTCAGCCTGAACTTGGTATTGACCTCTGTCAGTAACTCACATGCTGGGGGCACCTGTTGAAACAGATTAATAAGATAATCTCACTTAACATGTCATTGAAACAAACCAAACTTTGAGAAGTGGGAGAAATGCAAGCAAAAAAGAAGTATAATCATTAAGCAAAAAAGAAAAATGTTGATTAAGATACAAACTTCAATTTAATCACTGAAAAAAAGTGTACAAAGTTGCTCTCTGATCAATGAAGATGTTCTATTATTAATACCTAAATAACAATCTGAAAAAAGTTCCACCTACATCTTTACTGAGCTTCCAGGCTTTGATAAAACCATCACTTGAGGCAGTTACTATGCATGTATCACCTGCCATCTGGCAGCAACCAATACCTTTTATCCTGAAAACATGATAATCTGAATAAATGTAAAGTAGCCTACCTTTTACACAGATGTCTATATCTCAAATTCCTGTCATTAACAAGTCCACGTAAAATGGACCAGGTTCTCTGAGTTCTAGTTTACAAAATTTTTCAGTTGGGTTCTTTTTATACTGATGGCCATGTTTCAACTTTAGCTGAAAGTTTGTTTTCTTTCTACAAACAGTTTATGGACAATATATTTCAATACAAGAAAAATACAACAAGATGACTACCTGTTTGTACCCGTGTTCATAGTACACACTTTGGACTTCTTGTCCAAGTCACAAATCTGAAAAATTCCTTGATCTCCTCCAACTATCAACCAGTTGGACTGAAATGACAAAACATTCCCTTAAACTAATAAACATATCAGCGTACAGCAATAACGATATTTAACGTCAATTAATGTGCTGTAAAAATATGTCTTTAACATATATGTTTTTCAGTTCTTACCTGCATAAATGTTACCACCTGCACTCTAAACTCACAGCAGATGCTGTCAGTTATTGCTGCCTTCTGGAAAAACAACAACAGAAATGTCATTATGATACAAGTTTAACATAAACGATGTTATCTTTAAGATTTCTGAACTAATTACAAGCACTACCAACATATAATTCAATGATTCCACAGTTATAGTCCAGATAATTGTTGGTACCATTGGAGAGTTTCAAAAATTCAAGTTTACAAAGATTATTTCTAGCTTATGACTTATTAGATCAAGGCAGCACTAAGTGATTCACCTCCACATCATAGATGTCCACTCTGTTAGGAAATACTACAGCATATAAACCCCCATCTGGTGACCAGTGAACAGATTCTGCAACTGTAATCACACGACGACAAGCATCAGTTACATTTTATGTTGACCAAAATTAACAGAGAAAATTTTTACACTTATCAAATTCTGAATTTCTTTGTTTAAGGCCAGTAAGGGTCATTCCCCTTTTTATCAACATTTTCACTAGTCTATAGCTACAAACTGTAAGTTGGAGAGGGGGGGTTTAATGCCTTCTGTAGGCTTTTGGAAAAATGATAGATAAAAATGATGACCTTTATCCTCGGTGGTCTGCTGGCAAAGCTCATCATATTTAGCTTTTCACCTTTTTCTCTCTGAAAGGGGGGAGGAGTGAGGGGCCTAGAAAAAGTCTCCTCTTTGTAGACTTGTGAAAATACTGATAAAAATGGATGACCCCTAATGTAGTTCACCATCTGAAATTCACATTATTTTGATGTAAGCAATCTTACCCTCTTTAATATTTGTGATAAAAGCTGCTCTTCCCGTGATCAAATTCCATGTCCTCAATGTCTTGTCCTTCCCTACAGACAGTGCCAGCTTGCCACTGGGATGAACCGATACACTAAGCACTGGACCTCTGAAACAATAATTTATATTTACAAACTGAGAAGTATTTTTATAAGTCATTGGCATAAAATAAACACATTCATGTTCCTTTTTTGAGTATTCACAGTTATTACCAGTTAACTCCATAGCCATTTCTGAGATATTAAGCTTTAACTGTGTATATATTATTTTGACTTAATTTTTGTTGAGATGTCATCTTAACACAATCTTACTTGTGACCCTTGAGTGTCTTTATGCAATCCCAACCACTGGTCTTCCATATGCATATTTTACCATCTTCACTGCCACTAAATAAATGACTGTCTTCATAAAATGATAATGATGTAATAGTACCTGCAAAAATAATCAATGAATGCATGAAAATATACAAGTGTGCATATTAAAATTTACAGCAACATTCAGTCTTCTTAAAATGATACAACAAAAACTACTTAAAAGAGCAGTTCAGAATGAATTTGCTTTCTATAGTTATAGTGCGAGGTAACTCCATGGGGACTCTAGCTTAACACAATCAAATAAACAGAATGACACCCCACCTCTTGGTATAGAATACAGAGAGAATGATGATTACATAAGTATGATGAAAACAAGAGAAGACTTGGTCTGTTGATCTGATTGCATTCAGCAAGAGTCCCAATATAATGGAGTTAGTGTGCACCAGCAAGCTAGATCAACCTAACTCATTTTAAATGGTCTCAATGGTAATTAACTTATCTGCGGTTAATTTCTTTAAGTTGAAAGGAGAAAATGAGCTTTGCAGTCCAGCTGTCATATAAACATTCCAAGCCATACCTTCATGCTCCATCAGTGAACCCAGCTCCACTTTCTTGTCCAAATCAAACAACTTAATGGTTTCATCTGAACTCCCGGTTGCCAAAATTTTCTTCTTTGAAATTGCAACATCCCTCACACCACCGCAGTGTGAATGGTCTGTGAACATCTGCTGAAATTCCCATTTCTGAAAGGACGAAGACGTAGTCGTTTCAAATGGGTAAGTCTTTAACGCAAGGTCTTAGCTGGCTCAAGAATCAAGTGTTGAACCACCAAAATAGCTTTCTTGGTTTTCTATCTAAGATATAATTATTTTGAGATTCGATAAAAAGAAAAAGAATCAAGTATTCTTAATAAATATTCTTATTCTTATAAATATTTTTTAAAAAAAGCACTTACTCCGTCTGTATGTGTTAGCTGGTAGCCGAGAGATAGTTCTTCGTAACTTCCCACGACAACATCCATGCTTTCCCTTTAACATGTGCGTGTGCTCTACGTCATTGATTTTGTGGGGTTCCAAACAACTTTTATAAATAAAGATAAAATATGATCAATTACAAATCTGTCACCGTTTAATGCATGACATTTTAAGTTGATTTAATTTTGACCAGCTTGAATCAGAAGTTACTAATGATTACTGGGGAAAAGCAATGCTGTAGATCTAACTGAGCATAAATTGATGACGTCACATATAGTACACAAGTGGCTGTGTATTCGGAGACGTGGTAGAGGAGTTGTACGTGTTTACGTATATGTGTGCTGTCGTTGGAGTAGGGCGATGGCAGGAGGGACTCTTTGGATGGGAGACGTAAGTAAGATTTAAGGAATCGCTTTGTGAACTTATAGAATATTGCTAGCGTCCCCCCTACACACACACACACACACACACATGCACACACACACACACTCTCTCTCTCTCTCTCTCACACACACACACATTCTCTCTCTCTCTCACACACACACACACACATCTCTCTCTCTCTCTCTCTCTCTCTCTCTCTCACACACACACACACACACACACACACACANAGAAGAAATAAAATTGCAGCCGTGATGCAAGTGGGCAGCCCATTCAGAATAGAGCTGCAAAAATATTTTTTTAACATTTATTGAGTTCAAGATAAATGAAATTTGGGGTGCAGAATCCTAATAGCAAGTTATTTTGATGTTTAAAGCAGCACTGAGGTGGCATTTTATTTAGTTACAAGGGATAGTCAACAAGTTACTAGAGATTGTTGAGGATGCAAAAGAATATTTGGTAAATTTTACGCTTTCTCACCTCACTCCCAAAACTACATTGTGCACATTGATAGATGATTCCCTCTTTAAATTTCAAATATCAAATTCAAACTTCCCTGTAAAGACTTTGCTAGCCTTATTCAATTAATTGACATTTTTTGATATTTTAGTTTGGGCATGGTTGCCAAGTGCGGTGTCCAGATGATGCAGTAGCATACATTCCACCATTGGAGAAAAAACTCCAGCTTCCACTGTATGCATTTTTTAACTAAAGCAAGAACTTTGTAAAATTTAGTTTAAGAATAAACAAATAGTAGTTCACATAGAGATATCTACAAGGCAGTTTAGATCAGATGTTCCTTCAGTTTATGTACCAAGTACATATTCAAGAAGTATGCTTTATTTGTTTTTGACAAGTTACAGTTTGTTATCTTAGTTTTGCTTTAAAGTATAGTTCTAGAATTAATTTATAGGTATTGATGGTTTTACTATAAAAAATAAAACTAGGTTAGGGAACCAATGAATGACAAATAAATATATTCTTATACATTTTATTTGATTGTCTTTTATTTAGTCGTAGAATCTTTTGCAGCTTGTTTCCTTTTCTTCTTTTTCTTTGGTGCTTTTTCCTCTGAAAAACAAAAATCAAACCTTAGCAACTTCCCTGGTGAGATAACAGAAGTATTTACAGCATAATTTGCTAAAAATGTGGGTAAATTGTGACATGTACCTTCAATGCTTGTTTTCTGAATATTTTGATCTCTTCTTTTCTCTGGCTCCTGCGATGATCCCAACTTTCCTCTCTTCCTTTTTCTTTTTTTACCTAAAGTGTGCATCAAGATATAATAAACCACAATTGAAAATATACAACACTATTTTCTGGACAGACCCAACTTGAAGAAGTTCTTTGACTTATTAAATCAAAATTTCTCTAAAAAGTTCATATGTATTGTTTAATTGACAAAAATGACAGCTGCTTCTCTCAGGTAACTTTCATTTTTTTACAATATCATTAACATTTAAACATATATGCTGTTTATTTACCTGTAGCCCCATTACTAGTGACATTTTCTTGTTCCTTTTTCTGTGTGTTACTGACACTTTCCTGTTCTTTTGTGGCCACAGTCAGACATGTCAGCCTGAACTTGGTATTGACCTCTGTCAGTAACTCACATGCTGGGGGCACCTGTTGAAACAGATTAATAAGATGATCTCACTTAACATGTCATTGAAACAAACCAAACTTTGAGAAGTGGGAGAAATGCAAGCAAAAAAGAAGTATAATTATTAAGCAAAAAAGAAAAATGTTGATTAAGATACAAACTTCAATTTAATCACTGAAAAAAAGCGTACAAAGTTGCTCTCTGATCAATGTAGATGTTCTCTTAACAATACCTAAATAACAATCTGAAAAAAGTTCCACCTACATCTTTACTGAGCTTCCAGGCTTTGATAAAACCATCACTTGAGGCAGTTACTATGCATGTATCACCTGCCATCTGGCAGCAACCAATACCTTTTATCCTGAAAACATGATAATCTGAATAAATGTAAAGTAGCCCACCTTTTACACAGACATCTATATCTCAAATTCCTTTCATTAACAAGTCAACGTAAAATGGACCAGGTTCTCCGAGTTCTAGCTTACAAAATTTTTCAGTTGGGTTCTTTTTGTACTGATGGCCATGTATCGACTTTAGCTTTTTCTTTCTACAAACAGTTTACGGACAATATATTTCAATACAAGAAAAATACAACAAGATGCCTACCTGTTTGTACCCGTGTTCATAGTACACACTTTGGACTTCTTGTCCAAGTCACAAATCTGAAAAACTCCTTGATCTCCTCCAACTATCAACCAGTTGGTCTGAAATGACAAAACATTCCCTTAAACTAATAAACATATCAGCGTACAGCAATAACGATATTTAACGTCAATTAATGTGCTGTAAAAATATGTCTTTAACATATATGTTTTTCAGTTCTTACCTGCATAAATGTTACCACTTGCACTCTAAACTCACAGCAGATGCTGTCAGTTATTGCTGCCTTCTGGAAAAACAATAGCAGAAATGTCATTATAATACAAGTTTAACATAAACGATGTTATCTTTAAGATTTCTGAACTAATTACAAGCACTACCAACATATAATTCAATGATTCCACAGTTATAGTCCAGATAATTGTTGGTACCATTGGAGAGTTTCAAAAATTCAAGTTTACAAAGATTATTTCTAGCTTATGACTTATTAGATCAAGGTGATCAAGATGTAAGTGATTCACCTCCACATTGTAGATGTCCACTCTGTTAGGAAATACTACAGCATATAAACCCCCATCTGGTGACCAGTGAACAGATTCTGCAACTGTAATCACACGACGACAAGCATCAGTTACATTTTATGTTGACCAAAATACTCCAAAATTAACAGAGAAAATTTTTACACTTATCAAATTCTGAATTCCTTTGTTTAAGGCCAGTAAGGGTCATTCCCTTTTTTATCAACATTTTCACTAGTCTATAGCTACAAACTGTAAGTTGGAGAGGGGGGGTTTAATGCCTTCTGTAGGCTTTTGGAAAAATGATAGATAAAAATGATGACCTTTATCCTCGGTGGTCTGCTGGCAAAGCTCATCATATTTAGCTTTTCACCTTTTTCTCTCTGAAAGGGGGTGGGGGGGAGTGAGGGGCCTAGAAAAAGTCTCCTCTTTGTAGACTTGTGAAAATACTGATAAAAATGGATGACCCCTAATGTAGTTCACCATCTGAAATTCACATTATTTTGATGTAAGCAATCTTACCCTCTTTAATATTTGTGATAAAAGCTGCTCTTCCCGTGATCAAATTCCATGTCCTCAATGTCTTGTCCTTCCCTACAGACAGTGCCAGCTTGCCACTGGGATGAACCGATACACTAAGCACGGGACCTCTGAAACAATAATTTATATTTACAAACTGAGAAGTATTTTTATAAGTCACTGGCATAAAATAAACACATACATGTTCCTTTTTTGAGTATTCACAGTTATTACCAGTTAACTCCATAGCCATTTCTGAGATATTAAGCTTTAACTGTGTATATATTATTTTGACTTAATTTTTGTTGAGATGTCATCTTAACACAATCTTACTTGTGACCCTTGAGTGTCTTTATGCAATCCCAACCACTGGTCTTCCATATGCATATTTTACCATCTTCACTGCCACTAAATAAATGACTGTCTTCATAAAATGATAATGATGTAATAGTACCTGCAAAAATAATCAATGAATGCATGAAAATATACAAGTGTGCATATTAAAATTTACAGCGACATTCAGTCTTCTTAAAATCATACAACAAAAACTACTTAAAAGATCAGTTCAGAATGAATATGCTTGCTATAGTTATAGTGCGAGGTAACTCCATGGGGACTCTAGCTTAACACAATCAAATAAACAGAATGACACCCCACCTCTTTGTATAGAATACAGAGAGATTGATGATTATATAAGTATGATGAAAACATGAGAAGACTTGGTCTGTTGATCTGATTGCATTCAGCAAGAGTCTCAATATAATGGAGTTAGTGTGCACTAGCTAGCTAGATCAACCTAACTCATTTTAAATGGTCTAAATGGTAATTAACTTATCTGCGGTTAATTTCTTTAAGTTGAAAGGAAAAAATGAGCTTTGCAGTCCAGCTGTCATATAAACATTCCAAGCCATACCTTCATGCTCCATCAGTGAACCCAGCTCCACTTTCTTGTCCAAATCAAACAACTTAATGGTTTCATCTGAACTCCCGGTTGCCAAAATTTTCTTCTTTGAAATTGCAACATCCCTCACACCACCGCAGTGTGAATGGTCTGTGAACATCTGTTGAAATTCCCATTTCTGAAAGAACGAAGACGTAGTCGTTTCAAATGGGTTAGTCTTTAACGCAAGGTCTCAGCTGGCTCAAGTGTTGAACCACCAAAATAGCTTTCTTGGTTTTCTATCTAAGATATAATTTATTTTGAGATTCGATAAAAAGAAAAAGAATTAAGTATTTCTGAAATATTTAAAAAAGCACTTACTCCGTCTGTATGTGTTAGCTGGTAGCCGAGAGATAGTTCTTCGTAACTTCCCACAACAACATCCATGCTTTCCCTTTAACATGTGCGTGTGCTCTACGTCATTGATTTTGTGGGGTTCCAAACAACCTTTGTAAATAAAGATAAAATATGATCAATCACAAATCTGTCACCATTTAATGCATAACATTTTAAGTTGATTTAATTTTGACCAGCCTGAATCAGAAGTTACCAATGATTACTGGGGAAAAAGCAATGCTGTAGATCTAACTGAGCATAAATTGATGACGTCACATATAGTACACAAATAGCTGTGTATTCGGAAACGTGGTAGAGGAGTTGTACGTGTTTACGTATATGTGTGCTGTCGTTGGAGTAGGGCGATGGCAGGAGGAGGGACTCTTTGGATGGGAGACGTAAGTAAGATTTAAGGAATCGCTTTGTGAACTTATAAAATATTGCTAGCGTCCCCCCTACACACACACACACACATTCTCTCTCTCTCACTCTCTCTCACACACGCACACACACACACAGGCAAGTGCACCCAAGCTCACTTTTTACGCAGAACCCATTCTCTTCTCTCGGCGATAAACTACGTAGTGTTAACAGGAATCGTCTGCTCAGAGGGTGACCCAGCCGCGGGGTCGTATTGCAGTAGTCCTAAGGTTCGATCATTGGTCCGAATGTTTACTATAAAACCTGTGGACTACAGACCCTTGATTAAAAAACCGATGAAAATGTTACTATTTTTTGGCCCAATGAACCTTCAGATCAATGAACCTTCGGACTATCAAGATGCCCCTGACTCAGCCAGTGCCAGAACTTTACTTTTTGCTTAATTTTATCGTTGTGATTGTGAGCCAATAAATGAAGAAAATAGAACCATAAACTCATCTCTCATCCGTCCATTAAATTTTGTGCAATATAAAATTACATGCACATTGTTTTAAGCCAAATGAAGTACATGATTAATGACTAATGAAATGTTTTTTTTTCAGTTGGAGCCCTATATGGATGAGATATTCATCACTCAAGCCTTCATACAGATGGGAGAGCCAGTTGCCAATGTGAAGCTTATAAAGAGCAAGACTACTGGGTAAAAAGAAGAGATATAAGTTTATGAGTGATCAATTGACAATTTATAGAAATGTCTTAGCTGCACAGTTTGTACTTTTTTCTTTCAAGATTGCATCTAATGGATCAGTTACTTAATAAAAATGATGGAGTACGATATGTACATGTATTACACATGAATGAAATAAGGGGTAGTATATTATCTGTTTTTGGTCTTTTCTTGATCAGACCCTGGTAATGATCCCTACATGAACTCCCTTGTCACTGCAAAATTAGGGTCAAAGTTGGGAAGTACCTGCCTGCAAATTTTCAGACCATCTTTGAGATATCAGACCGTCCAAAGAATGTACCCTCTCCCATGCACCCCCCCCCATACATAGGCAAATATATCAGTTCATATAGGTGAATACTTCGTGTACACTGCGGTACCTTCACTGATTTGTTAGTGAAAAAAACATGTTTTCCAGGCTTCTTGCAGGCTGTTGTTTTGTGGAGTTCCATGATGTAGACATTGGTTTATCCATGTTTTCCAGGCTCCTAGCAGGCTATTGTTTTGTGGAGTTCCATGATGTGGATACAGCACACAAAGCCATGCTCAGACTCAATGGCAAAATTGTACCTGGGAGTAGGCCTGTGAGTTTTTCTTTTTTTTTTCTTTCTTTTTTTCTTCTTAGCTAAAACATAATGATTTTCACAAGATTCTTAAAGATGATATATATATATATATATATATTTATGAATTGTAATGAATTGTATTGTTTTTATATGTGGTTGTTGTGGGGTTATTCTACATTGTCGTAGCAAGTTAGGGATTTGTAGCACCAAATTATCATGGCATTATTATTGAATTTAATAACTGTTAAAAGTTGGAATTGAACAATTCTGTTATATATGTTTCAGTTTCGGAGATTCAAATTAAACCATGCCAGTTATGGAAAAGAACACTTAGCAGTGTAAGTATTCTAAGTACGCCTTGATATCCTCACATATATTTCAGTGTGAGAAGCTCAAACTCTAAACTTTTATTCCTATCTGTTATTAAATTAAAGGCAACTTTGCTCGTTTTTATATAATAATAATCTTTATTGAGCACTAAAATGCATACATATTACATTTTACAGGCTCTCTACACTAGACATAACAACTTAGCAACAATTATACAAAGCTATACAATACTTATTGAATGATTACTGGATTACTGGTTTTTAGAAGGCTTTCCAGTGACATATCAAATCACAATTTGTGTACAGAGGGCAGTAACTTTAGGCATAAAATATAGTTTATTTCTCTCACTGCAGGCCTGAGTATTCCCTGTTTGTGGGAGACCTGACAGATGATGTTGATGATCTTTCCTTATATCAGGGATTTGCTAAGAAATATAAGAGTATTCGGGCAGCCAAAGGTAAGCAAAAACCAGTCAGTGAAAAAAGTTTTAATGTTATAGGACATACTCTAAGGTAATTGTGCCATAGGTGAGCAATATCCAGTCAGTGAAATGGCTTCAGTGTGTCACACATTAAATTGTTTGTAAATGTGTTTTGGTATTGCAACTTGGCAAAAAGAGAGTGAGTGGCATGTGAAATGTAATACGCTACACTGTGAGGTACAAAAGTACAAAGGTGCTCTTTTAGTTTTCAGTGCTCCCAGACAGAATATTATTACTTTGAGTTCCTTTTAAGTACTATTGTACCTGAACCTTAAAAGCTTTATTTTAAAAAAAGATTTTAGCATTACTGTTTTGATTAGACTGTGTGCATATTTCATGACAAAAGGTACTTGGGAGTTTATAAATAGACCATGTAATGCAAGACCCAGAATTCTTTGATGTTTTTTTATTCATATGGTAATAGTTTGCCGAAATTGAACAGGATTTGAAGTACTTTATTTTCAGAACTTTGTTTGGTTGAAATATTCTAAAAAGACAGTAAGAAGATCTGTGTGATGTGTTCTTGTCAGATAGTGTGATTTTGTGAATTGGTTAAAAAAATTCAGAAAAAAATGATATTGAAAAAATGAGGAGTTTTAAATTTATAGTTAATTACAGTAGCTGAAATAAACAACCTCAAAGGATCCTGTATGTCTAGACATGACTTTTTGTGTATCGTAAAAAAATTAATGCTCCTAAAACTAATGTTCCTGAAGGAGTAGGTATCAATCTCATGTCGTATCACGTAAAAGATTAACATTCTAAATGCTCAGAGTGACAAAGTACATATAATTTAAATGTTAAAACCATGTAGATTATGACTGCAAGAAATGTGCCTTGTCAGTAATTTTGTAATCAATATACACAATAATTTTGTATTTTGATAACAAAAGATTTTTGTTCTGATGTGTGTAGTTGTTCTGGACGGGACAGGGAGGAGTAAAGGCTACGGCTTTGTGAGGTTCACAGACGAGGAGGAGCAGCAGAGAGCTATCACAGAAATGCAGCATTATTGTGGCATTGGCAAGAAGATCATCAGAGTCAGTTTAGCAACCCCTAAAAAGTAGGTTATATTTTTGATAGTATGTAAGCACATCCACATTAAAATTCATGTCAACACTTTGAGGCTTTGAGGCCTAACAGTTGGTATGAATACTCCATAAAATTTATTTTAATTGTGTTTTTGGGAACTTCCTCTTAATATCTTATGTTAACTCGACATTATTGTTATTATCTGTTGTTGTTATTGCTCAGAAATTTATATCTAAAGCTTCTTTGAAGTATTCGTAATTTATGAAGTTTTAAACAGCATGTGCAAGTGTCCAAACTAGCTATTCTTTGATAAAAAAACTTTGCCCTTAATCCCTTTTAGATTTATTTTTCTATCACCTTTACAATGTCAGTCTCTTTTATTACAAGGTGTCAACATTCATGAAAAATTACCCAGTCATTGTCAATAGAAGGTTAAGCTGACATATCCCTATATAATTTTCTTTACAAGGCACAACCCACCAGTGGCCCCCGGCACTTCCCTGCCCCCTGGTGGCAGTCACCCATACTACACCCAGTATCCACAGTATCCTTACTACAGCCAGTGGTCTGGGTATACAGGTCAGCAGTACTATGCTGTGGCTCCATCCTCCTCAGCCAGCCATGCCTACTCCCACTATGACTATGCTGTAAGTGATGGACAAATCTAAGTGGGGACTGGAAGTTATGATTTATAATTAAGAATTTTGAGTTGCAGATGGATTTAGCATATCAAGAAGTTTAACCCTTGCTTACACACACACGCATGCACGCACACACACACGCACACACACACACACACACACACACAGAGGATAAGTTATACTGGCAGTTATGGAAAATTCAGATATAATTGTATTTTAGTAGTATTTTTGGGACAGTGAGCAACACAAGTTGACAAATTAAAAAACCTGATATTTAGAAATTTATTGTCTTCACAGTAATTATATTTTGTCATAAATGTTGTTCTCACTTTGAATAGGGTGGTTGGGATCAAAGTGGACAGTATGAGGATGAAGACTTAGAAGGTATTATTCTGCTTACAGTGTCCATTGATCTTTAACATGTATAGTGACTTGTATGTATGCCATGCCACATCTTATATCCCACATGGTATGTTTGGCAGGAAATGATTTAAAATGTGGTTGATTTCCTATAACTATTTTTATCTTAGAATTACCTTTATCTCTTAAAAGAAAGTCCCAATTAAAACTGAGAGACTTCTTGCTAAAATGATTATAAGGTTAAATGAATCCAACATGTATTCATTTTTATTGTAGTTTTTTGCTAATATTTTGTACAAATTGTGACTACTTTCAGATCCATGTGTAGAAGTAGATGTTCAAAAAGTCAATAAGGAATTCATTGAAACAAGTGAGGTAATTATACCAACAGGTTCATTCAAGTGACACCAAATATATTGTGGCATAAAGGAATTGGCTGTACAAAAAGACCTATATTTTTTTTTCGTTTTAAACAAGCACGCTTATTGAATTGAGTGAATATTGGATGAAAATTTTTGGATTTGATAGATTTTTTTTTAATTTTGAAAACCGGTTTATGAAAAAGGTATGTATTTACAATGTAAAGTTGACATTGAAATTGTTAGATTTAAAAAAAAAAACGGTTTTTACTTGCAGGAATTTTATACAGCACTGGAAGACTCTAGGTGGAATCCACTAGATTCTGTTATGTCAAAAGTACCAGGCAAGGCCTCCTAGCTGGGATAGTGACAGTGTCCGTATAAGCTGGCAGACACAGAGTACACTACAACTGACAGCATATACAGTGTATATAGCAAGGCTTCCTAAGACATTTCATGTTCCTAACAGAAGACTGGTTGTATACATGATACATTGTATCTATCTTCACCTTAATGTCTGGCTGCCCACATGATCTCTCCATCTTAATGACTAATAATTTGTTACTTGAAGGAGCCTGCTATCACAGGGATAATCTGCACCATCTTAACTATTATCATCTTCATTATCATCAGTTATCACAATCATCACATTCAGTGTTGCTTTAATCATCATTACCATCTCTTTCATGTTATTATTATTCAGAACCGTCATCACCACATGACATTCTTCATTTAGTAGTGTATGTAATTTCATAGCATCCTGATAATCAAAAAGCATTTGCCAGCTTTTTTCAACATTCACAAACAACGTGGAATCTATATCATTTAATTAATGACCTCTAGGTATAAGGACAAATCTTTATTGTGAAATATGTTCGTTAAATAAATTTCATCGCCTTTATAGTGTTTTTCTTGTTTGTTTAGCAAAATAAATAAATAAATATGAAGGATTATAAATTCAAATTAAAAACACTACATACACCATTGTAGAAGAATTATTCATTTCACTGTAAAACTACAGTGAGGTAACATAGGTACAAGTAATGGTTTTTTTAAACCATTTTTTGCAGGCCATTGCCCTTACAGATGCACTTTGATGTATTTGTATTGACATTACCAGGTATGTTAATCTCTGTAATCTACCAGCAGTGGCGTTTTTTTGTTGGCTGTCGTTTGTTGGAAGTTTCACATCTTCGTCTGCCCGTGATGTCCTTTTACCTGAATAAGTACAAGTAAGAAGTGCAAGTTTCTGTTTCATACACAACAGAAAGTATTTGGACCGTCGCTTAAACTGATAAAAAGATAATTAAAATTGGGTAGCCGACTACACTATTGGCCAATGTTGTAGTTGACTGCACTATTGGCCAATGGCCTTATCATGGATGATAGAAATTATACTCGAATAGAGTATAAATGGCCTATTATCATCACTGAGATGGAAATATATTACTAAAACTTTTCTTGTGAAACGGGCTACAAATCTCTAAATCTCCTGTGTAGGTGTCTCTAGCGTAGTTTATGAATATCTAATGAATAGTGTAATAGCCGTCGACAGTCACTCCAAAATACAATATGTATGGGCCTGTATCGCCTGATGATAATAAGAAATGGCCGTGGGCCCAGAGGTCAGAGTTACATAGGTATAATCAAACCGTTTTGATCCATTTTAAACACATGCATACGTAAGTCTGAGTCTATTTTGAAGGAATTGCTTATTATGAATCAAGGTAAATGCATTGAACTTTTCCATACTTCTCGGAATAGCGCCCTGTCTGACATTTGGAAGTTGAACTTCGTGTCAACCGTAACCAATATCAGCTAGATACATTTGCAGACTACGTGAACTTTCAAATACCCGCGAGTTCAGGAATGATGCTAGATTATACCAATAGCTCATCTTTATTGATTTGAAAGAGATGGCATCCACTCTGTTATCATAAGCACTAGGTGAAATGCGTTTACATGACTTCAGTATCGGCGGTAAAGGAAAAAAACGGAGCATGGTTGTTGGCCTGCACAGAAATGCTATTAATCCAGTGGCAGATATACCCAGTGGCGATTTCTGAAAAAATCACAACAATGGCCCCTCTTGAATTAAGAATTTGACTACTAGTAGCTGAATCATAGTTCTAAACCGTACCAAATGCGCCATTCGCCCTCTAAAAGACCAAAAATTTTCGGGGCCCTATAACGAGCCCCGAACGCCCTCCTCCCCCAACAAAGTTACATTTAATAAAGAACTAATTGCATCTATGGTTGATATCTGTATCGATGATTCACTTCTAACAACTTTTCTCTAACCCTGCAGTGTTTGTTTTTTATAACCTTTATTATATCTAAAATTAATTAAATTTGACATAATCATTGTTATCTTCACTTGTTGGTTACTTCAATATATAGCAACAAGCAGTGGCGGATTTAGAGGGGGGGTCAGGGGGGTCCTAACCCCCCCTTCGATTTCTGGTCCCCTCTTAAAATTAAAATTTTGACTAGTTGAATCATAGTTCTAAACCGTACCAAATGGCACCGTTCGCCCTCTAAAACATCAAAAATTTTCGGGGCCCTTTAGCGGGCCCCAACCCCTACGCCCGGTGGGGTGGGTGGGTGGGTGGGTGGGGGGGGGGCTTCACATCCCCCCCCACTTCAAATAATCCTGGATCCGCCCCTGAACAAGTGTATCTTTTACCTGTTATGTGCGCCAAACCATCTTCAAAGGAAAAATGATTAAAAAAAACAAAATAATGGGGTTTTCTGAGGTGGAAATGTGATGTATAAACCTGTTTGGTTACCTTGACAGTGACCGAGCTGTTGTTAACATTTGACATCTTTCACTTTGTCATACTTCAGATGTGCGGTTTTCTAAGCATTGAATTAATAAAACTTGTTTTGCTTATACGGCTTTAGCTTCTTTCAATCAAACGTGGCTAATTTACTTTTAGGTTCCGATGTAGGATAGGGGATCCTAGGTTTACTCGACCGATAGCAAGGTTCATATCACTCGTTATCAATCAGATCCTTGACGCTGTGTTAAATTTGAACCTCGGCATACATTGTATTTCTGGGTGAACACAGACCCTTCATAAGTCTAACAAGTCCGTATAGACTGCTCTCAAATATTTTATCAAGACGATTGCAGAAAACGTGCAGACATTTTTAAGTTAACGAAATCGTGCCGCTATATTTGGACTGAAAACTATTTGAATAAATGCTGAAATACAAAATGAAAGTTGTCTAAGCGTTTAATTTACTGGCGTTGTTTCAGTATTTAGAACTTTTCTATCGCCGGACCAGCCTAATTTGACCACACCACTGGTCAACCGCGATTCATTAGCCGTCCGTGTAAATTATTTCCCAAAGGTCAGTCAGGGTCAGGGACAAGACTTTCGGGTTCACGTCCTGAGCTCACTCATCATATTTTGGTGTTTGTGATTTGTAAAAATAGCCGCCACCGGCAAAAGCCATAACAACATCCATTCCTTTTGGTAGGAACGCAGACACCGCGCGTTAAATGGTTAAGTGTGCTCAGCGGTGTGAACGCGTGCAGTAGGGGTTTGTTTTGTCTGTTCACAGAGCGAAACTTAAGACAACTGTCGAGGATTCGTGTGAACGCAACAAGTGGAGGTCCGAAAATACCCTGTGTGTTCAGCTTACACTTACTTACATGCACTATCCCCTTAAATACAATGTGTACTTAAACCATAAAAAGATAATAAAATCAAATTTGCGACTGCCTCAGGCTAGCTACCATGTATATGTTGATGAGTTAAGGCTTTTGGATAAAGTATTTAAATGTCGTCTCATTATTAAGGGGCTATAAATTCTCTCAACATAATAAACTCTGCGATTACACATTCTGAAAGTGTCGCAGTTTTGCATTACTGGTAATAAAAGGCTGTTATGGCATTTGTCAGAAGTTTCCCTAGAAAGCTGAAGGTCAACAGAAAAAAATATATATATATATTTAAGTAAATGATTAATAAATAATTAAACTTAATTCTAATGAGCATGCACCTGTATTTGGGTAATCGCTGTGGGATAGAAGCATATGCTCCCGTCTGTTCCCTCCCCCTCTGTGTTGTTTACTATATGATAGGACCCCCTCAACTAAGCTACTTGGGTATCTTTTCATTCATTTTATCACACCACCTCGCTTATGTACACACACCACACTACTTGATATATAATGCAGCTTTGATCTGACCAAATTGTTTACCAACTCGCGTGTGAGTCCACGTGGGAGTGGTTAGGTAGGCTGCGCCGGCACAGGTGCTCGCAGTTAAAGTAGGCATCTTTCGTACTCTGGTGGGGTTGGCGTTCTTATGATTCAAATAAACCCTTTAAACTTAATTTCTCTGTAATGACTGACTACTGTTATCTGTCCTGCTGTGACTCTATCCAGTAACCGATGCTGCGGTACTCAGCAATGAAGAACTACTAGAAGGACCAAACAAATGAAAAGATGGAACCCACCAAAGGGTGCCAGGGATAAGGAACAAAATGCGAGAAATGAGAAGATTGTGAAAAGTCCTCGTCTGACATCTGACACTGATAACTGTCACAATCCTGGCAACAATAGAGGTGTCACTAGGGGATGTGCCATTGATAGGGGTAGAGGAAGGGGAAAATTTTTCTTCCGGGATTTTCATTTCAAGACACTTTTAAAAAGCGTTATGGGTATTTCAAATAACCTACATTTTGATAATTCTTAACAGCATTTTGAAGCGTTTATCATCAATCAAAATGTACTTTCTGTTCCCCACAGTTGACGGCAGACAAATGACTGTGGCAGACTGCCTCCAACAAACTCATTTTTCCACGTCCCTGTAATCACCCTGTGTTATGGCACCGTGACACGAGGGGCCTTGTATCCTACACCTCTGTAATGATGGGTTTTAAACATCATCATTTGATTATATCATGTTGTGTAACAATAGTAATACGAATTTTCAAATCTGACGTTACTTCCAACGCTTTAATTTTTGCTCTTGCACAAAAAAGATAATAAATAAATAAATAAATAAATAAATAAATAAATAAATAAATAAAAGGTCTGTTTTTATCAATACCTCAATAATCGAGGGGAAATCTTGCAAAGCATATTATGTTTGGCATAATAGGTTATGTTAAGGAATGAATCATTTCTATGTCCTGAACAGTGAGACAAACGGTTTTGAAGCTGTGTCGAGGAAGGAAGACGTACGTACGATACCCGCCATCAAAAAAAAAAAAAAAAAAAAAAAAAAAAAACTAACGGATAACATCAAGAGGATGTAGCTGAGGGAACGCTACTCATCCTCTGGCCAGTGCATATGTACTGGTGGACTGTTCCACGAAAACCGGACGCGTTTTCTTTCCTCCACATTTGTGTCCCTTTCCGCTTCAGAAATCTGCGCCGTCAACCGTGGAGTTGACGTCACGTCAGCCAGGTCCGGCCGAGTAAACAAAGATATAAAACATGCAAATAAGACCGCTGACAGACCTGAGCTATACCATCTTGAGTAATATTTCGTAAGAGATAGGTTTTAGGTCGAATTCTTTGCGAGCTGTATTTATTTATGCACCGCCGGAAGTTAAGTGTCACGCGGCGCACACCCTCTGTACGTGTTTTATTTGTACCGCCACTCATAATAAACAAATAAGTAGTGGAAAGGGTCATTCGGCTTTCTCATCTTAGTTTAAGTAACAACAGAGTTGTATCAAAGTGAGGTGAAGTGAACTGAAAGTGAAAAGCCCGCCATCAGTTTTCGCATTGTGCCAAGATTAGCGTTCAAACTCCTGCACTTGTAAAGCAAACAGCTTTGTGTTTTTGATAAATACACGCGTACAGCAGATTTCAGCGAATTCTGTAAACCGTCCGCAAGTCCCAATGCCCAAGAAAAACAAGCTTGAATCATGAGTAAATCCGAGCTAACGGTCTCTATTAATACAGCATTATCAGTTTGTTTGTCTGCCAAGCCTCAGTTGTTAGCCCGCCCCTCTCATGAATATGACCTCTTTCAGTGCAGGTCGGATATGCAGCGGCAGACATGCACGGTGGTGTTTCTACCTGATCTACTGAATAAATAAAAAAGACGAAGTTGATGTCAGCTTACTGACCCGATACCGAGACCGTACAGAGATGTTGAAACAGGTTTTGACGTTATTTACATAGTTTGCACCACGATAAAAATCTGCTGAATGTCATTAACAGAACCCTACGAATAATTTTAACCCTTTAATGCGAATCTAGATACTGCACAGCTGTCGCAGAGGATGAAATAACAAGGACTTATTGACAAAGATGACTTCTGTCTCATTTTTGATGTCTTACAACGCGGCCTACACGATATCGTGTTCGGGACGAGTGATCGTGTCGCAAGTTGTAGCAACAAGTTTATCTAACTACGCGATCATACCCAGTTGTTTAAAGCGCCTACTTAGACTAATTTCGGCTCTGTTTTGAATGTATTCGTATCATTACTAATGGGAGAAGATACCAAAGTATCTGTCGTCTTCATCACTTGTGAACCTATCATTAGTGCACCCATTATCTGATGTTGTCCATTTTAAAGGTATGCGCTACCAAACAAGATGACGTCTCACTGGAGGAAGCCGTGTAGCTTTGATTACCCCATTGTTTCTATCTGTCACATTTACCAGTCTATTTACAGAATTCGTTCAGGGTTCGTGGAGTGTTTGATCAGTCAGTTAAAGCGGCGGAGTGGCAGAAAGCGATTGGATGGCCACTTTATGCGGGTTGATTAACCGACGTCATTTTGAAGGGGGGAACTACAAATGTCAAAAGTCAGAATATTCCAAATATAATGTCTAGAAAACTTAAACTGTTGCTATAGAATGTTTAGAGTTTCTATTTTTTATTGATACTACAATCTTAGAATCAGTTTGTTAGGGAAGCTGCTTTTTTGGAGCTCAGGTGGTGCGATTTGACAGTTGTAGCACAACCTTACCCCCCTCACACGGAAGTAAGCTCGACTAATTCTACAACCGGCATGAACCACGTGGTCGCCTCAGCTGTCAAACGTTAATACTACACCAGACTGAGAAGGGAGCGTTGGGAAGCTAGCACCACGTGCTCTGTTAAAGTTCACGGAATTCTACTAAATTCCCTTCAGAATATCAAGGTTTTACAATTGGAATTACGAAATAGTAACACCAGACGTCGTTCAACGTTAGACAAAGCGGTATCAAGGTAAGCAATTTCTCTCTCATCGGGTCTTAAAGTTTGACATTTCCACCGTATGTTTTCTGATGTCAACTGTTGCATGCGGGAGAAGTCAGCCGCCGTTCAACAACAGGTCGTGTATGAGTGGCTTCCGCTTTCATGTGTTTTCAATAGTCTGGGTTGAATGTGCTGCTCGTAACCTGTGTTTTAAGTTAAAGGGAAGTATCTCGAAGTGAATTTTAATAGCTCAGAGGTTAAGTTGGTATACAAATAAGTTAAATAGCCCTTTCACTGACCTGGAGCACGGCGGTGAAGGGTACAGTCTTGTCGTTATGACCGCGGATGATTTTAGATTGGCTTTTACGATCTACCTGTAGGGATTGAAGCCCGCTTAATAAAAGCTGTACACTCTTTGAATTGTTTGAAACCCCTTAAATATGGCCTCAGTTTTAATGAGTTTATCCAGCAACGTGTTGTTTGTTCACAGTTCACGACAACTGAAGCATGTGGGACAACAGCAGCGGGGACAGTTCCGGCGACGAGGACGACTTCCCGAGAAAGGGCGCCGATGGGAGTATATTACGAAATAAACGCCGCCGTGGAAACCTCCCCAAAGAGTCCGTCCGTGTCTTAAAAAGTTGGCTGTTCAACCATCGCTACAATGCCTACCCCACAGATCAGGAGAAGATGCTGTTGTCAAAGGAGGCTAATCTGACAGTCCTTCAGGTGTGCAATTGGTTTATTAACGCACGCAGGAGAATTTTACCTGACATGATTAAGCGTGATGGACAAGACCCCTTGCAGTACACTATCACAAGAAAGCACAGACATACCAGACAGATCGGCAACGAGAGCAAGAAGCGCAGACTTTCGGAATCTTCAGACTTTGACTCGTATTCTGGTTCTTCGCGAAATTCACCCTCCCCAGCCTCACTGAGCGACCCCCCATCCCCGTGTGTTGAGTCCCCCATTGATGCTGTCATATCGCCTGGTTCACCGCCCCCGTCTCCCCTATCAGCCTGCAACGTGACAGACACGGAATCCAAATACCGGCATGTTGCCATGGAAACGTCGACTTCAGCTTATGCTAACCTGGTGTCTGTGAACATTTCAGACAAAGAGTATTCTAATACCGTGGCATCAAAGATGCGTTATTATGACTACATTAACTCTTCTGCCGCTGTTCTCAGTTATCCTGCGATCACATCTGAATGGCAGAGATATCGAGAACAATCAGAGCAACAACAAGGGAACATGAACTTTAATCTGGGTAGTTCAACTCCACAGATAACAAACAGGGCCCAGGTAAACAATAACAACAATAGTATCACAAAGGTGGACCCCAAACATGACAAGGACGATTTATTCAGTTGTTTTCACATGTTGGTTGACGTTGCTATCAGTCAGCTAGAAAAATTAAAAAGAGAACAGAGTGAGACAAGAAAAGCAATGGAAGCATAGTATACCATTCAAGGGCACCGTCTCGAATCAATTGTAAGATGACTAACATTAAAAAAAAACTTTTTTAAACACACTGACTTAGCAATGGGTTTGTTTGCGACATATCTAGTAGTAGGACAGCCGAACAGGATGTAAGACTAAACTGTATATTTTTTTCACTCCACTTTTATGTTCTGACGCCAAGGTCGACTGAGTCGCGTTGCCCTTTGTATAAAGTATGGATTTCACGTAAGTTCAACACAATTGACATACACATAATATACACCATGTCGACACTGGGGGCCAGTCTAGTAAGCTGAAGCATATTTTGACGTGTGTTGTAACTCTACTACCTCACCTGTATGCCAGCTAAGACTGCTGATTATCTAGGTTATGCTGGCTCACGAGGAATGGAGAGCGGGCCGAGCCTGTGCTTCTGACTTATCCGTACGTTTATTCATGCTCATCGCTTCATATAAAACGCCCTCCAAAGCGCGCAAGAAATGTTCACGTGTATTATACAGTTGTACATGCTAAGGGAATTATTTTCTATTTTGAATATTTTTTGTTTTATTGTAAATGTATTTATATTTGTAATTATAGTGCAAATTTTAACAAATGTGCTTCAATTTTAATATACTTTAATAAGGGTGTTATTTTAAAGAAATAAGCGTACAGAAGGCGTTCAGTGGAAGTTACTCCATCATACTTAATGGATTCACGGTAGTTTGACGGATGCTTTTGATGTGAGCTGTGAAACCATGGCGGCGGCTCTTAACCTTGATTTATTTCCCCAAACTAGTTTTAATTCTGACCAAGGCGAGAAAGAATAGATATATTACCGGTAGCCGCACGTTGTTTGCGTTCGTTACCTGTGAAGAAGCAGCAGCCAAGACCTCCAAATAAACCCGGTGCGTCCTGGGGTGAAACCACCGCCACGTGGGGCCCGGCAGATTCCATTAGTGGATTGTTCTTTTGTTTGTGTTGAAGATGTGTATCTGTAGCAATTTTGAAATCATTAAGAATTCAGGTGTCGTAATTATGATATTGTAATGGGGAAGACAATGATAGAATATGTAATAAACTCGCAAGTGAAAGTCACGTGTTTATCGTTTAAGTTGGGATTTATCGTTGGTCGCTTTGTTATCAGCTCTACACAGCCGGTTACTGAATCAGCTGTCGTAAACATCACAAACGTCAAACCGCAAGCGAAAAGTATACAAAGAGATTTGGTTATTCTTTTCGAAATCTCAGTCTGTACAAAGCAGTATAAAATACACACGTGTAGTTCTATCTCAACTGGTCATGACACTCCAGTTAGTACTTCAGGCGATGCACAGACAACCCAAATACCCGTAGATGTCAATAGCAAGTATTGTGCTTAGAAGATAGATGACACATTTACACCCCTCACAATAGGCGGGTGATATCGTGGTACGAACAGATTCTCGTCGTTGCATTTTGAACATATTTAAAAATAAATAAAGTTCAAATACAGAGAAAGAACGAGACGCTCTAACGATAGGCATCTATCCGCGACCAGTGCGTTGATGATATCTAGTGAACAATTACTTCAGTTACCAGTGGGTTAATTAAACGAGACGGGCTACAGGGACTGAAGACGCGTTCAGCACCTGTGGAGCGTGCATGCCAGATCGTGATAATCTCCATGGTGACAGCGATGACACACGTTGAGTCCAAAATATGGGCTCGTCCTCACGCTGTCATTGTCAGCGAAATACTTTCAGACGTATTTGCTTCTCAAGTTAATAAGTAGTAAGGCAAAATACAGTGATTGTTTTACCAAATGGACAATCGATGGCCAAATGCCAAATAATAACATGTCGCTGGAAATTAAGAGGCCGGAAAAGGTGTTCAAGTCGGCTTGGGTGATTTATCCCAGTGTACCGAAGCGATTCGCTACTGCGGTAGATGCACATGAGATAATAACGAGTGAAGCATACCAAAATCAACGGTGCAAAAAAAGAGATTTATACAAGTTCATGCACAAGGTCTCATTTGTCAGACATTCCGCCCTTCTACATAGTGTACTAGATCAGGCCATTCATACCTGCACGCCAAGTTTACCAGTAGAAATTGGTCTGCTGACACGTGCCATGATGACACAAAAACGGAGTTCACCAGTTAAAACCAACCTACTAAACGAGACCCTTAACTCACAATGAATGTATAATAGAGAGTAAATCCCCAAACTGCAGAACACGCAAAAAAAAAAAAAAAAAAAAAAAAATTCGAATTAAATTTTACATTTTCTTTACACGTTATCTCATCCTTTTTGCATTAATTCGAGCTGTCGCTGTTACAAAGCTAAATTTTCTGCCAGTTTGACCTCTTGACTGTAGGTTGTAGTGTGTGCAAAGACTTTACAGCTGAGCCAAGTATACATTATCACAGGAGAATTTGCTGTCCAATCAGATGGATAAAACGGCGAACATTGGACCCGAAACAATACGATCTCTGGCCGCGTGTTTGCGGAAAACAAAACTAATCTAAGCGTTGTTTGTCTATGGATAAACTTAAAGCTGGAATCTTTCACAACGATGTGATTGTTCAGTACATGCAGTGGATTCATCACTCCAGTGTTAAAATCTCTTGATTTACTATTTTCTCTACAACAAGTTGTTTAAAATATTCCCTCTGCGTACTAACCACAGCAAGCTCCCCCCCTAACGTATTGTTATACAGAATAACATGTTCACCGCCATTGCCCAGGTAACAACACTCGCAACTGCCACTTACGAGAACAAACACTTGAAATGGAGGCAGTTAATGTCATACAAGACATTTGTTTTCGTTCAGTTCTCCAACTGTTTCACGCAAGGATGCCCCGATACCCAGCTATTTTGCATCAAGGTTACAAAAAAAAAAAAAGCTTTACCACACATAGTAAGGGTTAAAACGCACCCGGAGGAAAGCAAAAATAGACGCAGTCAATAACTGTGGAATGTCCCCAAACGTTATCGCGTTTTAATTTGTGAAAAAGATCTTAACTTAATATCCATTCCCCTACCCTCTTTAAATGTTATCTCTAACCAGGATAACGACAGCATGTCCCCAAACATCAGTGCAGCGAGGCTTGGGAACGCTAGACGGCCGCCTATTATCCCCCGTCTGTCCTCCTCTCACGGTAGTATCAGGTGATAAGGACGCGAGTCAACACTACTGCAGGATGGGCTCTTACTCCGGCCGATAATAGCTAATACAGCTTACATTAAGGATGCTTGATCATAGTTTTATAGCCGAGAACCGTGTTTTGTAATGTGTTCGAGCATTCCGTTTTGTGCTTTAACACAGAATATCCGGCTTCTTTCACGTCTGTCACTCGCTCTCGGTTTAAGCTAGGTTTAACATTATATGTTACATCCTAATATTAAGCGGGATAATGATAAAACAGAAATGATAAAAATGGATGAAAATTAGGGCGAAATCCCTTTAACACTAGTACGTCAAATAACTGTTCATTGCTTCATTTTTTTAACGATTTTGCAAGTGAAAGTGATAATTTTTGCGGTTAACTGTATAAGTGGGTTCTGCTGTTGAATGTCTGTCTTCCACGCTGGTTAATACCGTGCAGCACGTGTTGTCTCCGGTCACACAGCGCATTCTACATAAAGTATTTGAATATTCAAGCCGTAAATCTGTCGAGTATTTATATACCCGCACACAGAGAAGAAGGGAAATTTATAATTTCTCAGACCTTGTCTAGTGCATTCTACATACGGACAAAAAGAAGAAGTATTTTTATTTCTTTCTTGGGTGGACACACTCTGCTAAGATATTCATGGTACGGGTTATGAATGGTGCCACTCCTTTCAAATTCTACCAAGAAATAGATGTCTTTTGTAATGAATTATTATGTCTCTTGGTTGGCTGAAGTCAGCCTTGTTGATGTGCACAAAGACTCTTTATAGAGACTGTCTGGGAGAGAAGCTTGGACTCTGTTCTTAATATAAATATATATATATAGTCCTAAGTGCTGGTGTCGTGATTCAAGAGATCGCTTCGCGTGGTTCTTATTAATACGGGCGAATGTCTGATGGGTTAACATTCTTGTCGCATGTCTTCATTACGTTGTACAAGTTGTCTAAAAATTTCGTGAAGTTCTGTCGCGAAAAGTTCATAAACAGAGAAGAGTTAACAAACTTTTGGACACAACTTATTCAGTCCTGCTAAAAAACACCTGCTCGCACTCGTGAGCAAATAACATGTTATGCGTGTTCACCAAATTGTATGAAGACGTAACACCCCTTTTTTTCTATTTGCTTGCCCAGCTTGGAGTACATATCCATCTTATTTACTCCCGGACTGCTAGTGGTGTTGTAGACGTCACTACATACAGAATACTGGCACTCTGACGCGTGTCGCAGGAATACGCGACAGATGAAAAATAATCCCGGATTTAGTATTATATTCTTTAAGAGGAGGAGAATTTTGAGTCCAAAACACGAATAAAGACATGATTATAAACTTAACAAAATTAAAAATAAGACAACAAAATTGATGAACAGGGACGGTGGACGAAATTCATTTTATTGTTTTTTGACATGATGTTAACGGCTAAATGTTAGGGTAAGTCGTTTATTTTTTCTTAAGGGATAGCAATGTCAAACCTAGTCAGCTGAGTGCGATCTAAGAGCATAAAAACAACGGCATTAAGAGCTTTTACTGGGGCAAATTGTCAACTTCTCGCACTTACCAAATCAATCCATAATGTATTTTTTCATTTGAAAATAAAATAAATAGATTAAAAATTAATATATCAATTAATACATGAGCTAATAATTAAAAAATAAAAAGGTAGGTGCAAAAATACTCGATTTCTTCAAAATTAGGGGCGGTCGTGCTCTTTAACCATCTTATCAACTTTAACACTAGTTCACTTGCAATTCTTCATACTGTAAAGCCGTATTCTGTTGGCCGTCCTCCGTTTGGAGGCCAGGGTACTGAGAGAATGTATAAAATGACCACAAGTGTTGCACTAGTGTGTTCTCGTAAATTGGGGCTACGAAAAATCTTGCTATAATGTTCGCGAACTCAGGTATTTTGGATAAGTTGGATTCCAGTCAGTTTCAAAACAAGGTCAAATACACCAGGGCTAGCCTTTATCTATGTAAAAACGCAACCAAGACAATAAGTGGTCGTCGTTGATGTTAGAGCTGCTGTACACAGCTGGCCGTAATCGACATTTCAGATGATCAGTTATAATTTACTTCTATTCAAATTCGCACACAAATGAGAACTGTCAGCTCAGTCCATTGCATTAATCATACTTTCAGATATCATTTCCGACAAGGACACCACGACTCGTGACAGAAACGTTAGTCGCTGCTCTAAACGTGAAGCGCTTCTAATCAACTTAATTACAGGCCTTGGTCTATTCGACATTTCCACAATTACCAGGTAAAGCAAGCTCACTCTGATTATACGACAACAGGTCTTGTGTGCAATTCTCTACGGGCACAAATCACCTTAATGTCATCACTGCATGCGTAAACGGCGCCACGTGCAGCACGCGGATGTGGACCACCTGATGATCAGCCTCGTGGTAATCAAGTCAGTACAGGTAGAATTGCTGCAAAGTACAGGTTACGTAACATACATCACAACTGCCCATCCTTAATACTTTAAAACAAAGAAGCCCGCATGCGTAAGGCATGTCCAGATAGGACTAATACAAGATCAACAATCACACTTATCTATATTATGCTGTTTCAAATTTTAACAATGTATAATGAGGTAATAAATTGAATAGAGATCGAGATCTTGCTGTTACTCCGTCACCCGGAGTGCTGTCAGTGTTCGTTTAAGGAATCTGTTACATTATCAATATATTCTTTAAATCGCGCATAGACATTTTTTGGCAAATATCATCCTCATGTTTATTCATTCAAGTCTCCTATATTCATTTTATTAACTAAGAACTGCCACTAAGCGAAGAGACCACATTTATTCTTCTGTAAACTGCAGCATGCGACATCGACTGAGTTTACGATGTATTATTTAGATTTTTATAAAGAGAAAGAATTTTGGAAAACACTCTTCCCCTAATTCAAAATCGCTACAGTAAAGACGCTGCAGCTTCAGTGTACTGCTTTGCATTTTAAATTCTCTCAACTTTCATGTAAACAAGGAGCTGTGTTTAAAAGATCACACAAAAATGAAGTGGAACAAGAAATTACGAGAAGGCTTGCACATTGCATCCACATGTATAATATAATGTCTTAGCTACATTAGATGGAGGCGACTGGTCGTTGGGGGATTCTACGATATCCCTGTGGTTAGAAATTGTAATATTCATAGGTTATAACAACACTAGTAATCATATACAGTGTGGTCAAGTTCATTTCCATCTAATCCTTTCATAATGCAGTATCACGAAGCTATTGGTAACCCATCGCCAACTCTCATAAAGCTCAAACACATTCTCTCGTTACACACTGAACTCTTCCGAGTTAGTAAACCTCCAAGGCAACCCGAGACAAAACAACGCCTGGCTTACCATCACAATGGTAGTAAATCACAGCCAACGCGAAATAATTGTAATATTTTATTCACCATTGAGAAGACACAGCATGTCAAACCAGCAAAGGGGCACCTAGTCTAGAATACCATTGGAAAATGTGTCTCTATCTTTAATTGCATAACTCATGAAACGTCAATTTGATGACGGCATCCATCTTGTGAACAATTCAGTGCTCCAGGCTCCAAGGCTACTGAATACAACACTATAAATTTTATCTTGCCTTAAACAATCAATACCTTATACAATACAGTCTGTCCAGTTTAACTCTTTTCAATAATGGAACAAGTATAATAATTTGCCTAGTCTCTAGATTTCGTTACTTTTTGGGATAGAACTTTGTAGACTTTTTCTTTGCATGGTCAAGAAGGAGTTGGCATGGAGCAAATGCCTCTCCATACGCTTCCTGAAACTCCTCCATTATCTTCACCATCTTCTTGGCTCCAATTGTGTCTACATAGTGGAAAGGTCCTAGAAAACAGAGACACAAGAACATAGCAATTTTGTTTGTGCTCCTACTGTCACAGTACTAACTGCTTTAAGCACAGGGGCAGGTCCTGTTATTTTATTTTCTGCAAATGATGATCATTTTTATGACATGTCTTAAAAAAACTCAAATACTTACCCCCCAAAAATGGTGGGAAACCAAGCCCCATTACGGCACCCATGTCTCCATCAAGCTAAAAAAGAAAATGCAACATTAGATATTTCACAGAAAAACACCGGTTAACAAAGTTACAGAAATGCAATTTTAATTTTTTCTAGCCCACAATTATATATTTTCTAGATCTACTGTCACCAGTTTCATATTGACAAATATCTCATCCTACAGGAGAATAATAATAACAATAAAGCTACTCACTGGTTCTTTCAGAATCCCATCTTGTAAACTGTAAATGGCTTCATTGACAAATCTGGTCACCAGTCTCATCTGGATGTTCTCTACGCTGTTTCTGGAATACAGAGAAAACAGGGTTGTACACTATTTTTACCTGACACTGGAACACTCCACAGATGATCTACACACTATTATTGTCTAGTTTCAAAAACAACTTGAACCAGCAAGGTCTACTTATACAATTGGAATAAAACATTTCAGAAGATATATCAACTGCAATACTAACTCCACTTTTGGCGTCTGCTTGTAATTTTCAAGAATTCCCAATGCATCTTCATTTTCATTTTTCGTTTTAGCTTGTCCAGGTCCTTCATACATGAAGCAGCCCATTCCTGATTTACGTCCTGAAATGTGCCATATAATGATACATATAAACATCTGACTAAAGCAAATTAACTCTCTTTTGTGAGACTTATTAAAGAACAAGGACATATCAAAGGTAGTATATTGGTACTGGTAATAATGTGCTATTGGGTAAATGATATATTGTACAGCAAGGTCTGTCATTGCTAAAAAAAATCATAGTAACATTTCTTTGCCATCTTTGCATGTAATATTAACAATACAAATCTTCAATGTCATCTCCGGTCTTATAATACAAATTTGCAGATATCGCAAAAGCCCAACAATGACAGGGTTAAAATAAAACATTAAGACAAACTTACCCAGCATTCCCTTGGACACCATTTCCTTCAGCACCATGGGGTCACCACCGCCAAATCTGGCACCAAACGCCTTCCCTAGGTCTTCAGCTACATGAGCTGCCACATCAATACCCACTTCATCAGCTAGAGTGGCAATGCCTACAGGGAAGCCAAAGGCCTTGGTGGCTTTATCCAGGTCTGTGGGGGATACCCCTTCCTACACACACAAATACAGGCAAGGGTTAGTAATAAAGTTTATATGTAACAGTGAAGTAGTCCAGACCACACACAAGTCAACATTTCTTATAAAACTAGCACAGGGCTTCAGACTCATAGGAATCCAACATCACACCTTGAAAATGACAGTGTGAAAATCAAGTGGAGCTGGATTTTAGTCCTATAAATCAATCCTGTAAGTTTCAAAATAATAAGTAACAAGTTCTTCCTTTTCATTGCGTTTCCAAGGCAAATGCATGGTGACAGCGACCACAGATGCAGTTGATTGCCATATATCCCAACTCATTTATCTGTCCATAAACATGGTGATGACCATCCTGACACTGTACTGAATCACAGAATGAAGAACTTGGAGGGAAAATACTTGTACATGGGAAGGGAACATTTTGTGTAGGAGAAAAACGTGAAAAAGAGACAAAAAGAAAGGTCAAAGCAAGAGGTGGATATCACAAAGATTTACTTATGAACAAGAGATGAAGCATGAAAATCAACTCCAAAGGAACGAAAGGCGTTTGCATAAACATGCAAATGTCTACAGGTGGAGACTAAATTACAGTGATTTTACATCTACTGACCAATAGTAACATATTGCCATGTTTATAGCCTTGTACAGGTATTGTGCCAATAAAAATATTGGAGATTGTTGCAAACAAGAAGACATTTTGTTCTTACCTGCAAAAGAAGGATAGCTTCTGAGAGCATGGGAGCCAATATCCTTGTGGTGTAAAATCCAGGCCCATCTCCCACAACAATCACCAGTTTGCCTTGCTTCAAGCCCACTGACACCGCAGTAGCTGGAATTATCGTATACTGCATACAGATTCCTCTCCATTCAGACACACAAGACTCTTGACAATTATCAAAAACACCTATTCAATCATTAAAATCACCTATCTGCCCTCAGCTCATTGAAATAAAGATCTCATGACGAGAAATCTGAAGACTTTGATCAGAGCTCACCTTTAGCTTCCTGAGATGTCTTGGGTGTGGTGATGATTTCCAGCAGGGGCATTTTGTCAACAGGAGAGAAGTAATGCATACCAATGACCTGGAAATATAGTATTCTGGTTTGATTGCTGAAACTTCTCATCTTTGGTCTAATTAAACAAATTTTAATCAAACCATATAATCACATAACACTGAAAGATAAAAAAAAAAAAAAAAACTAGTACAATCTGTGTCTTCTGGTAAGACTTACATTCTCTGGTCTCTTGCTTGCCTTTGCAATCTCACTTATTGGCAGGGCAGAGGTGTTGGTAGCCACAATACAGTGGGCAGGGATGTGCTGAAATAGAAAAGTTAACATGAGCAACTTAACAGACATATTCCTGTATCATATTTCACTATAATAACTGTGATATTTGCTTTTGGAAGGATTAGTGCAAAAGTAGACTGTGTGAATGTCAGGATGTGAAACTGCTCACAAGAACATGTTAAAGCCATCAAAAAGATAACAAATGTACAGAGTTTAAAACAAAAGGTTTAAATGCTTACTTCTAAAACATAGCATAGCATATTTTACTTTGGAACACTGACATTCATATCAGTAAGATGAAATACATGCAGTTCCTTACTTCCTCTACTTCTTTGATCACTTTATGCTTGATGTTGATATCCTCAAAGACTGCCTCTATGACGAGATCGCACTTGCCAAAGTCCTCGTAGGTCAGCGTAGGGTTCAGATGGGACATCACCTCCTCCGCCTCAAAGCTGGAAATCAATCATCTCATTTATATTTCATACACTATTCATGTGGTCATATTTTCATACAGAATACTAAAAACTAGACACTGAGGATGGCACGTATGCAGCCACAGAGCAAATAAATTCAAAGAAACAGATTAAATCTAAATAAGATGAATTTCAGTGCGTATTTAGTGAGCCTTCCAATACATAACAAAATCCAGACACTTAAACTTCCTAGTAAATTTACAGTAAAACAAAAATATTGTTTAAAGGTTATGAGGTAAACAAATGTGTCAGAAAGCAACAACCATCACAGGTAATCATAATACATACAGAAATTTGGTGTCTGTACATATAAATCATTCTACATAAAAATCAACCAACACAAAGCATCTTAACTATTCATTTTACGACACATTTCATAATTTCTCCCTTACCTGGTAATTTTCTTCTTCTTGACCATAGTCTGTATACACTTCTCCACCTGGAGTACTCCTCTGTTCAGTCCACTCTGAGCCATGTCCTTCATGGTGATGTGGTAACCCTTGTCAATACTGACCTCAGCAATACCTGCTCCCATCAGACCAGCACCAAGGACTGCCACATTTCTACACAGGAACATATCACAGTTTATCTCTGGGACAAACTCAACACTGGCTAACTCCACATTTCCAAATATTCTACATATATTTTTTTTAGGTCAGACTACCAATTATTTATAGGTGTTTTTTTTTAGACTATTGTTAACATAACTTCACAGCTCCAATACTACTCAGTATGTGTCAACTTCTTAGTCACAGTGTACACATTGCACACGGAATTGATTTAGGCATATAATGAAATACAATATCAAAATACTTAAATAACAAAAAACTAATACAGGGCAATTGAAATTTGGATGGCCCCTTAGCTAACCCCTTGTTTTAGCCCAAAAAATGTACGAAGAACAGTTTTATCAACTTCTGCCACAATTTGCTAGTCTCTACCAAGTATCATTCTATCAAACTGCAAACTAAAAAAAAAAAAAAGCTCCCTAACATTTTGTAGAGACACAATGGGGAGACACTTACTTAACAGGCTTCTTGGGTTCTCCATATGTGTTCTTTTTGCAGTGGGTGGTTCCTTCGTAAAGGTGCATCAAACTCCTGGCTTGTGGTGTCTGGGATAAAGCCGCAAATGCCTGCACAATATCAACAAAATGAACATTTCAATCTTTACTAACAACATGCCCATTTGCTGTACATAGCATCAATTCACAAACTGGAGGAAAGAACCATGAAAAACAGTTGATAATTTACTGTTGTTCCTAATGGTTATGTATTTGATGGATCTGATCTTCTTTTAAAAGCAGAAAAACGTGTCTATGAAAATAATTCTCTGGCATTAATGATCTCTCATATAATTATTAAAATTTCAACTGGTAACTTTTGAACTAAACTTAATATTCTTTTACAATCAATCAGTGAATCAATTTTTCAAAGCTGACCTTTGCTTCCCACTCATAGTCATCCATGTTTCTGGTATCAATTTGTGCCTCCATCAACTGAAAACAAGTATAAACCATATAGCTATATAGTTAAACCTTTCATAATTCATTAATTATTACACAACAAGATAATAGTATACAGGATACTGGCAAAAATACAAACACTTGACTATTTTCAACCAGTCTCTTCACTAATCAAAAGCTTCCAAGCAAATTTTCAATAAATCAAAATTATGGTCCCACTTAGGGGCCAGGGATTGACAACTATTTTCAGGCACTTGTCCTGCCCTTTCTGCAATCCAGTTTACATCAGACAAGTAATTAGATACATTTGCAGACAAATTTAACTACAATTCTAGTTGCCTGACCCCAGAAATCACTTGCAATGAACAAGTAACACCAACAACCGTAAGTATATCAAGCTCTGATTGGAGGGGGGAGGCATGTAGTCAAAAATATATATTACAGAGATACTTACATTAGTAAATAATGTAAAAAATTTGCATTTGCATCTTAACCAATTGTTGCCAACATGGCAATGCATGCATGATAAGTTTTCAACTCTGTATGATGGGTTTTCTTAGTTTAGCTCACCACAGCGTCTGTCAGTTAAGTGCCAGCCAGAAAGCAGGGATGGGGTAATATTGTGTGAGTATTAACACTATCATAGGAATTTCTGTGAAACACATATTATTATATGTTAATGTAAGTTTATTAGTTTTTTACAAGTGTAATTTTGATGTTGTATTAATTCATCTTTTCTTAAACAGTATATTTTGTATTCATTATTGTATTGACCTACTTTTGGGCCACCACTCTGTTTACACTACTCCGTCACACTATGCTACACTGTACTATCCTACTTTGTTAGACCATTCAGCAGCAGTGTAACTGCATGTCAATCAGACATGAGCCTAGGTTTAAAAAAAAAACAAAAAAAAACACTACATCCAAAACCTAACCAGTCACGGGTCCGGGGGCTGCCCATCAGAACAGAATTCCGTGTTTCCGTGGAAAAAGCTCAAGTCTGGTCAATAAACACTTTATAACCTCAGCTTGCTATGCGTTACACCAAACATGCACACCACAAACAACTTACATCCAAGATCTTCAGAGGAGCTGGATAATGGCCGCCAGTTAACTTCACAACCTGTTTTCTAGCGTTCTTCCAGAAAAGTGGCTTCCATGTACGTAGGTAGGGAAAAGTGTCTTTCTCGAATTTTGTGTCTGCCTCTATTAACCCTATATTGGAATGAGAAAAGGCACAAATAGAAGGATTTCATTTAAAAAATTTACACTAATAAAATAAACTAGAAAAAGCGCCCAGAGAATGCAAGGACTTTAATTGTAATATAGATATGATGTAAGCATAGACAATTGACATCGCATGTGCCTAGAAACACTTACAAAAAAAAATTTCAATATGAGGCAAGTGATACTATGCATGTGTGACATATACAATGAAGAGGATCAAGATATATTTATTTATGTTAAATCCCCAAAGTCTAATCATTTCTTCCTTAGCCCATGGAAAATTTCATCAAAATCCGCCCTCATCTTTCTGCATAATGTTGACAAATAAACTAACTAACATAGCTTCCTTGTCGAAAGTAAAATAAAAATAAAAATAAAAAAATTCATTTAAGAAATCAATGCAGGAATGCTACATTCAGAGTATTTTAGTAAAGGAATAAAAGTGAGAAAGCAGTTGATGTTCCCTACACAATTTCAATGTGATTTAAGTATACTATGGATGAACATAAAATGCTTACAATCCACAATTTTCATGTAATCACTTCTTCTCTGTCTCCTTATCTTTCCAGTGCACATATCTCTGAAATAATATGACAAAATAAGAAAGATCTATGCCATGCTGCTATCCCTGTCATCATAGAGATTTCCAGTAAATCTATAATGTAATTAAATACTTTCTTCATCTGCTACATGGTCAATTTTCTAATATTTTAACATGAAATTGTGCTGTAACCGTGCTGATAATACATGAAAGACATTTGTATCAAATTTCACACAAGAAATGATTGAGAAAAGCCAATTACAGCACAGCCTGGATGGCTACTTCCTCTAGTAACGTCTGTGTGGCATGGTCTGGATCATCTACTCCAGGTCCTTAAAGTAAACAAGAATACATGGTCAGCATATGCCATACCACACAGGTAAAAATAGAATATATGACATTGTTTTATTTAAGGGCGTATTCCCATAGATTTTAGATCGATCTATCCCCGTGGGGAGTCTCTCTAGCTGTCAGATAATCCAGCTTAAATGTCCGTCCCGCCTGCTACAAGCTGTAAGGGGTTAATTAACTTTCGTGCCCGCTTGGCTGACAGCTATTTAGCGTGAACCCCCAGGGAGTTAGGTCGATCTAGTTTGGGTCGATCTAATCTCTGGGAATGGGGTCTAATAGACAGCAAATATTTTATTTCTCTTATTGAGAAGAGATACCTTAAAGAAGGACAGAAAAGCTGTTTAGTCATTCCATTAAAGCAACATGTAATATTTCCCAAAATTATCAAGGCTACTTTTGTCATTGATAACACCCACCTAAAGGCTGAACCAAGGAATCTACAAGTCCCATCTTCTTTGCTTTCTTTGCATTAATATTTTTGCCAGTCAACATGATATCGGCAGCATCTTTTGTGGGGAGCTGAAAAAGATGTCATCTCAAGATTTTCATAATTATTTCTCTCAATATACTGCTGATCTCTTAAATAATTACCTGACTTCAGAATGCTCTGAGGAAATATGCATCTATTTAACTCCATAAATATATGAAATATGAAAGTTGAAAGAGTTTTATTCACAACTTAATAACCTACCATTTCCTGTAGCCTCACGGTGCCTCCTGCCCCAGGGATCAGTCCTAGTTTCACCTCTGGCTGACCTAGGATGGTTTCTTTGCGGTCAACAGCAATCCGGTATTGGCAATGAAGTGCAGTCTGAAAGGATCATGAAAGAATTAAAACACGAGAAAAATATGATGATTAAGGGGATATAACTTTTTTTAACATACAAAAATTGGCTTTTAAAACAAACGAAGAAATGGCTGGGTATTTTCATACCTCTAAACCTCCACCAAGGCACTGTCCATTAATAGCAGCCACAAACGGCTTCTGGAAACGATTCATACGAACAAGAGTGGCCTGCCCTGCTCTCGCAATCTTATAAACTTCCTCTTCAGAATTAGCTGCCTTAATCATGCTGAAATAAAATTGAAGGCAACTTTTAAATGATCCAGATTTACTATAACTTCAACAATATTATAATTAGTCCATTTGCTCACTTTTAAGGACCAAATATGCACAAGTGTAGAGCATATCTTTTCAAAAACATTTGCATGTCACATTACAGGAAAATATTTCTCAGGCTATTATAACTCTGGTCTTTCACTCACTGTCTCTAACTAGAGCTGATTAACATTTAGAATGTTATTTGTAAAGTATTCCAACAGGTTTATTTGCCCCTCATTCAGAAAGCAGAAGAACAGGACTTACTTGATGTCTGCCCCTGCAATGAAGCAGTTTGGTTTTTCTGAAATCAGTACAGCTCCCAGTATGTCCCAGTCATATTCTATCCTATCCATGCAGTCGTTCATTTCTGTCATCACTTCCTCATTCAAAACGTTCACCTTCAAAGAATGTAACATCTACTGTAACTCAGCAGGGAATAATTTGGGCCAAGGATGGGATGAAAGCTAATTTCATGTGTTCAAAATCAATGAGAAATCTGAGCAAGCAAGAATGACTATGCCCAGGTTCCATTCCCTGTGCCTTTTTCTTCATAGTTCACTGGGGACTGTGCTCTATTTGTTTATATCAACTTTAATTCTGATACTAACAGATTGAACTGTCTTTTCTCAACAGCAGTAAGCTTTTTAATGAAGCAAATTCAAATTCAAACTTAATCTAAATCAGTTAGATGCAGCATTTTGAACAAGCTTGATTAAAAGAGGAAATCTGAAAATATGTGAGATTACAAATATTAATTAATTTCAGAAACTCAAATTATGTTCCAACTGGACTATATTTCGTGCCAATCATGTTTTTTCCAGTTAAAGAATAACTTAATTTTTAATTATATCTTGCACCTATGTAAATAAACAAGATATCAAGGTCTATTATCAAAACTGATTACAATATGTCAACCAAATACCTTTTTATTTGGATCATTCATCCGCAAAACGGCCACTTCCCCTTTCTTCTCATATGTGATGTATTGTCCTGTAATTGAAAAGTTCACAGCATTTTTTCATTAAATTGTTTACAACTACCTATGTATTACTGCTCAGAAATGAGAAAAAATAATAATTAGGGATAATCCTGAGCCTCGCAATCGCGCAAAAATGTACCTTTTTCTCAAATGTGCAAGTAAAATTTTAACCTGCGCCATACATATGCATACATATAGCAGCCACTATTATTTCATAATAAACACCTACATACATGATGATGTCACTAGAAATGCGCGTAGCAGTGAGGGCTGATCACAAAATTATATATCGAAACTGAAACAAGTACGGATCATTGAAAAACATGTACTGCTCAAAACACTGAAAATGTTCACTACCGGCTGCACACGGACGTCTTAGAAACCTAACTACTGGTTTAACATATATGGCTTCAGTTGTGCCACAATTTGATCAATCAATAAGTTAAAATGAAATTTTCATTTGTTATTTGGATAGGTGCTCTTAACCCCATTGGTACGGGTTAATGCTGACCCATAAAGTTCTGCTGGGCCCAATTAATTCTGTGAGCTAGCCCTGAAAAATCGGGTCACCTCAGTAAATTGGCCACAATTTATTTGTGTGCCTTTATTACCCATAAAAAGTATACATTTTTAAAAAGTCAAAAATGATATTTGAACAGATTTTTCAGCTAGCTTTCTATGCTGTATATAAATGGGGCATAAAAGTAAATTTCTGACCAAAAATTTAAAGAATGGAACAGACTGAATATCTTTTATGGCTGATCTAGTGAATTATTCAGTTTATCCCTTGGCATGTCGACTAGTAGAAGTGTTACTGGAAATGTGTTACTGGAATTCCGCGCACCACAGATGCTTAGTTCATATGACCTTTAATGTGTTAATTCATTAATAGATATGCCAACAGATTTTAGAAATGTTATGTAGTTGCCTGCTAAATTTTTTGCAAATATAGATATATGTAAGATGGGCTTTTCTCAGCTTAGAACACTGTTTATTTTCGGGTTGAAAAATAAAAAATTATTTTCAAAGCAATAACTTTTTTTCACAATAAACATGGGAATTCCCAACATTTTCCAAGCAGTGCAATTATTTCTCACAGTACAATTATTAATTTTGAAAGCTTTTCCTGTTCAGTACAGTTGTTAATTTTTGAAGATTTGTTTCCACACACTGCAATTATTTAGAACTTCAGACTAGTAGCAACAAGCCTTTTTGTCAGTGTTTCGTCGGTATTCATACATTGTAAAACCACATGGCACAGAACAATATACATGTATAGCTTTAAAACTGCCATATCAAATATGTTTAAATATATTGAAAACCACATGGCTTTTCATCTTTTGTTTTCATTCTGAGAGAACTTACCATGAAGACCTGCTGTAGTGTGGAGGCATCTCCCTGAAAAGCAAGCAAAACAAATTACATATCAAATGAACCCTACTCCAAACAATAATTTAATCCTCCTTACTTAATGTTACACACTTTAGGGCGAATAAAGCGCAAGCCACAAATTGAGGTCTCAAAAAATATTTTCAATATTACCCATTTACAAACATGCATTGGGATCTTAAAAATGACCTCCTTCCCTTTTGTGTTCAGTTGAATCAAAGCAGGATTTCTTCATTATGTCAAACCAGTATGGTAAAAAAGTACAGATACTACATCATCAAAGCATCTACTAAAAGTCCTGTGAAATGTAATGAAAACAAAACATTTAAACTTGGCAAAATCTTAAACTTCTTAATAAGTCTTGGTAAATTTTGAAAACAAAATCCGTGTCCTTTGAAAAGGTAATTAATTTTAATACTTTTAAAAAAATTTACACGCAACTTCGACTGGGGGGGGGGAGAGAGAGAAATGACTCGCAAATTAAAAAAAACACGGTTTGAAAAAATCCTTTTTCCTTTTTACAAACTCTTTCAAATAATCATCAAAACTAACAGATATGCACAATAGTAAACATGATCAATATGCGATCAAAAAAATCTGGAGACAATAATCGAGTTGAGTCGAATTTAGGATTTATCAGTTCAAGAAGTTGGTATCTTTTATCCCAATTTTTTTGGTGAAAATAAACAACACTGGTTCATTGAAATAGTGCAAATTAGTGAACCGAATTAATATGCATCAATGGTATCTTAAATGTGAAGTGTTACCTTCAATTAAGAAGGGATTTGCCCGTGTTAAATGTCTAAACGCTCCCAGCAGTCTCGTGGAAGCCATTTTGCCGGCCGTCCCTGTCTCGCAAGGTAACGTATTTTCTCGCACTTTCATAGAAGAAAATAATAAAATAAAAATGAAAAGTGTAGATTGAAGGTATATATTTAAACAAAATTTAATAAAATAACTTTTCGCATACATTTTACACTCCTTAAATGTAATTTATTATCTAAAAGAAAGAACTTGCCTCGGAAAAGGGCCGAAGATAACCGAATGTCGAAGCACTCCACAAATCAGCCTCATTATGACTTTTATCATTTCAAGTCAAACAGGTGAAGACCACAAGTACACTTTATTTACCGGTGCATTTTATTACCTTTCTTGCATGTAGTGAAAAAAAAAAAAATAATAATAATAATTTGCTAGTTGCGATGATTATGTAATTAAGTACGGTGTAAATTGGAGTCTACCTGTGGTATGAAAAGTAATTTTTATATCACAACAATAAAATATAAATTATAAGCTTTGTTGAGCTTTTTTTTTTTTTTTGATGATTTCAATTAAAAGAATATTTCATAATAAACAAGATAAAAATAGTAAAAAGAAAATAGTGAATAAAAACAATAAAAGTGTTAAAAATGCAGCCCTAAAAATGCAATCACATTCACAATTTTGGTTTTTCCAGATAATTGGTATTTTAAAATCATGACATATGCTAACATTTTCAAAACAACATGGTTGCTCTTTCCATAATTTTGACACATTTTACAAATTTATGTCTGATTCCTAATGTAAGCTGGGGGTATCCACATTTTATCTTTAATAGTAAAATCATTTTTTCTTTTATTTGTACAGTTAATTACCAAGTCATGACAAAAATTTAAGGTAAACTAAATCCAAACAAAATAGTTTAGATTCAAAACTCTCAAGGTTGGACGAGTGAGTGAAAGTATTTCTATATATTTATGTTCTTTTTTATTTATCAGTATTTAATTACCTTAATTATCATCAGTATTACATGCTTTTAATCTTTGATTATCTGTATAAATATTTAATTATACATGTTTATTTTTTTTCTTTGAGTGAATAAACCCATAAAAAAAACTCTCAAGGTTATCTTACTTTGTGTTGGAATACATTTATGGCCTACCACTGTTTGCCATATTGAATTTTGGCAAAGATTTTGTTTGTAAATCAGGAAATAAATAATCGGTCTCCTCTTTTCACTTGCAGCACAGCCAAAATAGGCCAAGATGTATAGGTCAGAGAATGTAATATTTTTACTTACATGACTTTGTATGTTTTCCTTAGCACTTTGTGAAATATGTCGACAATTAAAAAAATATTAGTCAGGGGCGAATCCAGAATTATTTAAAAGGGGGCGTTTTTTTTTTAATCACAGCCCTCAGACGTGAAGCTGACTCTCGCCCCCCCCCCCCCCTTTGGCATGGGATTCAAGGACCGCTGAAGCCCACCCCCACGCCCCACCCCAAATAAATAAATACATAAATAAATAAGTAAATAAATAAATTATAATAAATAAAAATTCTTATTTTGGAGGGCGTGTGGTGCCATTCGATTGGGTTTAGAACTTTAATTCAGCTAGTCAAAATTCTGTTGTTTTTTGTTGTTTTTTTCAGGAACTAAATGGGGGGTGACACCCTGCATTAGCAATATGAAAATCCGAGATGTACTCAATTTTTGTAGGAAAATTAGTAAAATGTGTAGGAACATAATGCAGTAAATACATGTATTATATTGGCACCCTCCATGTTAGTCTGAATCTGGTCTTTTCAATGCTGTCACATTCTTTTCGTGAAGCTTGGTGTCATTGCTATAGTTGTTCCAACAGATTGTGTTCAGTACAAATGGATTGTGGGTAGAGGGAGTCCGCCATATTCCGGAGTAACTGGTAAGTTATCAACTGAATTGAAATTGATAAAAATTAAGTCAAAAAGTAAGTGCGTTTACTCGAAATCCTAACAATTCTGGAACAATTGACTTGTTGTAATTGTTTTGTCGAATAATTTTAAATTGTAGTGCACTGATCACTGTATTTTGCGGACTTGCATTTCAAAAGCAGCCCCGCGCCCAATCTAAATTTGCATAATAAGATTTCTGCAGCAAATGTTTTACTTGATAGTGAGCGTGCTTAGTTGTATTTTCTGGAAATCGTATCACCTGAATGCTAAAAGCATTCGACACCCAAAGCGCAGATACATGATGACAATAATCAGCGTATGATAACAGTACATTTTGTGTTTGTCACCTCTAATACTCTATTTTATGCTCTCACTGCGTCGATAATGTTATTTTGCCAAGTGTAGAAACAAACCGCAAACATCATTAATACGCTTCTCTTGGCATTGGATATCCAGTCTTCTTCAGTTTAGTGTGTGTAACCATTTGAATCTTCTTTGGGATTTACATTTACCAACAGAAGCAAATGGTCGATAATCTCCCACATTCCGATAACTTTGTAAAAATCTGTGAAAATTTTTAGCCCTTCATCCAAACTAATTATTAAACCAATAACACTACTATGGATGGGAAGTATGGTTACAAAGTATATTTAAGTAAAAGAAAAATCAGCAAAATGCCTTTTGAACCGGAACTTTTGAAATGTATAATGTGTGGGTGCTTTGTGATAGAAAGTGACTAAAGACAAGCTCTGGGCAGAAATTGATAGAAATTCATGTACATTGATAAGTATCAGTTGTAAAAAAGACTGAAAACTATGGTGAAAATTACACCATAAGGCAGAAAACTGAAAAGTATATGTACATAAGAACAGGGAGGGGAGAGAGCATTATTGGACAATAATAACCAAGAGGAATTGTAACCCACAGATTTCCACATGGGGGGGAGGGGGGGGGGAGGGGTGAACAACCGCTTACATTGCCCTGCACGCCTTTTCAATTTTAAGTGCAAAATGGAAGAAGTAGCAGATAACTCGGAAACCCAAGTGATCTATGTCTACAATGAGTCAGGCCTGGAAGGGGGGGACCAGCTGATTGACCAGGGGGACCTCCAGCAGCTTCTGGCTCAAGCACAGCAGAGTGGGATCATTACAACCCACACAGGTAAGTCTTAGTAGGGCCCAACATTGCTGTCACTGAGACAACAGTTGCATTGGAATTGTAGATAGTTATATCAAATTATATTCTTGATGTCTAGATCCTTACTAGTGCTTTTTAAAATCCTATAAAAGGCTTTGTCTGGTTATTATCTGGACATGCTCACAAGTGAAAGCTGTCAGATTTTGCCATCCCTGAGCACGTCCAGTCATGCACATTTGGTTCCAGCTTATTAGATAATGCATTGAAGTAGAACATGCCAGGACTATTCAAAGAATCCTCACCTGAACATATTACCTTAGTAATAAACTATTTTTAAAGCATTGATTTAGGCGTAAGCATGAAAATTCACACCATTTTAAAAACAGACACATATCTTTATCAGATTAGTGTTTTAGTATTTATGAAGTAAAATGTGGAATATTTTACATATCAGATGGGGAGAACCCAGGATCTACGATCATTGTGACAGAGGCTGGCGGCGATGTCAATACTGGTATTGTGATGACTGCCGCAGATCAGATAGAGGCCACAGATGCCTCCCAGATCATTACCGAGGCACAACCTGAACCAATGGATCAACAGCAACAACAACAGCAGCAACAGGACTTGCAATTACAGCAAGAATCTCAACCAGAAGACAAACTGAAGCCTGCACCAGATCTTTCCAAGCCCATTACTTTGACTGATGAAACTATAGTAGTTATAAATGGGAAGAAGTGTGTTCTCAGAGTTGAAGCCAACAGTGGACAGCTTTGTGCCTTTCCAGTGCAGCCAGCACCAGGTAAGGACTGCTGGAGGAAGAGTTCAGCTGAACAAACTGGCTGAAAACTGAAAAAGATTAAAAGCAGCCAGACCTTTCAATCTGTGGTAATGAAAAATTTGCAAAACTGTAAGACTCTGCAGTAAATTCTAAGTGACCTCTGACTGTAAATTCTAAATGACCTCTCTTAAAATTGTTGGTGGTTCCTCAGACTGAATGAACACAGTTTTTGTCCTGGTTCTTGAACACTTCATCAGTCATGTCCAGTAGGAGTGACAGTTTCAGCATATCTGGATAAAAAATGATCAAGTTGACATTTGTTTTTAGGTCTCACTCTTGGTCTCACACTTGTGTAGAACTGATTTTTATAAAATCCCACATTTTAGGCCATTAGGCACCGAGCCAATATAAATGAGTCAGTTCTGATGGAAGAGAGATTCGTGTACAATTATGGCAAGATTAAAGCAATAATAACTCTTCGTTTCGGCCAAAAAATGAATTTTCCTGGAGTAAACAACAATTTTCCCATACTTACCAATGGTTATTGAATCCATTTTTACATTCAAAGTTAGTCCCTGGTTTTTTTCTAAAAAGTTTGGTTTTTTGTTAAAATCTCTTAAGAGATTTTAACAAAGTATAGACATCAATGGAGGTCACGTGGTCTAAAGACAAGTTCAAATATCAGAATAAAAGCTATAGCTGCTGTTTTTGTTGTAAAACAGAATATATTATATTTCTGTGAGTTATTCACAAGGTTTTTATTGTGAAATATAGGTCTCATACAAAGAGTTATTATGCCTTTAAGTATAGTAAAAGATATTATTAAAGTCACTGAAATTATAGATTTAGCAAAGAAACTGATAAATGATCACAAATGATAAATGGCAAAGAATTTTGTTTAGATGAAGCAGATTTTAAAAATATCCCTATCAATTCTGGATTCAGTGTTTTTAACAAAATCAAATGTGCTGTAGATACTGGACATCACGAAAATAGCACATATAATTCTAAGGCTGTCCATATTTATGAGGTATTTCATTTAACAAGTAGCTGTCTTTATCTTTGAAATGAAAACTTAATTTTAGGTAAGAGGAAGCGTGGCCGTCCACCAAGACATCTGAAGCCTACCCCAACCTCTGCCCAGGAGGCTACCAACACAACAATAACTACTGGAAGTGAGAGCAGCCCCCCACCCCCTGGGGACAGTGTGTCCACCCCTGGTCAGCCAGAGGACCAGGCGGTGTCCACTCCAGCCTCGGATAGAAGCGCAGCTGAGGGACTGCTTGAGTTGTCCAATACAGGTTGATAAAGTCTATGAGAAAAAGACTAAGGCTGAGAATACACATATTACACTTTTGATTTACTGAAGATAAAGCTTTCACAAATAAAATAATGTTTAATGTATGCTGGAGACTGTTCTGCTTGCTTTACAAATTTAACTTTCTAAAATACTGCTAGGGTTAGTTACCTGTCTGTACACATATATTAATATAGAGTGCACTTCCATATTCTTTAAAATTTTATAAAAAGATTTAGCTGTGAAGGTTTTACTAGCTACTATGTCACATTGATGTGTTCTTATATTGTTTTCATCTCCTGTAGAAGGCCTGAGGAGAAGTTCCAGAAAACGGAAGAGAGCAAAGATTTTCAAAGGTATTCTTTTAAGAATAATTGTTTGAGTATCTAATAAAGATTTCTGTTTGTTTTGTGGGAAGATTGGGTAAGTAAGATAAAGTAAAAGTAAGATGATTATCAATAATTGTTCTAATTGAGAAAAAAGTCACAAAAAATTGTCTGGATCTTATTTGAACAGAGTATGCGACTCCTGAGGATGTCAGTGACTTGGAAGACAAAGAAAGTGATGAGGGGGAGTACGAAGGAGACGATACTGATTTTTCAATCACTGGCTCTGGCGGAGAGCATCCAAAACTGAAGATGGCTATTCCCAGACTTCAGGCCCAGACAGCAGCAGGATTCACACCACCAGGTCTGATATGTCTGCTCAATTTGAACTTCACTGAAAGGTTTACTATATGCATTTTCAAAGTGTTCTGAAGTCATTAATCTTTTGACCTTAAAAATGATGTTAAAGGGCACAGGCTCTTAACAAAAGCCACCGTCATCTATTTCCATTGTAATTCTCAAACTAATAATTTGATGTCTACTTATGTTTTTATTGGTAGTGGTCACTTACTTTGGATTAAAAAAATATCAGTTAAACAGCTATGGGGCATCATGAGCTGAAAGGCTGGAGGTGGTTGTGTGTTGGTAGACCTGTGAACAAGTATCCCTTGGGTTAGTTACTGAAGTCATGATTACTATCAATAAAACATCAGTAAATACATTTTTTTGGAACCATGAACAATTTTATTGATAAATATTTGGCTCTTAATTTTTTAAAGTTGAAGTTCACATAATGTATGATTTTATTTGTGTGTATTTTAGTCAAAAAAGGTCGGGGTCGTCCCAGGAGGTATCCCAGGCCAGGGGAGTCCACCCCAGGGAGTAGTGCCACCACCCCTCTGAAGAGCCCAGGGCCAATCCCAGCGTTTATCATCCCCACCCCCACTGGACAGACCATCATGATGGCCCCTATAGAGGTAATGTTACTGCCATCAGCTGACATTATGTACAAAGTTGAAAGAGGAAATTTATACATCAAACTTTAAATAAAAACGGAGAAAAGTAATACTTTAAATGATTGTATGTTATCAAAATAACTTTGGGGGGGGGGGGGAGATAAAAAAAACTTTGTATAAAAGCGACTGAAAATATTTCAGGGTCTGCAGCATCTCCAGGCGTATCAGCAGGCCAAGCAGACCACCCCTGGGGCCACCTCAATCCTCCCTAAGCCAGCTAAGATCCTCCCTAAGCCAGCAGGTGAGGGTGGGGAGGATCCTGATACTGTACAACAACACACAGAGGGAGAGGAAACTGCTGAGGCTGTGGGCACATTGACAGGGGAAGTCCAGGCTGAGGAAGGTAATGGCTGTCGTGTATCACTCAGGGGTGGATTGAGGACGTCGTCTGGGTTTTCTGGAAGGTGGTCAGATTTTCAAGTCTACATTGAAGAGTATCTAATTTTTTCTTTCGGAAGACGGTCAAAAATGGAGGATTGATCAACAAAGATAATTTGGAAGACTGTCAGAAAATATCTCTGGATCCGCCCCTGTCACTTGTTTAACAGCATGCTTTGTCATGACTGATTTCACATTTTGATGGTGTTTCAAATTTTATTTATTTTGTATAAGAAACTTTCTACTTCTTGTACAACTATCAACTGTCCTTCTCAGGGGGTGCCTGAGGAAATAGCACGCCTCCACCCCTACTGGCCCTGCATTTGATCCTCCTCTACTCACACCTCCTGCACACCTTTCCTGGTGTTTTTTGCCCTCCTCTACTCCTGGTGGTTTCACTACCAGCATTCTTTACCCCAGACATGTTTCTTCCCTCTGCCTGACATCACCTCCAAACTAGCACAGCTTCCACTCCTGACATGTCAAAACTTACACAGCTTCTACTGCTGATATGTCCAAACTAACACAGCTTCCACTCCTGTGCTTTCTCACTAAACCTTGCCATCCCTGAGATCTCCCTCATAAACTAAGAAAGATACAAAAAGAAAAAAAAAACAAAAAAAGTTTTATTATTAATTTCTTTTAACAGTGGGAGATCCTGTTGAGGCTGCATCTAAAAATTTGAATGAGGACAAAGAAGTAGAAAATGGTGAGAAAGAAGACGAGGATGAAGAGAATGAGGAAGAAGATGGTGAAGAAGGAGATGAAGCAGAGGGAGAAGACGGACAAGTGGAGAAAAGTAATTATGTCCTTGCTACTTATATTATATTGATAACTAATTTTTTGATAACTAATTTTTGATGATGTTCAACACATTTTCCCCAATTAAGAAGAAATGAATAGTAAGATAGATATCACCTCTCTCAGATGCCATCATGTTTCTTAAAACTTACCATTGTGTTATGTGGCTGGAATTACTTGGAGCATTTGAAAAGCTTTAGTACAGTGTCCTCCCTTATCACATAAAGGAGTATAAGAGGTTGACTGAAAGGTTGGTCATAATGTTTTTCACAGAATATTAAATTTTTAAACCTTGTAGGATCTTTTGAATGGACTGTTTCCATGTTTTTCTAGTTGTAGAATTACAGTAAATTGAGCACGCCCTCTTCTTTTATTTCCAGGCAAAAAAAGGGGTCGTAAAGCTGGATGGAATAAAGAAGCAGCCTCTAAGCTACCGGGACCCTCGACTGTGATAGCTTTACCCAATAATATTTTTCCAATGCTTTTACCAGCTAAAGCAGAACCAATCAAGATAGGTAAAACAATGCCATTTTATTATTATTGATACATTTATATAGATAGTTGACAAATTACAAAATTTTTGAATTTATCTTTAAATTCATAAAAATATTATAGCTGATAGTGGTTGTACATATTAAAAAAATTCCATATTAAAACATTATATCCAATAACCTATGACTGATATTATTTTTAGTTCTGTTGTTTTTCTGTTTGCTGTATCTCAGAGATGTGTTTGTGTATGATATTTATTCTTGATCAATTGAAAACTTAAGGTCTGAAAGCCACAGAGAGTGAACTGGAGAAATTCAAGTGTCCCAAGTGTGATTTCCAGGGCTATTATAAGAACCAGTACCAGAACCACATAGCTACCCACACTGAAGATATTGTCAAATGTAAATGTTGTGGCTACCTTAGTTTTGATCCAGAAGATGTCAACCAACATTTCAAGGTGTTAATTTCTGTTATATCATCAATTAATGTTAATCTCACCAATTTTTTAAAAAATTTGCTTTGTTTATAAATTGTCTTAACTCTGTAAGTTTTGTTATGTCAGCAACTGAGTAAACAGGCAGGCATTAATGCAGACTAAGAGAAAAAAGTTCAGCCAAAACAACAGAGTATAATGCAGAAATAGTGGCTTGTAACAAAACAAATGAATATTTTGCTGGCCTAGCGTAGTTTTTACTGTCATTTGGTCTGGGAGTTGTGTTGCAGACTGTTAGCGAATACAATACATTATTATTGTAACGTGACATCGTCTTGTATCATCTCAGTAATTTTGCCAGCTGGGTCAGTTTACTATTTATAGAAGTATTTTTTTTCTTCAGTCAACAGCAAACATTGAAATTATCTCTAATAGTTTGTCTGTGTTAGGCTTTTTTTTTTTTTTTTTGGGGGGGGGGGGATTATTTCTCCTGGATTGAGGCTATTCACCTGGATAGCCCCATACCCTGATGAAGATGCTCTAGATACAAATCAAAATATTGGAGTTAAATGGTTTCAATATTAGATGTTGATTGAATAAAAAATCACTATTTTATTCTTATAACATTAAACAACTGATAAAATTTTTCCCTCAGTCAGTTTCTTAATAACCTGATGCTTTGTATAATCCAGGTGAACCACCCGCGCTGTTACTGTGAAGAGTGCGGCTTCATGGCTGACCACGCATACCAGATCAAACGCCACAAGATGAGGCACAACAATGAAGGTTCTGAGTGTGAGATCTGTGGCAAGAAGTACAAGGTAAGGACAACAATGAAGGTTCTGAGTGTGA